GCCGAGCGGCCAGAATTTGTTCTCGGGACTAATAGGATATTTTTTTGCGTGTGTGTTTTTTTAATCAGTTTTATGCACCAGCATCGAATTGGGGTAGAATACTCGAGTGCTATGCAGAATGCCCGGGATGGAATCGCGTTAAGTGCTGGATATATCTTTTTGCAGATTTCTTTGAAATTTTTTTTGTATAACGGTTCATTTTTTTCCGTGCCTTTCGGTTACGCCACTGACGGCGATGGCAACGGGGACGGTGACGCTGCTCAACGCTACAATGAACGCCAACAATTTTTACTAAACAAAAATAAAAAGAAGGGAGAGAAACTTATTGCAGTTTTTCAACGAACCACCTGCGTCATCGGGCGGCACACGACAGCAAAAAAGAAAAAAAGGAACGAAGCAAAAAAAAAATAAAAAGAAGGCAGTAAAATACGGCTGTTGTATTGAAACCGGAAGTAAATTTAGCACCCGCGTTTTTTTTAATTACATAGGCTTCTGCAGGAACACTCTTTATAAATGGCACTAACCTCTCGAGTGCCATACACACCTTTCCACTTGCCACTGTGGTATATTCCTACATCCATATTGCTTAAAAACAGCAGAACTTATTCGCCAGTGGGTGCACATGCGATTGGCATGGTGCACTCAGCGCTAGTTTAAACATTGTAATCTCTGTATCAAAGCTCCATGCTAGTAGTTGTGGCAAAACACAGAAAATATGGTTCGTGGGTGATGAATGTTTTCACGAATTTTCACCGACGCATGCACAGGTTACCTATACTGCTTGCATCATTGCTGACAAGCCTGCTGTAAAAAAGTTTCAAAGCTGACACACACACACACACACACACACACACACACACACACACACACACACACACACACACACACACACACACACAGCCCCGCCATGGTGGTCTATAGTGGCTAAGGTACTCGACTGCTGACCAGCAGGTCACCGAATCAAATCCCGGCAGTGGTGGCTGCATTTCCGATGGATCCGAGGCGGAAATGTTGCAGGCCCGTGTATACTCAGATTTGGGTACACGTTAAAGAACCCATGTGGTCGAAATTTCTGGAGCCCTCCACTACGGCGTCTCTCATAATCAAATGGTGGTTTTGGGACGTTAAACCCCACAAATCAATCAATCAACACACAAACATACACGCACGCACACACACACGCACGCACGCGCGGACAATCACAAAAAGGATTGATCATCATCAAGCTGACTTCGCCCGCTGCAGGGCAAAGGCCTCTCCCATGATCCGCCATTACACACACATTATTGCATTTCACAGGAAGTGAGAGCTTTCCGCAAGGCATCTTTACCATTCCGATTTGTTTAATGTATGTGTGTGACACGTGCATGACGCACTTGAATTTTGTAGCGACCCAAGTGCTCACTTTTTCGAAAATTTGATTTTTTCACTTCCTGCAGTGCTCCACTAGACGAGCGAAGTCAAATATCTGGCCCTCACTTCTCGCATAGCAACTATGAGTACAACCAAAATATCCAAAACATCGCTACGGTAAGCCGTCACTCTTAAAGCAAATACGGAGTAAGAGTATAATTGTTCGTGTTTTACGGGTCAGAACCACAATACGATAATGGAGGACGCCGTAAAGTGTAAATCCATGTAAACACTTACCATTCACTGAAATCTCGGTACACTGGCTTCGAACGTCTCGCCTCCATCGAAATGAAGCCGCTGCGACTGAGATTCTATCCCACCACAACGAGCACCACAACGACTGGACCACCGTGGCGGGTCGTGCGAGCTTTTGGTCTATACTCGTAGAAAAAAAAAATTGTAGCATATCCACGGAGTGAATGATGGAGAGTGGGGCGAAGCATTCGTCCATCCATTCGTTCTTGCTTCCGTCCGTCCATGCGTCCGTCTGTGTGACCGTCCATGCGTCCATCGGCCCGTCCATGCGTCCATCCGCCCGTCCGTGCGTGCGTTTGTTCGTGCGTCCGTCCCTGCGTCCATCAATGCATCTATCTGTGTCTTCGTTCGTCCATCTGTTCATCCCTCCAAGTACCCCCATCTCGCATCTTTTCATCATATACTCCCCATATAGAAGCACCGCCATCCAGCGGACATTCCAAGGACTAAACGAGAGGTGGCACACGCACACGGACGCTTCGGGTCTACTTCCCACCTTTAACCACCTCGAGTTCATGGTATATACTAGTTCACTGTGTTCATGGCACTGCGGCCCAACGCTCGCTAAACCTTTCTAAAACCAAGGAATTTACGCCCAGCGAGCATAACGTAGCAACCGTTTCCTGTCAGATAGTGCTCAATGTACACGCCAATGGCCGCTAATGGGAAATGAGAGACAGGAGAATTCGGCTTTTACTTTCTTACGGCTTGCGCTTCGTATCTACTTCTCACCTTTAACCACCTCGAGTTCATTCATGGTATATGCTAGTTCATTGTATTCATGGCACTGCGGCTCAACACTCGCTAAACCTTTCTAAAACTAAGGAAGTTACACCCAGCGAGTATAACGTAGCAACCCTTTCTTGTCAGATAGTGCTCAATGTACATGCCAATGGCTGCTAATGGGGAATGAGAGACAGGAGAATTCGGCTTTTACTTTCTGACGGCTTGCGCTTCGTATCTACTTCTCACCTTTAACCACCTCGAGTTCATTCATGGTATATGCTAGTTCATTGTATTCATGGCACTGCGGCTCAACACTCGCTAAACCTTTCTAAAACTAAGGAGGTTACACCCAGCGAGTATAACGTAGCAACCCTTTCTTGTCAGATAGTGCTCAATGTACATGCCAATGGCTGCTAATGGGGAATGAGAGACAGGAGAATTCGGCTTTTACTTTCTTACGGCTTGCGCTTCGTATCTACTTCTCACCTTTAACCACCTCGAGTTCATTCATGGTATATGCTAGTTCATTGTATTCATGGCACTGCGGCTCAACACTCGCTAAACCTTTCTAAAACTAAGGAGGTTACACCCAGCGAGTATAACGTAGCAACCCTTTCTTGTCAGATAGTGCTCAATGTACATGCCAATGGCTGCTAATGGGGAATGAGAGACAGGAGAATTCGGCTTTTACTTTCTTACGGCTTGCGCTTCGTATCTACTTCTCACCTTTAACCACCTCGAGTTCATTCATGGTATATGCTAGTTCATTGTATTCATGGCACTGCGGCTCAACACTCGCTAAACCTTTCTAAAACTAAGGAGGTTACACCCAGCGAGTATAACGTAGCAACCCTTTCTTGTCAGATAGTGCTCAATGTACATGCCAATGGCTGCTAATGGGGAATGAGAGACAGGAGAATTCGGCTTTTACTTTCTTACGGCTTGCGCTTCGTATCTACTTCTCACCTTTAACCACCTCGAGTTCATTCATGGTATATGCTAGTTCATTGTATTCATGGCACTGCGGCTCAACACTCGCTAAACCTTTCTAAAACTAAGGAGGTTACACCCAGCGAGTATAACGTAGCAATCGTTTCCTGTCAGATAGTGCTCAATGTACACGCCAATGGCTGCTAATGGGGAATGAGAGACAGGAGAATTCGGCTTTTACTTTCTTACGGCTTGCGCTTCGTATCTACTTCTCACCTTTAACCACCTCGAGTTCATTCATGGTATATGCTAGTTCATTGTATTCATGGCACTGCGGCTCAACACTCGCTAAACCTTTCTAAAACTAAGGAGGTTACACCCAGCGAGTATAACGTAGCAACCGTTTCCTGTCAGATAGTGCTCAATGTACACGCCAATGGCTGCTAATGGGGAATGAGAGACAGGAGAATTCGGCTTTTACTTTCTTACGGCTTGCGCTTCGTATCTATTTCTCACCTTTAACCACCTCGAGTTCATTCATGGTATATGCTAGTTCATTGTATTCATGGCACTGCGGCTCAACACTCGCTAAACCTTTCTAAAACTAAGGAGGTTACACCCAGCGAGTATAACGTAGCAACCCTTTCTTGTCAGATAGTGCTCAATGTACATGCCAATGGCTGCTAATGGGGAATGAGAGACAGGAGAATTCGGCTTTTACTTTCTTACGGCTTGCGCTTCGTATCTACTTCTCACCTTTAACCACCTCGAGTTCATTCATGGTATATGCTAGTTCATTGTATTCATGGCACTGCGGCTCAACACTCGCTAAACCTTTCTAAAACTAAGGAGGTTACACCCAGCGAGCATAACGTAGCAACCGTTTCCTGTCAGATAGTGCTCAATGTACACGCCAATGGCTGCTAATGGGAAATGAGAGACAGGAGAATTCGGCTTTTACTTTCTTACGGCTTGCGCTTCGTATCTACTTCTCACCTTTAACCACCGCGAGTTCATTCATGGTATATGCTAGTTCATTGTATTCATGGCACTGCGGCTCAACACTCGCTAAACCTTTCTAAAACTAAGGAGGTTACACCCAGCGAGTATAACGTAGCAACCCTTTCTTGTCAGATAGTGCTCAATGTACATGCCAATGGCTGCTAATGGGGATTGCAGCGTGCGCGTTAACTAAAAGCCGAATGCTCCTGTCTCTCATTCCCCCTTAGCAGCCATTAACATGTGCATTGAGCACTATCTTTTATTGTTCAACAACGCACACAAGAAATTTCTCACCGGCACCACCTTGGAGGTCAAAATGTTATACTTGTTACACGCTACAACGGCTACGAGGGACGAACGGGTGCTGTCATAAAAAGTTTCGCCCCTAAAAAGGATCAGCCTTGCAGGTTTTCTTTGGGCATACAATCAGATAAGCAATGCCGTGCTACAAATTGGTAGGTGTATCATGACAGCAGTACGTGCTCCGAAGGAGGCTGTTCCACCAGTCGAAACTGGTAGGATAAAATAAACATTTTTTTTTTGTTACCTATGCTGCAATACTCTCGAATTTTATAATTCTTAATACGCCAGCCATAAGAAGCCCTGTTCATATAGATATATATTAAGAACTATGCCTGACATCATATTTTACCGCATTTATTTCTAGCCCACATATGACCGAAGAAAACTACGCACACTTTGTGCACCTAGGTGGAACCCCTCGTGAAGTTGCCATGAAGGTGGTGCAAACTCAGGTATGTCCCTGTACTTCTAGGCTCGGGCTTACGGCTTGCCTGAGTTTACTTCAGAGGGATTTTTCGCAGAGCTAAGTACATACGCATCACAGCATCTGTCATGCTCTACATATGCGTGTCCTATTGTGCCTACGCAACATTTATCTTACAACAGAACGAAAGAGGGGATGTTCTCTGACTTTGTCAGATATGTATCGACCCATATATAGTGCATATATGATTATATATATTTGCAAAGTTCATTTTATCATGATCAGCCAGACACTACAGTTAAAGCATATCTTAACGATGCCCGCTACCTTTTAGGGACATTCTGATATTTATAATAAGGTATTTCTCACAGGTGGCAGACTTACTCAGTATATTACTTAGCGTCGTGTGTACATACATGTATGTTGTGTGTGTGTGTGTGTGTGTGTGTGTGTGTGTGTGTGTGTGTGTGTGTGTGTGTGTGTGTGTGTGTGTGTGTGTGTGTGTGTGTGTGTGTGTGTGTGTGTGTGTGTGTGTGTGTGTGTGTGTGTGTGTGTGTGTGTGTGTGTGTGTGTAGAAATATGTGCACGTTAACATAATAAGATTACTCCATCCCGCAGAGGGAAGACAACGCCTTCTATGTGTGTGACCTGCGTGAATTGAAAAACAGAGTGCGCCTTTGGCGGCAGCAAGTGCCACGCGTGGTGCCTTTTTTCGGTGATGTATTATTTGACAAAAAGTTCAAGCTCTTTTTATGCGCACAAACGTCTTAGCATATGGAATGTAAGCTTGATTTTAATGCAGTAGCAATAGTGTGCTTTCAAGTGTAATTACACGAGCACATTTAGGGTTTAACTCCTTTGATCATTTCACCAATTACAGTTGTGCTCAGAGAAATGACAGCATAACACTGAGTTGAAACAGGTGGCACAAATTCTCAGTGACAGCTACCGGCACTCATTGTTTCAATAATAATAATAATAATAATAATAATAATAATAATAATAATAATAATAATAATAATAATAATAATAATAATAATAATAATAATAATAATAGTAGTAATAATAATAATAATAATAATAATACCTGGGATGCCCCGAAACTATGAAAAAAACATAAAATTAGGTGAAAATACGTTGCCGAAAATCTCCGTACCAATTTCAAATCTAGGGCTTAAAAAATGTAAAGTGGGAGTTTATAGGAATAATAATAACCCAAACGACATGTTTCCGAAATTTGTGTAATAAATGTATCGTCAATACATTTTCTTAATTTAATTTTAGCAATAAAAGCTTGCACAGATCCCGTCGTCATACAAACTTTGGCCTGCGAAGGAGTGAACTTTGATTGTTCAAATAAGGTGAGTAGAGAACATCTTAAATGTTACTTTTTGAACCTAAGTGATTCGTCAGGTATCGTCATTTCATCGCCGTGGTGGTCTTGTGGCTATAAGGCACTCGGCTTCTGACCCGCAGGTCGCGCGGTCGAATCCCGGCTGCGGTGGCTGCATTTTTGATGGAGGCGAAAATGCTGTAGGCCCGTGTGCTCAGATTTGGGTGCACGTTAAAGAACCCCAGGTGGTCGAAATTTCCGGAGCCCTCCACTACGGCGTCTCTCATCACATGGTGCTTTTGGGACGTTAAACCCCACATATCAATCAATCCACATAGGAGGACAGATGAGGCCTATACGGTGCTACAGAATGGGCATGTCCTTTGCTATCGGGGCTTGGCTGACAGAAGAGAACTGGGAGTGGGCTTCCTAATTCACAGAAACATAGCTGGCAACATAGAGGAATACTATAGCATTAATGAAAGGGTGGTAGGTATCGTAATAAAACTGAATAAGAGATACAAGATGAAGGTGGTACAGGCTTACGCGCCTACATCCAGCCACGATGATGCTTCAGTTGAAAGCTTCTATGAAGACGTGGAATCGGCAATGAGTAAGGTGAAAACACAGTATACAATATTGATGGGAGACTTTAATGCAAAGGTAGGGAAGAAGCAGGCTGGAGACCAGGCAGTAAGAGATTATGGCATCGGTACTAGAAACGCCAGAGGAGAGCTACTAGTAGAATTCGCAGAACGCAATAATTTACGGATTTTAAATACCTTCTACCGAAAACGAGGAAACCGCAAATGGACATGGAGGAGCCCTAATGGCGAAAATAAGAACGAAATAGACTTTATAATGAGTGCACACCCAGACATCGTGCAAGATGTGGAAGTGGTTGGCAAGGTACGATGCAGTGACCATAGAATGGTACGGTCTCGAATTCGCCTAGACTTGAAGAAGGAACGACAGAAACTGATACGCAAGAAGCCGATGAATGAGCTAGCACTGAGAGGGAAGTACAGGAATTCAGAGTCTCGCTTCAGAACAGGTACTCGCCTCTTAGTGAGGAAACCAACCTTAGCATAGATACAATGAATGATAATCTGACGAGTATCATTACGGAGTGTGCAGTGGAAGTTGGAGGCAGGGTAGTTAGACCGGACACTGGCAAGCTTTCCCAGGAAACGAAGAATCTCATTAAGAAGCGTAAAATCATGAAAGTCTCAAGTACAACAGACAGAATAGAACTGGCAGAGCTTTCGAAGTTGATTAACAGGCGTAAGGTATCCGATGTAAGAAGGTATAACATGGAGAGAATTGAACACGCTCTGAAAAACGGAGGAAGTGTCAAAGCAGTGAAGAGGAAACTTGGGATAGGCAAAAATCGGATGTATGCACTAAGGGACAAAGAAGGCAAAATAACTACCAATATGGATAGGATAGTTAAAATAGCGGAGGAGTTTTACAGAGATCTGTACAGTAGCCGAGACAACCACGACCTTAATACTATAAGAACTAGCAGTAACCCAGATGACACCCCACCAGTAATGATAGAAGTCAGAAAAGCTTTGGAGCGCATGCAAAGAGGCAAAGCTGCTGGTGAGGATCAGATAACATCAGATCTGCTGAAAGATGGAGGACAGATTGTGTTAGAAATACTAGCCACTCTGTTTACGAAGTGTCTCCTGACGGGAAGGGTACCAGAGTCTTGGAAGAACGCTAACATCATCTTAATACATAAGAAAGGAGATGACAAGGACTTGAAGAATTACAGGCTGATTAGCTTGCTCTCTGGAGTATACAAGCTATTTACAAAGGTAATTGCTAACAGAGTAAAGAAAACATTAGAATTCAATCAACCAAAGGAACAAGCAGGATTTCGAACAGGCTACTCAACAATCGACCACATTCATACTATCAATCAGGTAATAGAGAAATGCTCAGAGTATAACCAACCACTATACATAGCCTTCATAGATTACGAGAAGGCATTTGATTCAGTAGAAATATCAGCCGTCATGCAGACACTGCGGAATCAGGGCGTCGATAAAGCGTATATAAACATCCTGGAAGAAATCTACAGGGAATCAACTGCTACCATATAGTGCTTCATAAAGAAAGCAACAGAATACCAATCAAGAAGGGTGTAAGGCAGGGGGACACAATCTCCCCAGTGCTATTTACCGCGTGCTTACAGGAGGTTTTCAGGAGCCTAGAATGGGAACAGTTAGGGATAAGAGTTAATGGAGAGTACCTTAGTAACCTGCGATTCGCCGATGACATTGCATTGCTGAGTAACTCAGGGGACGAATTGCAACTCATGATTACGGAGTTAGACAAGGAGAGCAGAAAAGTGGGTCTTAAAATGAATCTGCAGAAAACAAAAGTAATGTACAACAACCTCGGAAAAGAGCAGCGCTTCGAGATAGGTAATAGTGCACTTCAAGTTGTAAAAGACTATGTCTACTTAGGGCAGGTAATAACTGCGGAGCCGAACCACGAGATTGAAGTGACTAGAAGAATAAAAATGGGGTGGAGCACATTTGGCAAGCACACTCACATAATGACAGGTAGATTGCCACTATCCCTCAAGAGGAAGGTATATAACAGCTGTATCTTGCCGGTACTTAGCTACGGAGCAGAAACCTGGAGACTTACAAAGAAGGTTCAGCTTAAATTGAGGACGACGCAGCGAGCAGTGGAAAGAAAAATGGTAGGTGTAACCTTAAGAGACAAGAAGAGAGCAGAGTGGATTAGAGAACAAACGGGGGTTAAAGATATCATAGCTGAAATCAAGAAGAAGAAATGGACATGGGCCGGGCATGTAGTGCGTAGACAGGATAACCGCTGGTCGTTAAGGGTAACTGACTGGATTCCCAGAGAAGGCAAGCGGGTTAGGGGAAGACAGAAGGTTAGGTGGGCAGATGAAATTAAGAAGTTTGCGGGTATAAATTGGCAGCAGCAGGCACAGGACCGGGTTAACTGGCGGAACATGGGATAGACTTTTGTCCTGCAGTGGACGTAGTCAGGCTGATGATGATGATGATGATGATGATGATGATGATGATGATGATGATGATGATGATGATGATGATGATGATCAATCAATCATCATTTCATTGCTGTGCAATGCGGTAGCATAAGCGCCGCGCAAAAGTTTTGAGGTTTGCAGGCATGGGTGACTTGGATGGTGTGGCTTTACGATCACCTGTTAGCGCCTGCGCACATGCGCGCATTGATAACCACCGCTAAGGATAACCACACACACGACATCTCACGGGTCATAATTTCGTATGATAAATTGTATAAACGTGTGTTTGAAAAATGTCCCATACTGGTGGGCTATAGTTGGTTGACTTGCATTTCGTCATTTTTTTCCCATCCTGATCTTCTTTCCTGTTTCTTTCCTCTAATCTTTGTTTCCTCTGTTTCTTCCCTCCTCCCCTGCATTTTTGATGGAGGCGGAAATGTTGTAGGCCCATGTGCTCAGATTTGGGTGCACGTTAAAGAATCCCGGGTGGTCTAAATTTCCGGAGCCCTCCACTACGGCGTCTCTCATAATCAAATGGTGGTTTTGGGACGTTAAACCCCACATATCAATCAATCAATTCTTCCCTCCTTCCGAAAGAGTGAGCAGGCGTTGTGCTCCTACAGGTGGCAGTTGCCAGCTTGCTCTCTCCCTCTTTCCTCTGTGTCCTTATGTATCTGTGTATGCAAATCAAATAATAATAATAATAATAATCTAAATGCAACCACCGTGTCCGGGTATCAAACCCACGTTCTCGAGCTTAGGAGCACTACGCTGCTACAGCTGCTACACCTGCTCCCATGATACTGTTAAACATTATTTGCTAATATTATAATGTCACACTGAATTAGAGGGTCACTTTATTTTTCGCGGCGTCCGTTTCCCCATTGTTTTCTTTCTCTCTTCGGCAGTGGGAAATCGAGACGGTCGTCAACAGTGGTATTGACTCATCTCGCATCATTTACGCCAACACAGCCAAGCAGTCATCGCATCTCGAGTTTGCCAAGGACATTGGGGTAACATTGATGACCTTCGACTGTGCCGAAGAATTGGAGAAGATTTCGGACAAGAATTGCAGGTCATTTATGATAGAGTGTTAACATCCACAGGTGGTTAGGGTTACAACAGAAACAGAAACTAACCAAAGATAGCACGTATAGCACTTGAGCTGAAAATTGTTTTGATAAACTGGCATCAAGCACGCCGATTTGAAGCTCTGGGCTTTTTTTTGTTAACATATTATTGTTAAATATACACATTCTCATTAGCATTGCTTTAAATCTTCTTACTCTCATAAAAGCGTAATATGTATGCAATATATTTTGTTTAATAAGTTGTGAATAAACGCAACGTCATCGGTGCCATAATTATAAGTTGCTACGTATTTACATTTCGAAAGTATCGTAGACGCGAAAGTTGACTATCCATGGCTTCCTTCCGTTATGATTACGCATTACCGAGGTACCACATCTTGAATCACTCTTTTTTTTTTTCAGGCTATTATTAAGAGTCACGGCTCAGGGAGGCGTAATCGAAGAAAAGATGGCGGCGAAGTATGGGTGTTCGTCGGAACAAGCGGAGCCTTTGCTTCTCGCCGCCAGCAATTTAGGCCATTCGGTTGTCGGCGTAGCGTGAGTGAATGTTCATTTCTCAAAACCCTGATTATTTGTTTTTTTTTCTTACAATTATACCTACCCTATTTCAGTGTCTGCTTAAGAGTGCCAGCAAACGTATATTCATGGCATTTTAAAATATTTTTTAACATCCTTTATTGCGATGGCAACGAGATAGAAACTGAGGATGAATTTTCGCTATCACGGTCTCCAGGGGTTCCGTATAACATCGCCACGTTCGTCCCGTATTCTATGTGCGAGCGAAAGCGTATGTTTTATGTTGTTGTTGTTGTTGTTGTTGTTGTTGTTGTTGTTGTTGTTGTTGTTGTTGTTGTTGTTGTTGTTGTTGTTGTTGTTGTTGTTGTTGTTGTTGTTGTTGTTGTTGTTGTTGTTGTTGTTGTTGTTCACTTATAATAATAAGTGGTGCATACCCACTATGGGGAATTTGCCAAGAATCGAGTGGTTTTAAAAATTTCTGTTCAAATTTGGAATAATGGAGGTATAACAGAAAGATTACCGATAGCCTAGGAAAGTGTGGTGCTTAATGTAGTGCATACAAATATTTACACCAACAAATGCATTCTTAGAATAGAGCAATAATTTGGTTTTATACGTATACAGTTATGTGGCCATGTTAGGCCATGTTCTGTGTGCAAGTGATAGGCAGTCGAAGGTCATGTTAGGCCATGTTCTATGTGCAAGTGATTGGCAGTCGAAAATCACGGATCAAGCGCACATGAAAGCCGCTGGCCGTATTACGATCTGGCCCGTCGGAGAGGGGAAAGGGGAGTTGCATGGCTCTGGCAAGAGTTACGCACACTGCTGGGCGGGGCTGTGCGTGCACTGCGTGCGGGGCAGATGAAACCATTGAGCACCTGTTGTGTGTTTGCCCAGTGCTTCGCACACAGCGCGGCGTCTTGCTCGCCCCACATCGTCGCCACGGTCTGCCCGCCACTACACAGAGGGACCTTCTCTTTCCTGCACGGCACCGCACCCAGGTCTTCAAGGCGGTTCTTCGCTTCCTTGAGGACGCTGGACTAGATAACCGGCTATAGAAGCCGCCCGCCGCGTCCTTGGTCATGGACGCCATTTCTCTTCTTCTTCTCCTCTCTACACATCTTTGAAGCCCCCTTCCCCTTTCCCCCTACAGGCGCTGAGCCGTGCTCCCAATTAGGCATGACGATAGTTATAGCGCGAGACCAAAACGACGACACAGAGACAAGAAGGACACGAAGACACGTGTCTTTCGTGTCCTTCTTGTCTCTGTGTCGTCGTTTTGTTCTCGCGCTATAATTATCGTCATGCCATACCAACTAGCCCAAGCTGCCACACTCCCAATTAAGGTTGCAGAAGTTGCGTCTTTCCCTTTCCTGAACCTCTCTCTCTCTCTCTGGTTGGCGGAGCTCAGTCGGCGTGGCTCATTTATGGTAATAGGGATCAGCAGACTGCTCATATCTTTGTACGTGCTGTGTTATCGCCGCTGAGTTTGCCTTGAAGCGATAGACAGCGCAAAGGTCGTTGCATTCACTACAGCGGCCACGTTTCTTGATACAAATGCGTTTTGTTAAGTTACGCCAGGACGGATTCTAAAGAAGTGGGTTGATATAGCCTTACTTGGTACAACATTTCAATTTGTTCTTATCAAATTCATTGCTTTGCCCTTGCGCCGGAACTGGAACATTTTACAGTGAAGCAGGATATGGCTAAGCGAAAGTATGTGCGCAAAAACTCCTCGGGCGAATGTGTCACAGAAATTGGACAAGCCCCACTAATTCGCACTGGTACACTAAAATGAAGAGGAGAACACAGTAATGGCAAACACCAAACAACATTTCCGAATTGACGTAACCGATAATTGAGAAAAACTTTAAAGCTAGCGACAAAGGCTTACTATGCAGTGATAACGGCCTCAACGGCTTACCTCACAAGGCGACGCAGACAAGGCGCGAAATGAGACTATAGAGAATAAGTGAGTACGAATGAAACACTACTTTCGGAAAAGTTCTTGTAAACTTCTGTAAATTTAGTCTGGCAGAAAGGCCAGAAAAAGAAACGAGTGGCGGGGAAATAAATTGTTTACACGCAATTCCTGCTTTTGCTAGCACCAATAGAAAAATCAATCCAAAAACTAGAGAGCCCTTGCCATGTTTTTTTATGCTGATAATAGCATTCATTGCTTTATTTTGTACAGTGTAGTCGCTGATCTTCATTAACGCAAATTTTCGCCTTTTTTTTAGATTTCACGTGGGTGCAATTCATTACTGTCCAGAAAGTTTTACTTACGCAATCGCTCAAGCTCGAGCTGTTTTCGACGTTGCTAAGCGACTGGGAATAGAGATGAGCGTTCTTGATATCGGTGGAGGATTTCCGGGTGGCATCCGGAATTTGAAGTCCTTCGAGGAGGTAAGCAACACTTGCGTTCGCTCGTCGCATCTTTGTGGTCCAGTAGAGCAGGAATGAATTCAGCTGAATTCGGGCAGGATAACCTTATATTCTAACTTTTATGTTAGAGGAAACGCAATATACATTGTTTGACAAAAATATAAGGGACACTAAAATATAACCCGCATCAAATAATGGGAAGTTATATCATGTGTGCGAGGTGTAAAGTATGGAGTAGCCCCGCCGCGGTGGTCTAGTGGCTAAGGTACTCGGCTGCTGACCCGCAGGGCGCGGGTTCGAATCCCGGCTGCGGCGGCTGCATTTCCGATGGAGACGGAAATGTTGTAGGCCCGTGTGCTCAGATTTGGGTGCACGTTAAAGAACCCCAGGTGGTCTAAATTTCCGTAGCCCTCCACTACGGCGTCTCTCATAATCATATAGTGGTTTTGGGACGTTAAACCCCACATATCAATCAATCAATCAAAGTATGGAGTACTTCTTGTTTTCCGCAATCAATGTGTGTGCGCGAGGGGATGGGCGTGAATGCGCGCGTAACAGCTGTACTTTTTATAGACTTTCATCCGAAATATTTCAGTTTCTGTTGCGGCTATCCATACGCGAATCTTCCAATCACTAAAAGTGCCATGCCACTTAGCTTGACACGTGGAACGGTGATAGCGGTCTCCCACGCCATTTGATATAGCGGACCACAAATCGACTATTTTACTCAAACTACCGTTGCATACCGCCTTAGAGAAAACGAAAACGGTGTCCTGACTATATTTGACGCTTCTAATGCTTGAAATTGCGCTAGAACTTACTGTACCTTACAAGTTCGTCAGAATCACCCGCACAAACAAGTGCATCAAGAGAAAGCGGGCATGTGCCTCTTGAAGTACTGGCTATACTTCATTGCGCAGGTGTGCAAAGCGGTGAGATGTGCACTAGACTTGCACTTCCCCGAGTCAAGCGGCGTAACGATCATCGCTGAGCCAGGCCAGTACTTCGTGACGGCGCCCTACATTCTGGTGGCCAAAGTGGTCGCCAAACGGACTCGGCAAACTAGCATTCGTGGTACGTTCTTTGGTCGCTCTTTCCTCGCGATTCGGAGACGGGTATAGTAGTCGGCAGGAGAGGATAAAAAAAGGGGCGGTTGCCACCTGCACCCCCTTTTCTTCTCACATTCTTTGCGACTTCTCCTTGTGAACGCTCTTATTGAGGTTGATCTTTCCTTTGTGGCCGACACTATAGTTCGTTTGACAGTCGCCGAGATTCTATAGAAACTCTGCGTCGGCACCACAACTCGAAATTATTTTGCTTCCTTTAATTTTTTTTCGAGATCTGTAACTCGAACTCGGGCATCATCACGCGGTAACCATGCGTATTTTGCTCGTCGGCCCACAAGGCAGTCGAAGCACTTTTGTGGTTTGTTGAGGACTACGGGCCTCTGTGAACGCCTTCGACTTTGGTGTATAGTGTCACCGCCACATACGCGTCAGCACATTTACTGACCATTTCCTTAATTCTTTCTTTTCACTCCCTCCTCTCTCTCTTCTTTACACTCCCCTTTCCCATTCCCCCAGCATATACGGTAGCTGACCGGGCGTGTGCCTGGTTTTCTCTCTTGTTTTTCTTCTTTCCTCCAACCGTTAGGACTAAAGTCTGTGCCTTCCGTATGTTCCTCCATAGTCTACCTACCATTTTTTTCTTTTTAAAAATTTCTATTGTAATATTGCTAGCTGAGTTCTCACTGCATGTCTTGTCTATTTGTTTTCAATGTAGGAGCCCTTTGTTATCACCACGACGTCTATTTGAACGCAAGTAAAGAGAACTGCATTCCACGAGACATGTACTCCTTCCTGGACATCACTTTCCAGCCGCTCGGCGTAAGAGAAATATTGATTTTATTTTACAACGAATTTTTTGCCCGAGACGTCGCTGCAGGCGACAAAGGGTCAAATGATACTTTTTTTCATATTTTTTTATTTAATACATACTGCGGACCACACTTCGGTCCAAGCAGGACCGAAGTGTGGTCCTGCTTGGACCGAAGTGTGATCCAAGCAGGACCACACGATATGGACCGACCACACGGTCCATATGAAAACACTATGGATGTTGGTGGAGGCATTGCACGTCAACTTGTGGAAGCGTGAGAGGAAATCATGCTAGGAGTAGTCCACGTTATTTACAAGAGACAAAGCAGCGGCGGCAGAAGGGAGTGCTTGTTGTCACACATCTTGTGTGCTACTGTGTACGACATTTCATGTGTCATTTTAGTTTTCTTTAATTTAAACTATACAGCATACTCCGTTTGCAAAGCCGTTACTAGCCACTGGCGCTCATTGTAAAGGCATCAACCTCTCATATAAATGATTTCACTTAAAAAAACGCCATTGCATTTTTTCACACGAGAACAGATGTTCAGAAGTCCTGCGGCATGTGGTTTCGCGTGATGTGATGAAGGTGTTTCTTGAATGCGTAAACGTAAGTATTTGCATAGCTTTGTGGACACGTAGATATTCTGAATTTCTGCATGGTTCACTAAAAGCGTCGCAAAAAGCTTGAAAGACCCTTAAACGTCGCCTTCGATCGAGAGTAGAATGCGACAGCGAAATCGGATCCAGTGCGCATCAGCTTCTCAATCGCTTGCCTCGCTTCCGTTCTCGAAAGACACCTGAACAGTGCCGAAACGTCTGTCGGAGTAGCACCGACCATTTCAAGCTATCTTAGAATATGCGTCTCTCATAATCATATGGTGGTTTTGGGACGTTAAACCCCACAAATCAAATCAAATCAAATCTATCTTAGAATATGCCGGTACAGTTGTGCAGGGCCCACTATGCCCTAATTCTTCATTTTGCAAATGAGCGGCCAAATACAAGGCAGCACGCGAAACTACTAAATTGCTATGTTACATGCATAAAAAATTGCTATATTACATGCATTGAAGGTAGCGGATAACTACTTCAACATCCGATCGGACCTAAGTAAACAGGACGCTGGCTCAAGGGAATACGGCCTGTGCAGCCAGTGAGGCATCTTTCGTGCTGTCTATCACTTCAGCGCGAACTACCTATAGCACGTTTAAGGGTATAAGTCGGGTGCTGATCCCTTTCATAAGGTGCACGCGACCTCGCGAGGCCGATCTAATTTGCGGCTGGAGCGACATAGCCAATGCTCCGCTAAAACATTCCCCCGCCCAACACACACACACACAGACACATGTGCCTTTCGTATGATAGAAGACTTCCCGCGCGCGTCCGCTCTGTTTCAGCCACGATGATCGGCTTTCCTATCACGCTTTCGTTCGTTTCTTTTGCACACAAAAACATACGCTGCGCTGAGCGATATTGCCATTTTTGTTTTGTACGAAAACCTTATGACAGCACAGATGGTAAAATTATGCAGGGAGTGTCATAACTAAACATTTCGCAACAAAAAAAAACACGGACGAGAAGAGATAGACACGATGGGTGCAACGGGCGGGTGAGCCCGTGGTGTCTGTCTCTTTTCGTTTTTTTTTTTTTTTGGTTGCGCACGTTTGAGCTATGAATCAATACCGACTCGCCCAACTTTCAGTACACTTGTACGTATAAGTGGTACAACTACTATCACAATAGAAAGAGTTCATTGAGATCTGTGCTGCAAAAGGGAGACCGAATACCACACACGAGCGGAGACATGATGATGGCTCCCAAGAACATTTGTGGACAAGAGGGATGATAACACGGCTCTTTCAAAAATTGGAAAAAAAAGAAAGGAAAAACGTTGTCGCGCCACTTTCACTACGAAGAATCCTTTGCTATCAGAGGAAAGAAAGACGATACAAGTAGCGCAACACGGACGTCTCAAGTTCACGTGCAAGTGCTCATCACCAGATTACTGCTTCCTCGCAAGGCGTTATCGCAAGGCAGATTACAGCACGGCGGGCGTCGTTGGTTGACTCCTGATATATGAAGCCACCTATGTAGGGATCGACCCATCTGACCAAACTAACTCAGATCTACTCATATCGAAATTGAGTTCATCAGCAGTGCAACAATTACAAATTTAACAATAACAACAACCGCGGGGACACAGTGGTTAGGTTAAGATACTTGGCTTTTCGGTTAAAGCCATGTGTTCAATTCCAGCGGAGGTGGTCCCGGGACGTTTTTGATGGAGGCGAAAATGCTATATAGAGGCCCATGCTATTTCGACTTAGGCACACGTTATAGACATCAGGGGGCCGAAATGTCCGGATCATTTCACTACGGCGTGCCTGTAGTAACCATACTTGTTTTTCAATCGTAAAACCCAGAAATTATTATCAAGGCAAAAGCCTTTCCTTGCCTCATGAAACACGGTGACTTCCCATCTGTGTCGACATTGGCCGTGTAACACGAGTCACCATAGCATGAAAAACAGTCACCATAGCATGTGAAGACGTCATCATGTGACGCCATTTTAACTCCACAAGTAATTAAGTTTTGTGACGTCATGATAGCGTCAGACGATGGTGTTATCTCATCCCGTCATCGCTTGTTCAAATGTAGGCCTGATCGAGGAGGCACTAAAAGCACGCGAGCTGCAGAAGGCTACCGATTCAATTAATTCCGAAAGCAGTGCGAATCCACGTTCGATGGCTTTCGAGTTCCCGTCGTCTTGGGCGATCGCAAAAGAGGTCGCGAAACATTTACAAACTGAGTAACAAGAGACGACAGACGTAACCGTACCTGTTAAATTTATAAGTGCGCAAAATCGCGCAGCCACCGCACGACCGCCCGCGCACGCACTTGACGACGCTGTGGGGCGCCACGTGCCACCCTTTGGACGTGATGGAGGAGAGTGTGCCTTTCTTCGAGGTTTCGGTCGACGAGTGGCTGGTCGTGGACAACGTGGGTGCCTACGGAATGGTCAAGGCGAGTGGCTTCAACGGTATCGGCTTCCCGCCGGTGCACTACATAACCTCCGCGGAGGAGGCGCCACGCATTGCTGAGCTGCTCGAAGCCTCTCCGTTCACGCCCGGCTACAGCCAGCTCATGCAGGCTGCGAAAACCGTCGGTTAATCTGGAATAAACCGAGAAATAGAAGTTCGTTCGTCGTGAGAAAAGAAACAGTTTGCGTCTTAATTGTCGTGTGAGACCTGATGTGGTGCTCTACTGCTGGCTCGAAGGTCGCACGATCGAATCCCGGCGACGGCGGCCACATTTTGATGGAAACTAAATGCTAGGGGCCTGCGTACTTAGGCTTACGTAAAAGTTAAGGGGACCCAAATGGTAGAAACTTGTGCAGCCCTCCTACACGGCGTTTCTCATCAACATATCGTGGTTTTTAGACGTGAAACTTGGACCATTATTCGGTATTCCAAAATGGCCTAGCCAATGTCTTTATGAATTAAAGAAGTGAACAAATATACTTCATGTTTTCTCATATAAACACCGCAAAGTTTAGATTTAATTTTTTTGTCTCTTTCATCTACATTTATTACAGAAAATCCTACTTTTTGTTGCTTACCTGTAGCCGCATCAACAGCTGTATTCAATCAGTTCACTTGTTTAAGAATTCCTTGCTTAATAAGTCTATCTCACTTCCTATACATATGCATATGCATATGGCCTAGCTCGTTTATTTGTTTATGTCAAGTGTGTTCTCAGTCAGGAATATATAAAATAAAAGTGATGCCGTACAACTGCACTTGAGCCTTGTGCTTTAACCGTGCACGATGTTTGAGCCCTGCTTCTGTCGTCACTTCGGCGATTTCATATGGGCACTCTGCGTGTGTATTTCCGGACAACCACATGTGTAAACAAAGGCGATGAAACTGAATCCCACAGCGTAGTAAGCATGGATTGTTAGCTTTAGTTACGCATTGCTTTGTATATGTTCTTCACGGAATGTTGAAAGCACGTTGTGGGTGGTTTGTGTGCGTGCGTGCGTGTGTGCGTGCGTGCGGTGTGTGTGTGTGTGTGTCTGTCTGTCTGTCTGAGAGTGAGTGAGCGAGAGAGAGAGTGAGTGAGTGAATGAGAAAGGGAGGGATGGAAGGAGGGAGGGTTGGTGTTCTACCAAGCACGTCGACACAGCTAGTAACAACACCCAAGGTTACAGTGGCGACACTTTCCGCTTAAAGCGGCCTGTTCATTTTCCATAGTTTCTTATCTGCTCGTACTCATGCTTAGTATAAAGTTTTATCGTTTCGAATAGTCGGCGATTTCCTCTCACTTTTATCAAATTCTCCGGCAGCTAGCTCGGCAAAGGGCTACGCAATCAGCGATAACCCCCCGCAGACTCTGTAATCAGCGATGACCTCCCCGCATGCTCCCCTTACTGTGCGAGGCGTTAGGTTCCTTCTTCGCCGAATCTCGCGCGGGAACGCTGCAACGAGAGAAACGCGACGCCGAATCCACAAGTCAGCACAGAAGCGTGCTCTAGAGGCACTCCCCGCACCACTGGGTCGTCGAGAACAGAATAATAAGGTAAGTGTAGCAAAAGTGAATTTTTGCACACTGTTAGAAGCATGCTGCACTGCTAGGCAACGTGCTAGGTTATAGCCTTGAAGAAATGTGTACGAGATTATTGCACAGAGGCACTGAATCTTCTGTTGCGTGAATGCTATTGCACAATGAATAACTGCCCTATCATATCTCATATGCCACTCATAATACCGAACAGAAAAGGAAAAGTATTATTTTAACTGCTACATATCGGTATAAATTCAAGAGTTTCTGACATGGTTGAAACAAATCAACATTAAGTAAATTTCAGTGAGTGCTTGTTGGCATTCTTCAGTCACCTTTCACCCGATTAGAAATATATGCACGTTAATAAAAAAAAAAGTACAAAAACATCGGTGTTCAACCTTAACTCGGCGCCCCACTATGGTGTATCTCATAATCACAGTGATATCGGCACTTCAAACGTCAGAAGCTTACAAATTTATTTTTCTACCGTGTGGTGCAGATACGACGATGAAACTCAACAGGGGTAAGCCGGCGCATTTGCGAGTCACGGAAATGGCTCTAGCCGTGTTTTTCACACTGAGTGCGCCAGTGGCCGTGGCCCGCGTAGTGGACAACAGCGGACAAAGCGGCTGTGAGGACATCTACAGGCGCTACAACGAGAATCACATACTCTGTCGTCAGCCTGAGAGCGTGTGCCAGCCTGTTGCCTCTGGAGTCGGGGACGTCGACAAGGACATCATCCTTGCCGCCCACAACCACTACCGGAGTCAAATCGCAATAGGAAACAACTCGAAGTTTCCGCATGCTGCCAACATGCTGGAAATGGTGAGAGTTAACCGATATTTAGCTTCGCAGTTGTCTTGCGCGGATCATGCTACAGCGAAAATTTCACGCCATGATAATATCTTACCAGTTACAAACTCACCATTTCCAAGGTGGTCGCCATCAGCTCATTATAGGATGACAGTGAGTCTCAAATGAAGATGAGGGTAAATATGAGGCCCGTAGCCAGGGGGGTGGTGGTTCTAGGGGCCAGGCTGTTCCCCTGAAATTTGGATGGAGGGATGTTTTTTTTTTTTTCAATGATTACAAATAATAAAATAATAAATATAGGCGCTCTTTAAGCCTTCAACAAATGCACCCTCCCCCCTCCCCGAAAACATTTCTGGCTACGGGCCTGCCTCTCCCACCGATCTACAGTCCAGCGTGCTGATTCCATTTTATGCCTGCAAACTCACAATTTCCACGCACCCCCTAACTGTCTAACACATCCATCACACTTCCTATTTTTTTCTGTATCTAATCTGTTGCTTTAACTGACCATTTATTATGGTCCTCATTAAGTAAAGAGCCAGGTATATTTTTTAAAGAACGGCTACCCCTCTTCGCAATCTGATCTGCTCTGTTTTATATGTGTCCCGAAGTCTCATTTTGTATTTTTTTTTGTTTCACCACACGCTGTCCACGATCTTAACTTGTAAAATTCCGTAATTATTTTTAATCACCCCATTATGCATATTAAAATACTCGAATTGTAGCCATGAGTGGTAAAAGTGCGACTAGACACGAGCGTAAAAAGAAGTAGAGTTGTTGCTAGTGCTTTAGATGCCGTGTTTAAGCTCTCAACTTGTGCCTTCTGCATTCGCCTTTTGCATGAGCCGAACTCTCCGGGTGGCTTAGCACGTAAGGTATTGCACTGGTCACCAGAGTATCTACCAGTCAGTGCGTGAGGAAGGCTTTTGGCGCATGGCTGAGCTGCCACCCAAGCAAATCTGCAAAACGTGAAGCTTACCCGAGAAACCACCTTACGGAGTCGACGCATCCCGCTCTGCATATCGGGAATGTCTGTATCTCTAAGCGCGCCTCAACAGGGCCATGTCCCGTCATGTCATGAAGTGACGTGAAATCAGTGACCTCTGACGCATGAGAAAGGGTCTAAAATGGGACCTTCTAAGACATCTGCTCGGCGACAAGCCCACCAAGTCAGAGCAACGACTAACTCTAGATAGACTGTTACACAAAGCGCGAGGACAGCAACTTACCGACGCGCAGATTTTAGATGCTACAGCAGCCCGGTATCTATGCACAGAACCTACCTCACATGAAGACTATCCACCTTACGCGGGGGCCGCAGACGACCCATTTGAGCATGCTATAACTAGCGCTGAAATACGCGCGGTAATAGCAGAGCTCAATACTAAGTCAGCCCCGGGTCCTGACGGAGTCACCAACAAGCTATTCCGCAACCTGGCTGACCATGACATTGAATCACTAGCCACCCACATGAATGAGGTTTGGGAGCAAGGGAGCGTCCCGCCAGAATGGAGGGCCGCGACCGTCATACTCATTCCCAAGCCGAACAAACCCCTGGAACTCGACTCTCTACGACCCATCTCCCTCACATCCTGTGTGGGTAAGGTCATGGAGCACGTCATTCTCCGTCGAGTCACACAATATTCAGAGCGAAAACACCTCTTCCCATTCAATCAAGTAGGGTTCAGGCCGGCTATGGCCACGCAGGATGTACTTCTCATGCTGCAGGAGACGTTACTTAAAGTAAGGAGCAAAGACCTCCGAGCAATCCTAGCTCTTGACTTAGAAAAAGCTTTTGATACCATAAGCCACGCTCATATACTACACGAGATTCAGGAGGCAGGCTTAGGCCGCCGTTTCTACGAATACGTCCGCTCTTTCCTAAGAGCCAGAACGGCCACACTTAAAGTTGGGGATCTCAAGTCACACACCTACAACCTAGGCCCGCGCGGCACCCCGCAAGGGTCGGTGCTCTCACCGTTTCTTTTCAATTTAGCCCTCAGGCAACTTTCGCAAAAGCTTCGACACATCGAAGGTGTAGAACACGCGCTCTACGCCGACGATATTACTATTTGGCGTACTGGAGGGAGCGATGGACAAATCGAAGCGAGCCTTCAGGAAGCAGTCACTGCAGTACAAACATTTTTAAAGCCCACGGGCCTCAGACTATCGGCATCTAAGTCCGAGTTGCTGCTTCTGCCACCACAGTACGGCCGCACCAAAGCCGAACCTACCATACACCTCTCCACAATGGATGGCTCGGTTATCCCGATAGTGTCGTCGGTTCGAATTCTGGGCGTTACCCTACAGGAGAATGGCAAAAACGACTTAACCATCACACATCTCACCAAAAAAGCTGAGGCAGTCATGCACCTCGTCCGACGCGTCGCTAATAGACACGCAGGACTCACAGAAGAAAGCTTACTACGCATCTTTCATGCGTTCTTAATGTGCCACGTTCACTACGTCGCCTGCGCTCACCCATGGAGCAAAGGCGATGAAACTAAAGTAGACAACCTCATCCGAAAATGCACAAAACGAGTACTTGGTCTACCCATGTCCACAAGCACGCAGCGCCTGCTATCCCTTGGGGTGCATAACACGTTCCAAGAAATCATCGAAGCACAAAGAATGTCCCAACTCATGCGCCTGTCTTCGACAGCTGCGGGTCAGGAACTCCTCTCACACATAGGTCTTCCTATCCCAACTCAAGTGAACGAAGCAGAATCATTACCGCAACACCTTCACGCTAAAATCACAGTGCTACCCTTCCCCATAAACATGCACCCGGTGCACAATCAGGCTCGAAGAAGGGCACGAGCTCAATCCTTACTAAAAGCGGCCAACCTACACGCGACAGACGTGGTTTTCGTAGACGCCGCTAAATACGTGGACAAACCCTACTTTGCAGCTGTAGCGGTCGCCCCAGACGGAAAAGCTCTTAATGCTCTTACCGTAAAAACTCAGAAAGCCGGCGAGGCTGAACAAGTGGTCATTGCCCTTGCTCTAGCACTCCCTCAGCGCGACACAATATTTACCGACTCTAAACCCGCTGCACTGGCATACCGCCGCGGTACACTTTGCCAGTCGGCATTAAGAGTTCTAACATCTGTTCAGATAACTGTAGACAAGCATATCCACTGGTTCCCTGGTCATGAAGGGATCAACGTTCAACCAGGGGTCCCCAACGGTAATGAGCTGGCCCATAACCTCGCGCGTGATCTTACGTGCCGCGGGGGGTCGCGGTCCGGTTCACTGGCCGGGGACACCAACACGCACCGGGAGCCGCTCCTATCATATCATGAAATTTGCTCGCACTATAAGTTATTTAGAAAAGAATTCCCCTCACCTCACTCAGCACTAAATAAAGCCCAACAATTAACGCTTCGACTGCTGCAAACGCACAGTTACCCCAGCCCCTATATCTGCAGCAAATACCTACCAGATATAAGGCCAGAATGCCCCAAATGCCAAAATTCAAGGTGCGATTTAAGTCACATGCTGTGGCAGTGTCCCGTGCTAAACGCTAGCTTCGGGTCCCCTGCTACCGAGGACGACTGGTTCAACCACCTCAGGAGCCCCGACACGGCCCTTCAACACCAGGCCGTCCAGAAGGCCCAAAAGGTGGCTGGCGAGCTCCGACTCCCAGTCCCCACATGGGCGGAGCCACCGGGCTGGCCCCCGTAAGGGGTGCCCAGGCCCCTTCAGGACCTTTATTAAAGTTAATTCTCTCTCTCTCTCTCTCTCTGACGCAGCCTCATGAAATAATTTATTGCGAACATTTCGAATGAACATTGTGCTTATCCGTTTCTCAATCGACCTCTTAGATGCGAAGTGTCTTATGATCGAGCTCAATCTGGTGTGCGGCGTGGCCACCTTTACAGCGCATGTGCGCTCCTCCCTCTCTCCTCTCCGACGCTTCACCTCTCGCCTCGCAGCGCCGACACAGGCAGTGTAGTTTATCCTCGCTCCCCCTATCTTCTCTGGGTATCCCTCCCAGTGCGTTTACACTCTCATTGCACATGCGTCCCCTCCCCCTGGCCACGAGATCATCGGGGATGGCCTTCGTCCTCCATTGGACATCAGGTAGATTGCAGACGATGATGATTCATTGTATCTGTCGCGTAATTAAATGCGTAATACATTAGAATCTACTCTAAGTCCGGTGTGTTTTGCAGGAATGGGACGACGATCTTGCAAGAGTGGCGCAAGCCCATGCTAATCTTTGCACAAGCCAGCCGGCTTGCTCGTCGTGCATGAGAATCGGTACGTTACACCAGTCAGAACTGCTCAGCCAGACCACGCGTTAATTATTTGTGCACCAATTTCTGATTAGCGCCGATATCGTCTCTAATTATTAGGAAATGATATTTCCGGGGGCCGTTTCACTGGCTTACCTGTCACAAAAAAGAGCGCACCTTGACCATTTCTTTCTCCGTCATTCCATAATCCCCTTTTCTGCTGTCCTATTCTTACACATTACGTGTGCGCAGTGTAGTGAATGCTTCACTGCAGAGACCTTGTAACTACCATTCAAGCTGCTACAGAATGACCACACTACTGCAATGTGTTGCCTCACGAATCTCCCGCAGGAAAAGTTGTCGCATCTATCGAGTATCGGCGGAGTTGTCGCACATTAAGCCTCACGCTTTCTTTCCCCGTCCTGTGAGAACGTGCTTGCGCTAATTTACATGGGAAAGATATAGAGGATATGGACAAAAAGGCGATGCGCTGCCCAAAGTTCACACCTCCACACGTCGTAGCCTTGACATCAGATATGCGCGCTGCAACGTCGGCACGTGGCGGCATCCCGCGGAGGCCGTTGCACCCACTCGACACCGAGCGTTGCCTCCGAGATAGCCCGATGGCGCGCCGTCTACGAAATAAGCCATTGCCTGTCAAACCAGCTGCGTAGTCGGGCCGGCTTCCGGCATAGCTGGTGACGACATTTCGAAGCAGAAAAAGCTGTGTATTGCTCTTTTAGGCACAAAATAGTACATTCTTCTGACGCATCCAGCGCAATAATATCTGGCTCACAGACTCACGGCAATGTTTAGCCCTCTTTATCGGCCTTTTGCCACGTTGTAACTCCAACAGGCTGAAAAAATAGTGTTCCACACTCGCCGTAATTTATTTATTTATTTATTTATTTATTTATTTATTTATTTATTTATTTATTAGAATACCCTCAGGGCTATCTGGCGGTGCTGACAGGCACTGTCGCGTTCAAATGCCCATGTACACACCATAAAATGGAAGGGGTGGCTGGGGGGTGGTTAACAGTGCTGTAGCTCAGTTAGTAGGACATCGGGCGCGTTATTTGAAAGTCACACGTTACGTTCCTGCCAGCGGCAAGTTATCTTTTCATACACTTTACTTTCTACAAATTTAGGTTACTATTACTATACTACTAACATCTCCTACAGTTTTCTTAGCATCATTGTCCGTTAATTCTCATTAATGTTCTGGCGAATATTTGCTGTAATTTGTACGAACCAAACTATAAACATTTTTTAGCTGCAGTGGTTTACTAACGCTCTGTCAAATCTATCAATCTCTCGTATGATGGGCTTTCGTACGACGCCATTATTCACCATTAGGTACTAGATTTGAACAAACAGTCACAGAAGGCGGTTACCGACACAGAATTTCGCATACCACGTCGAGCAGAGTCACAGCATTTGAAACGAAACATCCAGGTTTTTTTTTTTTTTCCATCACTGAAAGCTTAAATATGCACTCTAAACTTCTTACTCTGTTTCTCTTTCGCCCTCATGTAGAGAAATTCCCCCGTGTCGGCCGCGCTGGTTGCTTAATACGAACGGATTCTGAAAACAACACCGCCGATTGGGAAGGATGCATAGGATACATGTACAAGGAGTCGCTCAGGATCCCCGACACAAGCTCGAGTACGCCATTGAGGACGATGCCCGGCATTGAAAGTTTCACTCAGGTGAGAGCGCAGTCACAAGAAGTATTTGTTGAGCATTTAAAACCAAAGAGGTTGATGATGAACTGATGAATAAAGAATTTTTTTTCAGTGGCCCTGGCTGGGTTTAAGTTTACTCATTGGTTAAGAATAACGCATCCTAGTGATGAGAACGCATACAATTAAGTTGCACCCCACATTCACTTTCAGTTTATTAGCTGATTACTTGTTTCTTCTTACTACAACCAACTAATTGTGCCATGAATAAACAACCACAAATGGTGACGCCTTTGCGTTATCAAAAAAAAAGCGCAAATAAGATGTACTTTATCAGCTCTAGTTAAACAATTACTTCGCAGTTAAGATAATATAATGCACTCTGAGAACGCTAGTACCACATGTTTCGCTATCACAAGTTGATTATTAGAGGTGAAAATCAAGGTTGGAATTTCCTTTTTTAAATTTTGAGCTGAAATCTCCACTACGATTGCCAGAAATTTCTAAATGTATTTTACGTATTTTTGCGAAATTGGGTCGATTGAATTTTCTAAAACTTCATACGCTAGGTTTATGGCACCCACAGATGACAATGTGTTTCATTTCTATAGAGTAGAAGCTACCTATAGGCCCAGTAAGAAGTCTTCAAAATGTCTGACGGCATGTTGTTTGCTGCGAGAATCTCAAGGTGGCGTCTCCATCCGTATTTTCTTTTCGAGAGTTTTTTCGCTTACCAAGCATCAAGTAGCGGTAAGAATGGTTTTTTGAGATTGTGAAACTGTACTTTACGAACACGAGAAAAATAGTGTTGCTCTTTAGTGTTCCTTTAAGTGTTTGTTTTACCTATGTTCAAAATTCAACTTGTTTAAGCGGTCAACTCAAGTGGCTGAATGCTAAACTCCATCAGGTAACCGAGCATTAACATGAAATCGAATGGCCACTTAAACAGGCGACAGCGTGACTCATATATGTTGCAGGGACGCTGATGCCGTATGGCACGCATTGAAGCGATCACAAGCGTTAATGATGAACTGGGTTTTCTGTGTGCTAATGCTACTCGGAGCTATATATGATGTTTGGTTTTTGTGGTATTTGCGCAGCTGGCTTGGGCGGCAACTTGGAAGGTTGGATGTGGCTACGCGAAATTTCCTTCGGGGTCGGCACTTCGCTTCGAGAAACTCTACACCTGTGCTTATGGCCCTGGGTGAGACACCTTGATCACACATATCCTATATATATATATATATATATATATATATATATATATATATATATATATATATATATATATATATATATATATATATATATATATATATATATATTCACGTGCTGTAAGACAACGGGGTCGATAGTTGATATAGACATTTTTTTAACGAAGAGGAGGAGTCCTCTCCTTCTAGGTCGTTGCACGGGAGCGCAAAGAGAGGCACTCTTCCGCGCGCGCCCCCAGGCACATCCCACTCAGCAGCCAATCGGAGAGTAGCGGTACAGTACCATTTAGAATATCACCACTCAACTGCAGTTTGTATGTACTTCTAGGAGACAGCGCCATCTATTATGCTGTTCGGAAGACACTGCCGGTTACGCCTGACGCGGGACAAGTGTAGATTAAGTGGAGCTTTGCTTTTAAAAGTACTCAAGGTCACAAGGCGTGCGTGACGTATTTTCCTTGGCCGTGCCATCGCCCCCGCCCTGCTTAGCTTCAGCGCTTTCGTCGGGACAAGAGGTAATGCGATGGCAGCGAGCGACAAATCTTTGTACTGGACGGGGGTGAACAACTTTATTCACTTCCTGCAGGTTACCGGGCTGGGTTCCCACCTATAGGAGCTGGTCGAGAGACCATTTTTTTTTTTGTGGCGTTGAATTTGTGCGGCAATAAGCTCTAATCTATTCCATGGTTACTTGAAAAAGGGTTTCAGGGCTCCTTGAGGGAGACGGCAAGTGATGATGGCGAGAGGTTTACGCTATCAGCGGGTCACAGTTCAATGCAAATTGTCCACCTCGGTGGTACACTGGTTTACTGTGCTCGACTGCTGTACCAAAGACCGCAGCTTGGATCCCGGCCGCGAAGGTCGCATTTCAATAGCGGGGAAGTGATGGAAGTCCGTCCTATAATACCATATAGTCTCCGGAGCTCTCCAGTGCGGCGCACCTCATGATCATGTCATACTATTATTATTAGTGGTGCTGGTGGTGGTATAAAAGTAGTAGTAATAACTGTGGTAGCACTAGTATAAAACTAATTGAATTTTGTCTTGTCATGCAAGTACTAAATTCACAAAAGGTTTTTTGGGGGCTTTGCATCACAAAAGTGCGATAGCATTCTGAGGAACGCTGTCTGGTCAGATTCCACAAGAATTTTATCCTTCTCGGTTCTTTTAGCCTGCCCTTAAACCGAAGTACAAGGTGTTGTCTACATTCTGCTCTCATCGAGGAGCCACCGACAACACGTTAGTTGCTGACACACTATGGCAATTGAGTGCAAAGACAATAAAACAATGGCCGCAGTTTATCTTATAATAAATGAAATTTCTCCAAGTTTGTCGTAAGTGGCTAATGAAAAAACTCGGCTAACGACTGTTTCAGGAAAACAGAAAGTAATTGAAAACGCTGGCAGAACTTACCTATCAAGTTGCTGAATCTTGAATAAATTGTTCTGTATATACTTTAGATAATTTAGCTTTGTTCAAATCTATTCAGCGGGTGGTGGAAGTCAATGTTGCTGTTATCACCTTTCAATTAAAGTTGTGTTAAAAAAAAACAAAGAATAAAGAGGCCCTGCAACACTTTTTAAGCATGGTCAGAAAATGCTGCCGATCGGTAGTTGAGGCTCCTAACAACACGCGAGCCAAAAAATATATCGCAGCGCGTGGCCTGGAATTCACAATAAATTGTCAAAGTCAGCGGAAAATCGTTCTCTCTTCTTTCGACAAATCACGGAACATGCCCAAAATCACACCTAGCGAGCCCATCTATGAGCCATTGACTGATTTGAACATGGCGCGCTCGTTCGTTACAGAGATCGCCGTGGGAGGCCGCCACTTGTCTACGCATGCACGGGCGATCACACTGAAAAGCTGCGAATTCGAAAAAAAAAAAAGTGCTCAAGGTCGCGAGGTGCGCGAGACCTTTTTCTGTGGCCTAGCCATCCCTCCCTGCTTAGCTTCTAGCGCTTTTCTCGGGACGAGAGAAGGGAGAATGCAATTGCAGCTTGCGACAATTGTTCGTAACTCCACTAACGCTGGACGGATCATTAAAATTTTCGCGGCGTTGCATTCGTGAGACAATAAGCTCTTCTAGCGAATTCATTCCATGAATACTTGAAAAAGTGTTTCAGCACTCATTTAAGAAAATTTGAACTGGAAAACAGAATGTGATCGGTGTTCCGAAAAACACTTCTGCCATAAGCGGAAACATGCAGGGTTCTCCTTCAGGGGGAGGGAGGACGAAGCCTCGTCACTGCGCTCCTCCCCCTCCCTATCATGTCAATATGTGGTTCTAGCTTCGCACCCCGCCCCTCTCGCTCCCGCAACCAATTCACACACCTATGAGTGACTGTGAAGTTCGGCATTCGCGAATGTTGGTGCCTAAATATCTTTCTTGGTTTTCTCCACATAGCGGAAACGTGCGTGGTGAGCAAGTTTACAAAGTTGGCCCAGCGTGCTCCGACTGTCCGGAAGGTACTTGCTGCGAGGGATCGTGCCGTAGATACGGTGTCACGCCTGCTCACCGTGGCTTGTGCAGTAAGTATGTCGAAACGAAAAAAAAAAAAGATTGAAGATTATGACGATACTCGCTAATGTGAACTCAGCTGCACGCTTACCTTCATTTGGCAACTACGGCTGACTGGGCGAGATGGTGCATGGTAAAATTATATTGCTTTAGCGCAGCTCAGTTTGAGCGTGAAGAAAAGATGCTACACAGTTAAGAAAAGTTCAAAAAAAAAAAACAGGCGACTGTGCGAGCGCTATTGGCAATTAATCGAGGCAATGGTTTTGAGACAGGCACGCGTATATATACGCGTATGCTTGTTGCAGACTGCTCTCTATTTGGGCTTCTAGTATTTTTTTAGATATTCATACTAACTTATGTTGTTTTTACTTCTTACTTGTTGTCATTTTAGTTATTCTTAATTTCTTCGTTTTCTTTTCATTTTCGACTTCGGTGGCGCAAGCTTTAGTTTATAAATTTTATTTTTACCTAGTGATATTTTTATTATTCTTTCCTATCTCTATTTTTTTTAAGTTGTTTACTCTGTTCCCTGTTTCGGAGGTGAACGCTTCGAAGCAATTCAGTCTTCTTCAGCAAAGGATGAGGACCCAGGTACCTATAGACTATTATCACGATTGGTTCCGGTACCGCCATAATGGGTTCAAGCGTATAGCCGTTTTGTGGTATGAACAGTGCTATAATTGGCGTATACACATGGCTACGTTTGTGTTGTTGCATTTTCCGTGTCATGATTTTATGAATTATGATCGGCATCTACAAAAGTAAAAAAAAATTCAACAGCCCAAGGTGACGGCGCTCATGTCTGTGACGTAAAACCGTGTATTTCCTGTTTGTAAACAGTGGTAGGCGACGTCAACATCTTGAGGCGCTCTTGGTAACGTAGCAACGAGTAGGCTCCGCCCAGCCCAAAGCTTCCCAGCACCATTTGTTACCACGTTCGGGAGGCTCCCCATGCTCTGTGCACGAAGGCAGCATTGCAGCTGCTGTGCTTGCTGTCACGTGGTATTGGTGGTGGGGAGCTTCAGGCTGTGCGGAGCCTAGCCCCCGTATTCACAAACGCTCCTCGACTCGACTTCCACCCTGCACTTGGCAGAGTTGAGCACTGCGCCGCTGTTCGGCTGAAAAAGACGCTGCGCTACTCGAGAATAACAGCAAATTATCAGTGATATGCGGTGACTTGCCCTGCCTAGAGATGGCGCTTCGATCGGCTTTCTCGTGTGACGGTGGAGCGTTGAGTGAAGGGGCGTTGTAGAATACGGGTGTAAGTGCTGCGACGTTGCTTCAAGCACCTCAGTATGTAGATGGCGCGCCTGCCTCTGTTTACAAACATAGAATAGCTCTGTAGCCGGCAAAAGCTAACAAGGAACGACGCTTAACCCGGAAATGGGCATCTGAGAGCTGCGCTCCAATAGGCCGATCTTGCCTAACCTAAATCATGAAAGCGTCGGGAGAGAAGAAACTACGGCTTCTTCGCACGCGCCTTCAAAAAACACGGACATAGAAAACTGGGCGAAAGAAATGCTGACTGGAAGTATAGAGGAATTAAATTTTTCTATTGATGGGCGCTGTCATCTCGGCCGTCTACAAAAATGATTTTCTTTTCGGTGTTCCATATCGTGACATCATATAATAACAGGATCATGAAATAATTGATGCACCTGTACAGCTGCTTTCATGTGTCGGTGGTAAAACTGTTGTGCCATTCATTTAGTTGCTGCATCCAGATTGTAACGTCCAGTTAATTTTAACAGGCCAACTTGGTTGCGCAGCACAGAAAATAATTGCAGGGATGACTTGATATCTTTTGAGTAAATTTTACTTGGCACATGATTTACACGCTTAAGTAAAGCAGTGCCGGTTGTTATGTCATTTTAGTGTGCGTGTTTGTTACGCAAAAAATGGCAAGGTGTCAATAAATTAAACCACTGCTTCGAATTTTTGTTTCTTTTAGCGGTGGTCGGCGATGGCCCGGGCGTTCTTTCGGATGATGAAGACAAGTTAGTGTTAAACTGCTTGTTCAACAAAGTCACTTCGCCTTGGTGCCAATACCGAAGTGATCCGAACGGTGCTTGGACGACGAAGACATTTTTCGCGAGTAAGTAACATTTCCTTCCCATAAACGGTCGCATTCTAAAGTTTTGTAACATTTGATAAAACCACTCAGTACTTGACAATGAACACTGTGTGTGCGAGCAGTTAATAGATGAACGACAGCAGTCTTTATACTACCACTCGCGTCACCCATTCCTAACGAAACTTCTTTCTTCGGGCGTTGTTTGGATGGCACGATAGTGACGCGCCAAGGTAAGACAAACAAGAACAGGTATACGAGCAAACACATTTGAAGCGACAAGTGGAATGCCTCCCTCCATTCTGTTGCATTGCGTTCGGGTGTTCGCCAGCTGGAATAAAAAAAATGCAGTGGCTTAGCTCAGCTATGCCAGGATATACGTACCGTTAGTAAAGGTTCAGTTGATTATTCTTAGCTTTCCAGATATCATGCTTACAGCTGTTCCAATGACACACACACGGTATACGTATTATGTAGCACATGTATATTTATTTTGCCGGGCAACTACTTCGGAATCCGCAGAGTTACGCTTCTCCGCGCTACTGCACCGTTGAGCAGCATTTGCACTCTCCTTCTCCATGGCTATACCACAGTGGCAAACGCCAGTCAGAGGCGCTATCAAGCGGCTCCAGCGCAGTGTCAGATGGCGACTGCACAGGGAAGGCGCGCGCGTCGGCGTCCGTATGTCTACCAAGGCTATGACGGCACTCCTCTGGAAAGCGCACACCGGCGGCGGCGAGTCGCGCGCGGCCGCGGCCGAGTGCGAGGGAGGTGCCGGCTCCGGTGCGTGACACCACTGATCGTCTGCGCAGCGCATCGAATTGCTCGCACACCGGCGGCGAGCCGCGCGCGGCGGCGGCGGAGTATCATTGCGCATGCGCAGACCAGTGCCACGCGAAATTGGCTCAGCGAGGCCAGTGTAGCTAACGCTACAAAAACAAAACAAAAAACTGAAGAACTAGGCGTTCCTATACAGCGCCTCAGGATATATACTAAACATATCTGTTGTCTTCGGCGTTTGAGAAAGCGTGATAACATCAAGCATCACATCAGTGCTTGTTCAGCTCTCGTTCTTTTTAATAAAAAAGCCTTATTTGCAAGGGGCTACCGGACTACGGTCGTCAGCAAGCTTAGCACGAACGCTCGGACGCGTGACCAGGACGCCAGTCGCGAAGCGCTGGGCGCTGTGGCCGAGATGATAGCTCGGTATGTTTGTATAGTCTGTCGGCATGCATCAGTAATATCTCGGACAATCAAACTATTTGAAGACATGCTGCGGAGCGTTCGTGTTAAGCTTGCTGACGACTGTACATAACGCAAGAAGCCAAACTGAAGTGGGCTCAACTAACGCTGCTTCTATTCCGCCATCATGTATGTCTGCTGAAGAAGGTTTGCAACATAGTGATTTAGCCACTCCTTGTGCCACACCAGCACTTGCCCCTTGATGAAGCACAGCCCCGCAGCTCCCAGAGCCGAGCATGCAACTTGCGTTTACAACCCTCAGGACTAGGTACTGCCAATGACCTACGCTTCCACGGGAAGTCATCGGCATATATAATTGTGGTATAATTTCTTTCGGAATCTGGCGCAGCGGGCTATGCTGAATCCGTGCTCGAGGCTGGCCAGAGTGCAGAGATGACCATCGAGCGCACCATCCAGCCACCTAGCAATGGCCAAATATGCGTCGAGATCGAGTACAGTAAGGGTCCTAACGTTGCCGGAACGCCTAACCGTGGACTGTTCAACCTCATCGTGACACCTGTCGACCGGCCAGAGCGTCAGAGGACCATTAACCTGTCCGGAGGGGCTGCAAATATCGTGCGCATGCGCCTTACACTCCACTACAACGTTGGCGTGAAGGTGAGTCTTTCCGCTTGTGGGGTTAGCAAACCGGATGCTAATATCTGGTGAACCTCCCGCCCTTCCTCTTTATTGCTCTTTTACTGGGTCTGGGGCATGGCTGAACATGAGGAAGACGCGGCAGGTGTGCAATGAACGGGTGTCGTTAAAGCTTATTCTCAATTACAATTACTGTATGTAAAGCAAAAACTCAATTCTAAAAAAAAAAACAGTGTGAACTTTCTCTTGTCATTTTGTGTGAGCTAATTGTATACGTGCCAGTTGGTTTCAGCAATTTGAAGTTAAAACCAGTCGAAATCAAGATCGTTATCAAATTTTCGGAGCACAAGTATTTTGGCCAATATCGGCTTGTGTCCATGGCGCGGAAAGAAACGGAAGCATTGCTGGGGCACTTTAATCTGTAGACTTCGCAGACACTTTCACATACGAGCGTCATTAGCACTTTCTCTATTATACTCTCCCCTTTCCCTTCTTTATCCTGAGAAATATCTCGGAGAAATATCACCCATTACGGTGGTATAGCACGTTGTTGTGGTGCTGCCACACAGGTCGCGGGATCGAATCCTTACCGCTGCGGTCGAATTTTCGATGGCGGCGCAAATGCTTCAAGCCTGTGTACTTAGATTTAGGTGCACGTTAAGAACCCCACGTGACCTAAATTTCCGGTGTCCTCCACTTTCTCTTATAGTTGTATCGTGGTATTGGGACCTTAATATCCAACAATTATTATCTCATTAAAATCTTTCTAACGAAAACATTTTGGTTTAGACTGGTTAGCCTCAGGTGGGCTGATACGAAGGTATGAATGCTATGAGGCTGTACGCAGTTTAAAACTGCAGCTCGGCTCACATAAAGTTATTTACACTTAGACCAGTGGAATATATTATCTACTGACAGAAACCTGTACATGTTTATTCAAGTCCACTCTATAGTATGTGCTTACAGAATCGTATTTATTTCTGGTTCATGATGTAAATATTTTTTCTTCGTGCATTTCCTTTCGTAGATCGGCTTCTTATTCGTCGTACCAGGAGGAAGCCCTGCACAGTACGTGAACATTCACAAGGTTGCGGTTTACGAGAAAGCTTGCTCCGAGTGATGTAATTATGTGCAGCATTGTGAAATAAAAAGCTTTTTTATTTGTTATTCAAATACTTTGCTCAGTAATATTTACACAAAAGTGTCGTATGATTGATTCAGTGTATTCGTATAGTTTTTTATTCAGCCTCAAGAGTGGTACACAGTTCCACGATTACTTCGATGACAACCACGAATATGGAAAGCCTGTACGAATGACAGTTGAGATGATCTTACGGAGTAACGGACTGCAGATCTCGCGTTCAACTGTTGATGCCCGGTGCTCGTTCGGTCTATTTTAAGTCGGTCTTGCTGAGCTAAACGATATATTGATGAGACCTGCTTGACAGTGATGCCCATAAAATGCAACAATGGCCTTGGCTTTTCTTAGCATGATTTTTCGTTCTCATTAAAATTGTGTCTAACAAAAAAACAAGCCCTCAAATTTACAATTTTTGCCTGTTTCATGAGTGTCTTTTCAAAAATGGTGATCATATTTTGGGACCAAGCTTCCAATAGAATAATAGTTCGCGAAAAATTCCATTGTATTCCAATGAGTTGTATTTAAGTGGCATACTTCAAGTATGTTTGTGCGTGCCTTGCTTGCATACACATGAAAAATTGAAGGAAAAAGAGGAGGCAAAGAACGGCAGGGAGGTTAACCAGCCTATAGGCAGCCAGTTTGCTACCCTGCGGATGGGAGGGGGATGGGGGAGATTAAATATAGAGAGGGAAAAGAGATGAACACAGCACATTCGGCAGCACACGCGCGCACACTCAGTCATAGTCCAGCCTTGTATTTCATTGTGTGTGACATTGCAGTTACAGCCGCTTGTTCAACTCCATGTCGCATAGGAATTTCAACAGGTCTTTTGCCGTTTTCTGTTGCAATGTCTTTTCTCGGTCACTTGACAGAATAGTGTCCACAGACCTTTTGCTTTTGTCGATGCGCGCAAAAACGTACGTTAGTGACTGTCTCTGGATGTCATACAACGGACAGAGTCATACAACGGTCATACAACGGCATCGCAGAGAGCGTTGTCAGCCATTCCTACGACAAAGGAATAAGATTTTGTAAATGCCACTCCTAGCTATAAGTGATGAACAAGGGTGGCTTCTCTTCGTTCGAGCCCAGTGGACATGCGAAGAGCAATCAAAGAGGACAGGTGGTGTTGACGATTCGTCTCGAATCTTGGCGGGCACCATAGTGAAAACGTGATTTCACGCGCAAGTCGTCGAATATTACTGGCAGCATTGGTCCGCGAAAGTGGTATGGCTTCTTCTCGTGTTCCTTCAAGAGCTGCCCACGCAGCAGTATCGGCATGTTCGTTCCCTATGACGCCGCAGTGACTTGGCAGTCACTGAAACATCACATTGCCCTTTCTCGTGTGAAGTGTGGAGAAGGCATCGATTTTCGAAAACAAGCTGTTCTTACGGCCAACGACGCAGTGCTGAGAGCACAGATTGTAGGGCAGCCCTTGAGTCGCTGAAAATCGACCATTCTTGCGGTAGTTCCCGATTGACCAGACAAAGTGCAGCGCGCAAAGCAGCTAGTCCCGCTGCTGTAGATGCCGTGGAGTGGTCCGTCCTAAAGCTGATGGTAACACTTCTTGCTGGGACAACTACTGCACGCGACGAACACTGGCGGTTCGTGGAGCCATCGGTGTATATATGTATACTGTCTGAATATTTCTTGTGCAAAAGAAGAAGAGACAGTTGTTTCAGCATGGGCGACGACAGCTCAGATTTCTTCGGATCCCTGGTATACTAAGATCCACTGTGGGTCAAATAAGACACCAAGGGGGTATCGATGGTTCAGATGCAGTAGTGAAGTCCGAGGGAAGTTGATCGTTGTATTTCACAATCATTTTGGCGAACGATGCTTGGCGCCTCTCTGAAGGCAACAGTGCAAGATGATGACAGGGAGCACGTGCGAAGTCTCTGATGTGCGCTCTCAGGACTTCTACAACAATGTGAGTTTGTATCAGATAGTCACGAGCAATTGCAATTGTTGCCTCTGTTGACGTACATCTGGGCAGACCAAGGCACACTCTCAGTGGTTGGGCTTGTACTGCTTGTAGAACACGAACATTGGTCTTGCAGGTATTGCTAAGCACGGGCAAGCTATATCTCAGGAAACCGAGAAACAGGACTCTCTAGAGTTGCATCATTGCGTCTACTGACATCCCCCACGTCTTTCCTGCCAGGAACTTGAACAATTGGGAAATAGCGGTCAGGCGCTTCTTCATATAGGCAACATGCGGACACCAACAGAGGTCCCTATCAATAATGATGCCCAGAAACCGGTGGGTTCTGGCGTAAGAAATGGGTCGTCCACAGATTGAGATGACATAAGGGGTCATTGCTTTGCGAGTGAAGGCCACCAGCGCGCATTTTTCTGGTGATATGCTGAGTCCTTGTATTAACAAGCAGTTGGCAATCATAGTTGCTGCTTTTTGAAGCCGGGAACGTATCTGAGGACGTGTGACTGCCGAAGTCCAGAGGCAGATGTCTGCGTATATTGAGATTTTAATGGTACTTGGCAAGTATTCAGCAAGACCAATTAGTGCAAGATTGAATAGCGTTGGGCTAAAAACTCCCCCTTGAGGAACACCCCTTGAAGTATAGCGTCGCGTAGTTGGGCCATCTTCTGTTAACACAAAGAATGATCTTGCAGCCAGGTAACTCGAAATCCACTGAAAGACTCGACCACCAAGGCCAACCACCACAAGAGTACCCAAAATGGCTTCATGTAGTACATTATCATACGCGCCTTTCACATCTAGGAATAAAGCTGTAGATAGTCACTTACGGGATCTTTCGTGCTGAACGTACAAAACTAGATCAACGACATTGTCAATGGAAGAGCGGTCGCATTGGAAACCAGCCATGGAAATCGGATAACTCTTGTAGTATTCAAGATACCTCTCCAGGCGGCCTAGTATCATCTGTTCCATTATCTTCTCTACGCAGCTGGCCAGTGCTATTGGGCGGTATGAGGCGAGTTCGAGTGGGGATTTGCCCTGCTTCAAGATGGGCAACAAGCGGCTTAATTTCCAGTCGTCAGGAACATTGTCATCCTGCCACGAGATGTTGTAAAGGCTCAACAGTTCTCTCCTTGCACCTTCCCCAAGATCGCACAAGGCTCAGTACGAAATACCACCTGGGCCCGGAGAAGTTGAACGCCTGCAGAGAGCTAGTGCCGCCTCGAGCTCGTCCATTGTAAAAGGGAGGTTCATGTGGTAGTCACGGAAACGGGGGACGTCACCTCTCACTGGGAAATCTGGACGAGTGGCTTGCTTGGCGATCTGCGCACTGGAATCTTCTGCGACATCGATGTCTTGCCTCCTTTGAAATAGCACTAGTGCTTTGAATGGAAAACGCTGTTCCGTAGGGTGACGCAGACCTTGCACCGTTTTCCAGATGGTGTGAGAGTGGCTTGCGAGGGTCCAGTGACTGGCAAAACGTTGTCCATCGTTCCGATGCTGTTCTATCCATGCAACGCCGAATCTTCTTTTGCACCCTCCTGGCTGCCCTAAGATCGTGAATTGATTTTGCACGCCGATACCGACGCTCCACCCGGCGTCGAAGTGCTCAGTGTCGCTCCAACTCTATGTCAAAGTCGTTTCGTGTGGAAGATATCGTCACCGTGCGAGTGCCGTTTTGCATTGTGCTCCTAATTGTTTGCTCTAACCAAGATCGTAGGCCATCGCTGCAAGCATCTTCCTTGTCAGATTTGAAGTTGGTGCATTGGACCGCTCGAATGGTCGTCCGTGGACCACAACTAGACAAGCCCATGATGTTAAGGTAGATTGGAATGATCACCTCCTCGTGTCTCAACATCTAGAAACCACTTGACGTATTTCGCGAGGGAGTTGCAGACAAAAGCAAAATCGGGACAGCTGCCGTACGTCACCTCTCGAAGAAAAGTGGGGCTACCGTCGTTCAATAGAGTAAGGCAATAGTTGTAGGCGATGTTTGCTAACCTGCGTTCCTTGCAATTGTCCGCGTACTTCCCCATGCGTGATGGTGCGCATTGAAATCACCTATGATTATCGATGGTGCAGGACACACACTCAATATATCCGCTAATCTCCTGGAATCGAGATTATTCGACGGCGATATATAAACGCCTATAAGAGTAAACATGAGTTTTTTCTGTCTTACAGTGATGCAGACATACTGATTGTCATTGTGAGGCGCAATTGGTTGCACAACATACGTCAGTTCACGACGAACAAAGACGATGATTTCGCTGCACGCACCGTTTGTTGAAGACATGACAGCTTCGTACCCCGAAAGTCTTATTGGTTTCGACAAATTGGGTTCACCAATGACGACGAGTGGAAACACGTTGGTAAACAAAACTGACGAAAATGTGAAAGACGTGATTTTAGTCCTCTGGCGTTATATTGAATGACAGATGCAGCCTTGACTTCCTTTCGAAATGATAAGGTGTGAGTAACCATCTTCCTAGTTGAGAGATTCAAGCACTGGGTTTAGGGCGTCCAATACTCCAAGTGCGCCTCGAGCAGATGGTGTCTTCATGTCGACTAATATCACTCGGATGGCTTCTATGAGGGAACGCAGCAACGAGATCACTTCACGATCAGTTTTATGCAAATCTTCTATGGCTAAAGCGGCTCTGATGTGGCCGCCACCTGCTGAGGTTCCTTGGCAGAAGAGCGGGTCGGGAGCGTGGGCCATTCCTCCAGAGAAGGAGGCTTCTCCGCTTCTTTCGTAGAAGTGGTGGGTCCTTTCTCGGCGCTACTGGATGGAACCGCTAAAGAGTGGGAACTAGCATTTCGGGAATGGGCCTTCTTTGAAGACTTTCGATGATGCCGACGTCGACGCCGACGCCGGACTACTTCGGGTGCCTCCCTGTGTGTCGAGTTGTCTCGGGCCATTTGTCTGAGAACAGCGTGCTCCTTTTGGATTCGAGGACAGTCTTTCGACGAGGCAGCGTGAGGACCGCTGCAGTTGGCGCACTTCAGAGTATACTCGCCCGACATGCGTCTTGAACATGAGGTTCAGCGCAACGGGGACACAGCCATGAGTTGGGGCACACGCCCTTGACGTGTCCTAGCCTGAAGCACTGATGACACTGAAGTGGCTTTTGGATGAACGGTCGAACCGGATATCGGAAATGTCTAACTTTAACGTGGGACGGTATGCAATCTCCCTTGAAAAACACTTTTACGCAGCGCGTATTTTCAAGGCGCTGCTCTTATGTAATGACAGTTCCCTCGTTTGCAGGCTTGATTAGGGTAGACAAGTAAACATTAGGAATGGCAATGTCGATTTCATAAATTACACCGGCAATCGATTCATCATCTATCGGGATAAAGGGGCGCATTTTGATGCCGCCTAGCTCAGTCATTTAAAATTGTTGATGGATAAAGGGGGTCGACCTCCGGGTGCCTCACCAGTGTCAATATTGTGTCGTCACGTGTCACGTTCCTGCTAGATGGTTGTTGCTGGCCTGCGCGAGATGTCCGACTTACTCGACACGCTGGGTACAATAGCGTCCATTTTTCATAAACTCTACTCATGAGGCAGCGCAATCCTATCTTCTTGACAATGACGGAGCCGAAATGGCGTCTGCCTTGTTGGTTCCTAGCGTGCCGTATTATATGCGAACGTGACACAAAGTGATGTCTAGTCCCAAATGTGAATAAGTATACCCAGTGGCATTTGTTATCATATGTATTTAGAAGTCGTAGCTGGTCGTAATACCACAGTGGAGGCTGACTTGCAGTGGGAGACCAGAGCGTTCCGACTGTAATAATCAGCGTGTTCATGCTAGATCGTGTTCATCTGCTTCCATCACTTGTACGGAGTCACAAGCGTGCACGGGGTTCTCCGATAGAAAGGAGAGGGGGTAAAATTCTCCCATACCCCCCCCCCCCGCCCGTCCTTACATAACGAACAAATTATAAGCTGCGCAGAGAATGCAAATAACGAATTGAAGCATTGGCGTGTTGATCACAGTTCTCTGTCATTTGTTGCTTTCCCGGAGTACACCAGGCGTGCTCCACCGCCATTATCGTTTTAAGATAACGATCTAAGCAATCCGTAGAGGTGGTTAACCAGCGATTCTGAAACCGGCGGCTACGCGTAGTTGCAGACATTCCAGACAAAGTGCTGGTGCAGGAATTCCCGACGAAAGCGGGCTTTGGCCCCGACTAAGTGGTTCCTGCCATTGCCACGTTGATTCTGCGCTGCCCGCAACGCCGCTTCCCCGACTTGCCGTTGACGCTTGCATTTGGCTCGGAAGGCGCGGTTGCTACTTGCGCTTTGTCCCCTGGGCCTATTCTTCTGCCTGGCCTGGTGCATTGGTCTGGCAAACATGAATTCTCTCATGCGTTGGTGTTCGGCGCTGTTGCTGGAAAGCTGGATTAAGAAGTCCGCACAAGAGATCTATCGAATTTTTAAGCAGGAAATTGCCAAGGAAAGGATCTATGATAATAGTCGAGGTAGTTCTCTACTGTTTGAGGCCAGGACGGGATTATTGCGAACAAAGACATATCGGGCCAAGTACGAAGGGTGTGAGTATGCAGTGCGTGTGGAGAGGAAGAAGAAACTGCCGAACACTTGATAATGTTCTGTAAAGGGCTTCACCCTATAGTTCAGGACGATGGCGCAGAGTTTTTCAAAGCACTGGGGTTTAGGGACAGGGAGGGCAAAATAGACTTTAAGCGGGTGGACTTAACTAGAAAAAGGTTATCTGATTGGTGGCTAAAGTCAAGGCATGAATGAAAATTAAACCCTTCACTGCAAAGTACGAATCCTCAACCTCACTATTTAAAGAAAAAAAAGATAAATCTAATGGTTAGTTCACTAAGTATTACGGCTAGGTGGCGTTAGCCACCGCCCGATCTAAAGGGTACAGCCACATCCATCCATCCATTCATATCTGCTCTCCGGGCGTTCGTAGGTTCTGTGCCCTCACCATGTGGAAGTTGTAAGTTGAACCTGCTGCGCGCGAGCTTGGTGGCATGGTTAAGAAGGAATTAACGACGTCACCGAACGGCGCAGCCAATGGCACTTGTGCTTGGATACGACACGGAGAATTACGTCAATAACGGTTCTGCCAATGACGTGTGTGCTTGAGTGTGTCGTAGAGAATGAACTGATGGCGCGACTAACGGAAACCGTTATTGAAACTCAGGGCTAGCGCTTTTTCGTTTCCCCTAGCCATATAAAGCTATCGCTGTAAAATCTGCATGACCACCTCAACACACATTGAAAAACGTCGTGAGAGGCCGGACACAGTAAATATATGGGGAGTGCTAGGTGCACTCCTCAGGTTATATGTGGATGGGGACACTGCCCCCCCCCCCCCCCACTCTTTCCCATGCGCACCGCTACGCACCACTAGTGTGCGCACGAGATGCTTAGTGGTACATACAACGAGTTATTTGTGCTAAATATGCATCTTTATACTTTCGAAACATCGGCTGTTTTCTCGCGTTCTTATCAATGGCTACAGCAGCTACCGTGGCCAAGGGCTGGCTAATCGCCGACGCTGATGTCGGCGTCTCTAATCAGCGCTGACGCCCTATTCTCCTTACTAGCAAAGTTTTCGGATACTTCCTGGTTGAGACCTGCGCGGAGATTGCTTCAAGGAGAAAAACACGGCATTCGATCGATAACTCACCGCAGCAAGGGGCTGTCGAGGCACTCGCTGCACAATTCAGGCACACTGAACCGACCAATAAGGTAAGTGGGGCAAAATGCATTTTCGCGCATTGTACGATAAATAGATTCGTTGCTATAGTCCAGGCAACATGATGACCTTGAAGATTTGCCTGAATGAGCAGCCAATACAAGTGCTGAAATAGAGCGCATAAAATCTGTGGAAGTGTGCTTGAGATAAATGTACGAGGGGTTTTCTCATAAACTAACTTGTTATTCTTTTAATGGATTGAAATGACCCCATGAATACGTGACAAACAAATAAGTGCCACGTATACCCGCAGAGTACAAGAAGCATTTTAGATGGCTAAAATGGACTCACGTTTAATAAACAACTTATTTAGCACGTGTTTGCGTCTCCAGTCACATTTCACCCCATTACGTCAGCAGCTGATTAGACGCTGTGTCATTGGTCGAGTGCTACAGCACCTTCTTTCTTGGCTTTTTTGTTATTGTTGTTATGCGGAATCATCCTAATCATTGGCTTGTTCGTTTATATCCTATGGTATAGTGCAATGTGACAGCCGGCTACATAAAGCAGGCCAAAGTGTTTGCCAATGTCCTTGAAATAGACATGTATGCGCAAGCGCCCACAAAGTTTACATGATTGTTCTGAGTGTGCGCACGACCGGAGATTCATTTCTCTCTGTTCTTTTTTTTTTCACCGTTTGGATTTCTGTACTAGCCAAAACCAGATGTTCAATATTAAACTGAGTTTCGCCACTACGGTCTGTCTCACAATATTGTAGGGATATTGACAAGCAAAACACCTGAATTTATTGTTTTTTTTTTTTCGTATTGCAGGTTGAACGATGAAGCTCAGCAGAGGTAAACTGGCGTATGTGCGAGTCGCAGAAATATCGTTGGCCATTTTCGCTGCGCTCATTACTCCAGTGGCTGAGGCCCGCACGATTTCCGCGTACTGCGGGTATTACGAATTCGGCCGCGGCTGCAGGAATGTCAACAGGTGCCCCAATATGGATCCCTTACGGTGCCGCCAACCCCCTACCACGTGCGAGCCTGTTCATTCTGGAATAGACGACGCTGATAAGGAGGTAATCCTCAGCGCCCACAACCGCTACAGGAGTCGAATAGCAACCGGAAACTACTCCAAGTTGCCACATGCTTCAAACATGTTGGAAATGGTGAGCGTTGACCTGTATATTTGCTTTACGTCGAGTGGGTCACACAGCTACGCAGAATTTGTCCTATGATAATAACTACACAGTTATTGACCCAGCATCATTTTCTTCGTTGTCAGCCCATTGTATGTTCATTGAAGCACGAATGCATCTCTCAATGCCCGCAACGCATTCTGCACTGCGTGGGCTGATTCTATTTTTTTAAGCTGCAAACTTCTTACCTCCGATATCCCGCGTAACACCTTGGCATACTTTTCAGCGTTATCCATTTCTTGACGTCACTCATTCAGCATGTCATGGCTAGAATGAAAATATCGGCCAAGTAAAATGATTACTCGTTTATTTGCATGCGTATCAAAATGAGTACGCAACCTTCCTTTGCGGGAGCAATTATATAGAATGAGTTCGCTTTTGTACGCGCTTTCTTCACGGACTCCAAGCGCGTTTTGGTGGACCCGTGCACACCCTACTTGTTAAGCGCTTAATTACGCGTGTCATGAGACATTTTTATGGCATAAAAGTATACAAGTTGTAAATACGTAGCGAAAACTCTTCGTGTCCAAAGTTTGTCTACTTTCTATAGTGAAATACATTTAGAAGTTGCTTTAAAACTGGTCTGTCTTGCAGGAATGGGACGACGACCTAGCGAGAATAGCGCAGGACGATGCCAATCTTTGCGTTGGTCAGTCATCGAGCTCTTTTAGCACGAGGAACGGTAAGTCGCTCCTGTCATAACTGCGCAGCCACTCCGTTACATCCCACTTACAGGTTTAGCGTTGCCTCAGTATAGCATCGAGTTCTTATCCAGAATTAAAAATAGGAATACGTGTTTCAGTGGACATTTTTACTAGGACGGTTGCTTCCTGGGCTAGTTGGTTCATTTCGACGTTATGTAACAGCATGTAAAACTAGAAAAGACGGCACAGACAGAGAGCAAAGGCACTTCTTCACTCTCTGTATGTGCCGTCTTTACATATATTTTACTAGAATACTTGCAACAGGAGAAATCTTACATTCATTATTTTTTCTCAATAATAAGCTTCCTTAGTCGTTTTCTTTTCACTAAGACTTCTATGTAGATTAAAATACCTCTGACACCAAATTTGGAAACTGGCGATGCTTGTGTTGTTTGAGAGTTCTGACCGATTAGTAGTGACGACCATTGTCTATAAGATATTTTTATTTTGTTGTAAAGCAAAGGCGAGAGTCAATCTTAGTTATCAGCACCAATCAGCATCTTTTCCGGTTTGACAGAGCCCCCCCCACGTGATGTTCCACAAGTTAGTCGAGTGTTGTCAACATTTGCGCGGCGTGCAATACTTTTATTGTTTGTCGCTCCTCCCGCTGTGTTGTCGAGCGGCTCTCAGGGGGATTTTTGTTGCTTAAGCCATAAATGCATTTCTTTTTTTTTTTTCTGAAAGGAATGCGCTCAAAGCACCCATATTTTTTTTTTATTCTGCAGTGCCCGCACGTCTCCCTTTTTTTTAAAACCGTGCGTTCAGCATTACCGAAGCTTGAGCTCACGTATATAAGGTGATCCTCCGCTGTTGGGCGCTAGTTATTTATGGTATTTGGGAGGGCGTTTTGTAATTGACGTGGAATTTTTCCGAATTAACCACACTAGCATTGTAGGATGCGTTAGAGCATCTGCGATTCAATCAATTTCGGAATTACCAGACACACAGCTATAGAAATTACTGCTAGAAAGTGTGCTTGCAAGCGTGCTTGCAGTGGTTACCCAATGAGTGTTTTGAAAAGGCTCTGAAAGGCCGCTCTTCTAGCTTTCACTGTGACTGTGCTGCACCTTCAGCGCAGGCCTGGTGTTTTTTTCTTCTCCCTTTCCGTTTCTTGCTTTTTCTGTCTGTTTCTTGTATATTTTTATCTTTGTTTCTGTTTCTCAAAATTTTCTTCCATTCTCCCTCTACTTATTTCTCTTCTTTCTACACTCTTCGTACCTTTCTCTCTGTTTCTTTCTCTATCCGTCTTTATTTGTTTCTTTCTTTTCTCTTCTAATATTTCTTGTGCTCTTTGTTTTTTTTTTCGGTACCTGTATCGTGTCTTTCTTTTTATGTCATTTTCTCTCTTTCTGTTTCTTTCTACCTTTCTATCCGTCCCTTTCTCTCTTTCTTTCTTATGTGCCTATTTCTTTCCATATCTATCACATTCTCTCCCACACTTTGTTCTCCTCTGTCTCTTCCTTTTTTTATGACTTTGTTGCCTATATTTCTCCGTATTTTTGTTTTCTTTTTCTTTATCAATTTCTCTCTCTCTCTCTATTTTCATTTCTCTCCGTTTTTTCCATGTTTTTATCTAGTTTTATGTGTTTATTCTTTTTGTTATGCCTGTTTTTTTTGTTGTCCTTTCTTTTTATTCCTATCTTTACCTCTTTGTTCTTTCACGTGTTCTTTTTTTAATTCACACTCACACATGTTGCACATGTTGCTGGGTCTTGCGCTATTCTTGTGGCTCATACTCACTTGATGTGTTTCCTGTAGACACCGCACAAAGGCCTCTACTCTGGCCTTTTGTCTCCAACGATATGGGCCCACTGCGGTTGGGATTCGATCCCGCGACCTTCAAGAACCTTCGGGTCAGCATTCGAGTGCCATAACCGATAGACCATTAAAAGTGATCTTTTCCCGCTTTCGACGCGTAATACCAATTTTTATTGTATGCAGCACATTAATGATTTGACTTATTTTAATAATATATACATTACTATTATTATAATATTATTATATAAATATTTTGTTATTATATATTAGTAATAATAACATATTATGAATATATTAATGATATTATTATATTTTTGCAGATCGCAAACTTTTTAGTTTTTGATTATTGCTATTATGTCCGGAAAGTGTTGCAAAGCCTTTTTAACAGAGATGTTGGTTGGTATATAAATAGCTCTTGTGCATCTCAATTAACGTAACGCGCGTCATATCCGTGAAGTAACGTACGCGGCAGTCCGATGAAGCTTGCACGCTTACGTTGCCAGCGCATCGTACGTCGCAGCGAACTATATAGACGATTTGACGTAACACATTCGGGTGCCGCCATCTTGCGTTGTTAAACGAATACGTCCCTATTTCTGTCTCATCACGAGAACTGATATGGTCAACGAATCGTCGAATGCAACAATCCAACAGTTTTCATGAAGTTCTCATACCTCCATATGTAGTCCGTTTAGTTGTTAAATTCAGAGCGGTGAAGGTAAACAGCCCGATATGGCGACATCAAAACCCCATTTGTGAAATACTCTATAGTGGGTGCAAAGAGTGAGTAATCCAAGGTGATTGATGGATTCACGTGAGCTTTCCTCGTTCGTGCTATCCTGTCAAAGTCGGGTAACTTCAAGTTTGAGAAATGGGTGGAAACTAAATATAGTATGGAGCGTTGGATTATCTATAGGTTCGTGAATTTCATCACACAAGATTTGTGACAGCGAATGACGGGGCCCGGGACACTGAGGGAAGGGCCCTTTCATACTTGCGGGAGCGAGCAAAATGTCGTGCTTGTTAAATAATTAGTCAGCGATTGCTTACTGTGATTTAAACGACGAATATAAACGTATGAACACAACTTCGCGCAGTTCTTTACTAACACTTTGCCACTCTCTCTAAGCTATACGATTTTTCCAAGACAGTGGCTCTTTAGTTTTTAGCTTACTGATAATGGGCTTCACTATACCGCCAGTCATGGTCCTGATACAGTACACTTTATCGCCTGACATGGTTCCTTACAGAGTTAGTTATAGATGACGTTACTTATATACAAACTTGGTCACTAGCACAGAATGTCGCATCTCGCGTTGTGCTAAATTAATGCATTTGATGCGACACATCGAGCTCGCTTCAACGTCGGAAGTCTTCGAAATAGGTTCTGAACCTCGTAATTTGTTTTCGTTTCTTTGGTCGCGCTAATGTAGGCAGATTTCCTTGCATCGGCCGCAGCAGTTGCTTGATGCAAGCGGATTTCGAAGACTATCCTGAATGGGAAAGATGCATACGAAGCATGTTTGACGAGTATCGGAGGATTCCCAACTTGCGTTCAACTACGAAACTGACGACAATGCATGGAGTCGAAAGCTTCACCCAGGTGAGAACCCAGCCTCGACTTGAATGGAAGTGCATTTGTGACGCAGTACATCATCATCATCATCATCATCATCATCATCATCATCATCATCATCATCATCATCATCCTGACTGGGCTCACCACAGGGCAAAGGCCTACATGTTCCTTAATTTTGCCGCCAATCAACCTGGTGCTGTGCTAGCCGCGGCTACGTTATATCCGCAGACCAGGTTTTACACCTCACCCTTTCATACTCTCCCACCCCTTCCATCGTGTAGGGTAGCATACCAGTTATCCTAAACTGGTTAACGTCCCTACCTTATGTCGCTCTCCTGCTTCCTTTCTTTGCGACCCACTCAAGATCTAACAGGTTGATGGTAATAAAGACATTACCTAGATATATTAAGTGACGCCAGTTTTCTCGCGAAATTACTTGGAGGCACATTGAAGTTAAAAAATCAACTTGTTTAGATTGATAAACTGTTCTCTAGGAAGTTTAATGTCGTTATTCTTGCCATCATAAGTTCATTGTTTTGGGGGGAAATTAAGGCCAGAGTAACACTTTTAAATTGCGCGCCAAAGTATGTCATCGTGACATGACGTATTTCAAAGCGTATTTGTCGTATTGTGCCGACAGTGATTCCACAAAATTTCCCAGAACTTGATGTGTTAATTATCTGGCTCTACTCAGCAGAGATTGTGTTTTATTTCTACCTATTAACAGATACGTATGCTAAACATTTCGTAACTGGCGCAAAGCACGGAACATTAAAATGGGCGGCAGTGGGAGTGAAACGGCCGCGAAAGTACCAACTTGTTTGTTGCCGGTGCAGCCTGAGAAAGGGGTAAACTTCCACTAACTCGCCCGAAAACAACTTATTCAAGGAGATACGAAGGTCTTAGTAAACACCGTCAAAATGTATGACGTCACGACCTAACGAGTCAGAATTTTGAGGTGTCGCCACCAGCCGCATTTTCTCTTTACGCGTTTTCTCGATAATCAAGCGTGTTCCCACGGTGAGTGCGAAGATTTTGGTATTGTGAAAAGGCAACTTACTAATCGCAGAAAAACCGTTTCCCTCTTTATTGTCCCTTTAATTGAGCGAGCAAAACGTCCCTGAGTGAGCTGAACATGCTTAATTGTTACGCCTTTATTATCATCTCGTTTATTGACTGACTCACTTATTCGCTTTGATTACAGGCATCTAACTGTGTTACAAAATTCCACCACAGAGGATTTCGTGTTTGTGAAATTGAAAAAAAAAAGAAATCGAGGTGATGTCATCTGCACCAGTAAAACAAGGACACTGTTAACGCAGTTCCATTCAGTCATTATTGGATTCAGTGCAACAATCAGCCTAAGTACCTAAACTCTAAACGCATCGCTTCCAGCTGACTGACCATTACTACAAACTTCTAGGTCACGTAAACCGTTAACAGTCCAGCAGCTGTCCTGCGCAGAAGGAGTGAGTCACCGTACAGCTGTCAATACATTTTTAGTAATCACAGAAACAGTAAAGATTAATGCTTATAGCACTAAGAAATAACTTGGTGTAACGTTTTGTTTTGTGATTTTTTTTCGCTCATGCAGCTGGCTTGGGCGACAACTTGGAAGGTTGGATGTGGCTACACAGTATACGCATCCCGATCGGCTTTCGACTCTTTTGACAAGCGCTACACCTGTGCCTATGGCCCAGGGTGAGAACATCTTTATACACACACACAAACACACACACGCATGCACACACGCACACACAAACAAAAACACAAGTCGGGCGACCGTCCTCCTCCTTTAACCACTACTGAAAACATTTACGACTATTGGCAGAATGTCTTAGCACAGTGGTTCTCAACAGCGGGACCGCGAAGCCATTTTCGGGGATTCTCGACACCCATTCCCTCAAAACAAAAAAGTCACAGTTTCTCTGTGAGGGAGAATCAATGAATGCGATAGCAATAACTTGGAATGTAAAGCTGAGAACGGCTAGCGGATCGAAACGTGCAGCGCGCTGCTCACGCACAAATGACGCACGAAAACAACACACACAGGACGAGAGCTAACTAACAACGTTTACAACTCGACGCTTAACGCGCTGTTTAAACAAAAACAACCCACGAAACGTAATCGCAGGTACAGATATGAATGTGAACTAACGAGTGTCCCAGTTGTTACTTCGCTGCGTTCGAAACGCTTGCTCTTTTCATAAACCGGGGCCTTCCCTGCGAGTGAAGTTGTCCTTCGTGGTCCAGGCAACTAACGCAATCATACCGATGAATGGCCAAGGCACACAGTTCTCCCTACTGAAGGATAAGCGCGAGCGTTCAAGCACCCCCCCCCCCCTCCGCTCCTGTGCGTGGGACAAAGTACGCATAAGCGCGCGTAGGCGCATCGCAACGAGCTGGGTGCCTAGACCGGGCGTTTTTTTTTCTTTTTTTAGTTTCTGTATATAGACATACGCATATATATACGGTGCATGATGGCTGCTTTAGAAACGGTAAAAGCCAGCCGAGACTGTCCATAAATTGCTATCGCAATAAAAAAAACGCGTTTTTGGAGGCACATTTTGCCCTGTGTCAACGATCCTTTTTAAATTTTAGTACTCTTCACTGCATAACGGGTTTGAGTTGCGGCGGAGCAACCGTGTTTTGCAAGGCCAGTGTTTGATGAGGTAAGAACTACCATCACGACGAGCACAAGCATTTTTCAGCGGCTAAATATCCTTCTTCATAAGATGGTTGATGTGCTTTTGTCGCAGTTTTCTATGGCAAACAAAAGCGAGCATATTTTGTTAAGGTTTTCACATTTTAATAAGAGTAGGCATAGCTAAAAACGCGTTGGATCTGGCAACTACGTCGGTGGCTGCAGACCGCCCAGCGTATTGCAAACTGTTGAGTTCGGATTGACATGGCATTTTGAATTGACCATTCTTTACCATAAAGCAATAAAAGGTACGTGTTTCACGTTTAAAATCGCATGTTTTGTTAAAATATGACTTTCAAACTTCCATGGCTGAAAACCACTGAAATAATGACACGCAATACACTTATGTTTGATTTTAGCTCACACCTTGACTTTTATTAATCTCACTCAGGTCACGCGAGTTTTTTTTACCACAAGCCGGTGGATCGATGAGGTTAAAAACTACTGTCACGACGAGCACAAGCATTTGTCAGCGGCTAAATATCTTTCTTGGTTTGTTTCAGTGGAAATGTGCGAGGTGACGAAGTGTACAAAGTTGGTACAGCTTGCACCAACTGCCCGGAAGGTACTTGCTATGGAGAATCATGTGAGGAGTACAACATCGCTCCCTCCTACAATGGATTGTGCAGTAAGTGTTGCAGAATAATAATAATGGTAAGCCAAGAGAGCATGCACAAAGTCAATTGGTGTCTGGTAGCTATAGCACCATGCACCATCATTGACGCTTTGTGGTACATCTCGATCGGGGCAACCCACGTCCATGATCAATGGTTAAACAATCCCTTATGGTAGCTGTAGAAGTTACCTGTGATAGCGTAAGCAGAGAAAGTGGTATCTAGAAGAGCGTCGCTGATTGGACGCAGTGCTTCAGCTAAAGTCGCCAGCTGGTTAGATGGTGAATAGATGGAAATGCAATGCGCATCGTGTCTTCCCAGCAGCACGGCCGCTATTTTTTCTCAGAGCCAGCGTAAGTGGAGAACGCGGTGCGTCGCAGAGATATTTAGACATTTTAACACGAAAGTGACGTTTTATGTCGGGGTCCACCAACATTTAAGTGACGTATTTCCGTAATGAAAATGACGTCGAAAAATACGCACAATCAGAAGACAAAGAAAAAGTTCTGGCAATGGGATTCGAACCCATGAGTCCTGGGTCCGCGAGATCAGATGCCGGGCACGCTTTACACTGTGCCACTGTTACATGCTTTGAACAAGCCATAAAAATATACGCCTTTTATATTTATCACCGTCCGCTTACAGCGTTCTTGGTAAAGTGCAGCAATTCATCATGACCATTGTACCGGCTATTAGTTCCCTCAGCGTGTCGTTTCAAGCGTCTGTCCAACACGGCTCGTTTCCAATTGGATAAGTGCAATTTCTTGAGCGCCTTAACAAACCCCCAAATGGCGACCTTACCCAAAGCGTCGAAAAGATACGTAGGAAGCCTTCATGTGCGCGCCGCCTAAGGAGGCCGCGCGCACATGAAGGCTTCTGAAGCATTGATGTCACACATAACATTCATCCATACGTAAGAAAGAAATCACGCCTTATCCACGGAATGAATGATGATAAGTGGGCGAAGCCCGAGAGAGGGAGATACATCGGTAAACGGAAACTCTCCCATGAAAAGTTAGCCCGATAAATCATTAGAAAGGCATAAGACTGTGCGTGTGTATACATTATGCAAATCAACTTTTATTTTGTTCTTGTTCATTTGTTGTTTTGTTTCTTCGTTTGTTCTTTTCACTTGCCGTGGCGGTAGGATTGCGAGGTTCCTATGCATCTGAGTGCGTATTTGGAAAGCATCTGCTGCACGATGCAGTCATTGGCAATGAGGTCTATCCGTCCGTGCTACCGTCCGTGCGTCCGTCCGGGCGTCCTTGAGTCTGTCCGTCCGTCTGTTCCTCAGTCTGTCTGTCTGTCTGTCTGTCTGTCTGTCTGTCTGTCTGTCTGTCTGTCTGTCTGTCTGTCTGTCTGTCTGTCTGTCTGTCTGTCTGTCTGTCTGTCTGTCTGTCTGTCTGTCTGTCTGTCTGTCTGTCTGTCTGTCTGTCTGTCTGTCTGTCTGTCTGTCTGTCACTCACGCTAGCGCCAGCTGCTGAGTGAGTCGTACAACTAGGTGGTTACGAACCGGTAACAAAGAGAGAGCCATGGCTTTAGGAGCTTCGCCCCAGTAAACTTCATTCTAATTGTTAGGATATAAGAAAAATAGAAAAATAAAGACATGGAAAAACCTGTTCATGCCGAAGCATACCAGGTTAAAAGACAATTAAAAAGTAATAAAAAGGGGTTTTAAATTCAACCCAAAGCGCAAATCTATTGATAAGCCAATCAAAAAATAAAATTGGGGCCACGGTAACGCAATATCGTCTCCTAATGTGTTGGCTCGACGAGCACAGAGGTCTTCAGAGCTCTTTTTTTTTAATGATTTATGAGGCAGAGATGTTTGTGTCATTGACATGCCCGTTCAATAAGAGGAAGGGGGGAAGAAAGAAAGAGATAAAGAGGGAAATATGAAGAGAAGAGAAAGTGCAGAAAATTGTAAATGGTTGTCAAGTTCATGACACTGGCACTGGTACGGTAGTGTCGTCCGTGGATTGGCGTCAGTGTGATGCGGGTTAGTTCGCTCATAAAAAAAAAAAAAAACTTTTCACACCACAGAGCAAGGCGTGTGGTTCGTCTAGAAGTACTACCTCCGCGTACGCCGTTTGCGCTCGCCCAGCGGACAATCGCAGCCGGCCAAAGGGAAGAAGCGACGTGCGTTGTGTTTCCCCCTTGTCGGGCTGTGGCGTTTAACTCCGACATGCCTCGAGTAGGTTACCTTGGCCCAAGTTTGGCGTCCAATCAGTCACGTTCTTCTGGCCGTCGCATCATTTTCTCTGCTTTCGCTGTCAACCCTTGACTTCTAGAGCAACCACAAGCATCTATGACCACAAAGGTTTGCTTAGTCATTAACGATAGACGTTAGTCATTTGGATGGATATATATGACAGGGCAGCAACGTAGATGCATTAAGCAGTGACATAGCTGTCAAACACCAATACACGTTGCGCTAGCTTTTATACATCAATGTACAGTCAACATCAAACTACTTCGGTAAGGACACATTTTACTTTCGTGTTTTACCGATTCCTATGACGGAGGGATCAACCACGTTTTTTTTTTTGGTACAGATGGATGCTATGAGCGACGCTCTCCCTCAATTGGGTATGGTGCTACCTTGAGCCGATGTCGCTACATTGAGGTGTCGCCACATCAAAGCTTTAACAAAATTGCACTTCTCGTATTGAAAGCGCGTTGAATCTGATGGTCGCGTAGCAACGACGAATTGCAGGAGCTAATCGCGGAGGCCACAGTTATGATGCATCATGAATAAATTCGCTTTACCGCTCCCGGAGGGTGACACCATCCACCACCCAAGAGCACAGTGAGAGGAAAGTTATAGATAAATGGCACGTTTGGAAAGCCTTCAGAGTGTTTGACCGTGGTCACAGTATCGGGCCCGGCATCTGTTGTCACGGAGCGATTTTTTTTTCTTTATCAGATAGTGTGCATTTTTTGACGTCACTGCCGGGACGGAAATACGTACGTTACTGGAGCGCAGCATGAAACACATTTGTGTATTAAAAACGATATTTTTCAGAGGTGATCGACGATGGCCCGGCTTTTCCTTTGGACGACGAAGACAACCTGTTGTGGGGGTGCTTGTTCAACAAAGCCACTTCACGTTCATGCACCTTCCAAAGTGATCCGCGGGACGGTTGGAAGACGAAGACGTTTTTCGGAAGTAAGCCTTCATGCATGCCTAGTTCTATTCCGTTCACGCTGTACTGACAAGGCTTGTTGTTTCGCGAGATATTCAGATGATTTGCTGTTGTCCAATTACAAAAAAAAATATCAAGAATACGTGCAAGAACAAAATATGTTTAAGGTGATGAGTTGATGCATTCATACCTTAAAAAAAAGAAGTCACCAAAAGGTCGCAAATAAGAAAAAGAAGAAATGTGACAGTGGCGTGGCACACAATAACAAATTACACAAAAGAAAAGCACCACAAGAGTGGCGTATACAAGATATCACTGACCAGTTTACAGCTATATATGAGACGCTTTCAAACTTATGAACGTTTTTTTATGCATTCTCCTGCTGACGCATCAATATACACGAATTGATACTCATTTACTAATAAATCTCAAATATATTGACATTATGTCAAGAGGAGCTAATGTTTCTTTCTTTAAAATGTGCTTATAAAAGATCTCGTGGTGCGGGCCTATACAGCTTATCGGGATGTGTATAGGCGAAGTATAGGGATTAGTACTATCATCTTGCATATCAGCTTCTGGAAATATTATCTTGGCAATGTAGCGAATAGCGATGACTTGTTGGTAAATATGGCTTTACACAATGCGCCGTTGCAGTGCGACATTATAGGATATATGAAGTAGAATCACATGTATGTGGGCGAGTTGGTTTGCGTTTATATTGAAATATACAGGGGTGGTACGATCGGCACCTGCGACGTCCCCTGTTTTTCGAACAAGACGCCGAAGGGCTTCTATTCTGCTGAAATTCGTTCGAAGCACATGCAATGCCCTCACGAGCCTGGATGTGAGGCAGCATGCGGTTCGACTTTGCAACGTGCTTCACGAGACGACCTTCGCTGTTTTCGGTCGCCACATATTCCTTGCAGAGACAGCGGCGTCAGCACGGACGACATACCGTCCCGCTGATTGAGCGGTGAAGTGTGTGTCCTGTGATTGGGCCGCGCGATTTGGAGCCGTTCCCCCATCTACGGATCTAGGGAAAAGGGACTCCTTATAATCAGCCTCCGCGGGCTCCTTACGGACGAGAGTGTCATGATGTAGCGAAAACGTTTAGTGTTACTGCAAGAAAGGTGGACAAGTTGGGACGTATGCATTTAGCACCTGCCCTCTCCCTACCTCCCTTTTTTGTTTCCCAAGAGGCGTGTCTATTTTGTGGTGACCCCGCTCCTAACTGCAGCGGAGGATCACCGCGGGTTCACGCTTAGCGAGCCACAGGGCCGTTACTCCGTTTACTCGCGTGTAGCGCACCGCTCCGCGCGCGCTCAACTAATAAGGCGTTTAGCACGGCGCGGCAAATAGACAGTGTTCTAATGCAAAAGTACACAACACTTTATTGCCTCTGGCGGCACCCCGAACAACAGTACAACGTCCGCTCCCGGGACGCGGGTAGCAAAGGCACCCGCACGCGGACGTTCACAATAAGGGGAAAACCGCGAGCCCGTCGCAGCTGGCAAGGGCGAGCTTTGACACGCCGGTCGGGAAAAGGTCCCTCGCGGCTATGCTGCGCACTCTCACGATGGCCAATGGGCCTGGTCGCGAGTGTTAGGGCAAACCTCGTACGCGTAGGCCTGCGGCAAGTGCGGCTCGTTGTGGTACGACCACTTCAAGCACTAGGCACCGCTGTGGGCTTAGCGTACGCTACCGAAGCTAGCACTCAAGTAAACACGCCTGCCGAGGTGCCCAAGGCCACCCCAGGCAGGCTACAGTCCGGCGATTCCCAAAGGGGACGCGGACGAAGGAAAACACGTGCTTACCCGGCGCCGACCAACGGAGAAGAGTCCGCTCCCTCGGCGCGCGCGTACCGCGTGCTGTGCCCGCACGTGGCGCCATCTATCGCCACGTGGTGTTAACAGAGCGGGAAAGCAAAAGGGTGTGGCCGTGTGGCGGAATGCCCGCGAAATGGTCGCGGGCGCGCCTCAGATCCCCACAATTTATGCACCTACGAAATGAACGTTCATGTTGTTAACCAGCGCCAAGTCCTGTCAGTCTCTCTTGTCACGTGTGTCTGCACTGTTCCTTGTTGGGTGGCCAAGTAAACAAACTTGGGTAATTCATACCTTCTCAGAGTAAAGCTGAGCATAAGCATAGAGCTGAGTAAGCATGAGGAAGTAAAGCACTTCCCAACGGAATCTCACGCAGTGGGCCACGCCGAATCCGTGCTCGAGTCTGGCCAGAGTGCGGAGATGACCTTCGAGCAGCCCATCCAGTCCAGCAACGGCCGGCTGTGCGTCAAGGTCGAGTACAATAAGGGTCCCAACGTCACTGGAACGACCGACCGCGGAGTGCTTGACCTTGTGGCGACACCTGTCGATCGGCCTGACCGACAGACCGTTGTCAATCTGTCCGGAGGAGCAATAAACCTGATGCGCACGAGCATCACGCTCCGCTACAACGTTGGTGTAAAGGTGAGCTTTTCTACCAAGGAAACTATTTAACGGTAATCTCTGCGGTTTATATAGCGTCCCAAAACCACGATATGATTATGAGAGACGGCGTATAGTGGAGGGCTTCGAAAATTCCGACCACCTGGGGTTCCTTATCGTGCACCGAAATCTAGGCACATGGGCATTAAGCATTTCCACCTCCATCGAAAATGCGGTGGCCTCGGGCCGGGATTCGATCCCACGATGTTCGGGTTGGCAGTCGTGAGCCATAACCACTATACTGTCGCTGCGGAGGGGGGGAAATATTTATTTATTTATTTGTTTGTTTATTTAGGAATACTACACAGCCCCGAGATGATGGATCGTTATGATTGGGAGGGGAGGGGGGGATTTCGAACAATTCATTGCGTAATATATTAGATACATGGAAAGATTCATAAGCTGTCACAAAAAGAAGTAATTTACCAATTGCCTAATCACGCAGATGTTATAGAATAAATAAAATAACAGTAAAATGATAATATTGATATGAAAAAAAAAAACTTTTGGAGTTTGTGAGGCCGCAAGCGTTATAGTGCGAGCTTCAGAAGGGTCATTATTAAGCCCCGCCGCGGTGGTCTAGTGGCTAAGGTACTCGGCTGCTGACCCGCAGGTCGCGAGTTCAAATCCCGGCTGCGGCGGCTGCATTTCCGATGGAGGCGGAAATGTCGTAGGCCCGTGTGCTCAGATTTGGGTGCACGTTAAAGAACCCCAGGTGGTCAAAATTTCCGGAGCCCTCCCCTACGGCGTCTCTTATAATCATATGGTGGTTTTGGGACGTTAAACCCCACAAATAAATCAATCAATCAGGGTCATTATCGAATCAGAAGGGAGGCTAGACGTGCGCGGCGATGACCAGTGTTCATTAAGGGTTGTATTTTAACGCTGATTACTTAGCGTAGAGCAAAGATATGTTACCAGACGGGAAAAGTGGAGACGCCTGAGCTTCATCTTCAAGAGTAGATTGCCATAGTGCAATGGGGTCTCGTGCGCAGCGCCATCTGAACTTCTAGCCACGCTTCGGTGCGTGCCTCAACCGTGCTGTATAACCGTGCTGTCGAAGTATCATTGAATGCCTATTGCAAGCGCGGCTGTTAACTGTGCCATAATTGTTCATCTCGCGAATCGGCGACGAGCGCACTACACGTCCGCAGGACAACACGCTAACTATATACGCAGCTGCTCACTTTCTTGGGCACTTAACAGCTGTGCTTGCAGTAGGCATTCTATGATACCTTGAATGGCTACGCACACAGTCTTTCGTTTCCTTGTGGCGTGGTTGAGGCATGCTGATAATGATGCTAAAATATGTCTGAGCGCTTTGTAATGAATGGGCCTTTAAAACCACCCGCTCGTTGCCCAATTTACATCTCTTGACACCTGGCCCGATTCCACGCTTCTGCAGCCCGATATATGATGCGTTGAGGAGACTCCTTTATCTACATGACACTCATAAAGAGTGTTAATTTCAAAATCAGTTTCTACAAATGGAGTTTCTCAGTTGTAGAACACCTCCTTGCCATGCAGACGACCTGGGTTCGATCTTTACTCAGACGTGGAAATGATTATTTATTTTATTCACATCTTTTTTTTTTAATTTTTCCATCGCGGACAATATGATGATTTTTCCATCACAACCATCACACCAATGCCAACGGGGAAATCCCTGCGAAACCAGCTCTCTAACTCTAACGCGTTAGAACACGAGGCTTGGACGGCACGCGCAAAACAGTAGAGTATATCTTTGCATCTGTGGCAGATACCACGCTGGGGAATTGGCCAAGAACCGACTTCGCAGTGAAGGGTGAAAGTGCATCGTTTTCTTTTTTTCTTCGTTTAAATACGAGCAGCAGTTGCGACTTCTCAGCTGCGCAAGTGAGTCCTCCGGCTAAGGCATACCCTCGAACCTCATTTACAGCTTCCGGTAGTACGTCTTGAATGGCACCGTCCGACCCTTCTTTTCGTGACGTCATCGTGACGTCATCGGCACAAAGCACATACTGCACGTCCGGAATTTGATCTATATGGGAGTGGTGGTAGCTTTGCCATGAGCGCGTTAAACAGGGTGGGCGAGAGGACTGAAACTTGACCTCTGCCGGAGGGCTTCGTAGTGCCTGGCCGAATTTCATCAGTGCCTACGTTCGGTCAGATAAAAAGGCACGGACGCAATGCTGGGGGCGCTTGCCGCATCGTGATCTATTATGCCCTACTATACACCGCCTCGACGATCAGGCCATCCATCGACTCATCGACTACTACAATGCACATTGGATTGAAGGAACACATCCTCAAGAATGGAGGCACGCCGATATCACATTTATTATTACACCTGTCAAATCCTTGTCACTTCAAAAATTTGAGGCCAATATCCCTGACTTCGTGAAAACTTACCGAACATGTTGTTTATATCTCACTACGAGATTACCTCGAGGCAAACAACAACTTTCCCAGGAGTGGCTCACGTTTCCTAGGAGAGAAGCAGAAGATGAAGGTAGCTACATGAAAAAGAGGACGAAAAGAAAGCGTGCCGGTTCATGTTTTCTGTTCGACCGCGGTGCTTTACGTCACACACCAGCTGCGTGCATGCGCACGTGTTCTGGGAGTGACGTCACTCCTGTGCGAGGTTCTTCAGTCCCCATATTACGCATTGCGCCCGGTTTAAACAGCTTCGCTTAGAAAGAAAAAATAATGTAGGTCCTCTTTATTCATATTATACGAGCTACCGTTACACGTTGATTGATTTGTGGGGTTTAACGTCCCAAAACCACTATATGATTATGAGAGACGCCGTAGTGGAGGGCTCCGGAAATTTCGACCACCTGGGGTTCTTTAACGTGCACCCAAATCTGAGCACACGGGCCTACAACATTTCCGCCTCCATCGGAAATGCAGCCGCCGCAGCCGGGAATCGAACCCGCGACCTGCGGGTCAGCAGCCGAGTGCCTTAGCCACTAGACCACCGCGGCGGGGCTACCGTTACACGTACTCGTTTCTTTAAGGTGAACGCCTCATATGTGTCATGCGAAGGGAGCCATGATGTAAATCACGGTGTGAGCATAAAATGGCCGACATGACCTGGCGGACCACCAGGGTTTTTTCTTTTCCGCACCCCAGGTTGATTATTTTGACCACATGTCGTCTCGCTCCGGTTCCTGCAAGCTATAACATGCCCCAGTACCGTCATACTCAACGAGATTTACCCTGATGTCTATCTGACCTGCTAGCACGCAATGCTGCCAGAATGTCCAAGTAACTTTCTTAACGTTGTCGCAATGCTGTGTCAACATTTGGTGCTACCAGGAAACCTTCGCGTGGCCTGTGGTTAAATCGTGACGCTATAGCACATATGTTCTGGTAATGTCGAACCCGTATATATAGAACTCGCTAAAAACGGGAATTAGTTCGGTATATCGAATTATTCGATGTAAATTGTTCAATATATTTACAGTATTTTTCAATGCGAATTTTGGTGCGTAAGTTTGCCTCACGAAACTGCTTTACGATAATGCAAAAAAAGGCAACTTAAAGCAAACGCAGATTTTTTTATAGTTTTTATTTTTTTAGTTTGTAGTAGGAGGCAGTGATTAAATGCTGATTCGGGTTGTAGGTGACAAACTGTAGTACCGGTATGGCCTTCCCTACCACACCTATCACTCCCCAAAATGCACGAGGAAAGTCTCCTTCCGTTAAAAAATCCCGCCACTTTCGAGGGAAAGCCAACTCTTGGGGGCGTTTCGCGCTGCTCGATATTCGATAAAACAGGTGTTCCGACTATTTGATGAAACTGTAAGTTTTCCTATGTACTGACGTTAAATAATTTTCATGCTCAAAAACAGTCCGACTTTTGGATAATTCAATTTAGCCGAGTTGGATGTAATCGGTTCAGCTAAATGCAATTAAACATTTCAAATGAGCAATTAAACAGTATACTTTCTACGAAAGCTATACAAACTGAATATTACCGGTAGTCTTATGCATTTGCAAGCAGTTTATTGATTTTATATTCTAAGCATTATTTAATTATTTTAAGGGTTCACCTTTTAATTGAATATTTATTGCTCATTTTGTTATTCCTTTCCTTTCCTCCTTCCGTCAGATGTGTAGTTGCCTATTTGAATTCTTTTGCAGCGAAATGGCCAGAAGAAACGAAAAACCATCCGGCAGCGGCGCCATGAGCGGGCCCCATTGGCTGCGTTATCAGTTACGTCATTCGCAGCGTCGTACCCAAGCACGCGCGCCATTGGCTCCGTTGTGAGTCAGCTCGCGATGTCAAACGCTTGCAACAACGCGCGTTGTTGCGGCGTCGATGTGATGATTGCGGGAGCGCTTTCACCGGGGCAAACACCCGTTTTCGGCGGAAGTTTCCCCAGCGGCACTTTGGCTTCGGCTGCGACGTCTGTGGTTCGAGAACAACCACTTTTATTAACGCGTTGCGAAACGCAATGAACCATTCATTACGCTCTCCCACGACCACCAACATATTTGCACAGCGCAAGACTACGAGTAGTTACGACGCAACTACAGAAGAAGAGACAAGGACAGAAAGACCACTAACTTCAACTGAAAGTTCAGATGAAGAAACAATTCGACATATCCTGTGTGACTGCCCGAAATACAACCTTGAAAGACAACACCTTTCTAATAAACTAAACAGGTTAGATGACCAGCCGCTGTCAGAAGAAAGTATACTGCGCCATCGTCATGACTCATCGTCACAGAAGAAAGCCGTGCAAGCGCTACTGGGCTTCTTACGAACTACTGGCCTGTCGGAACGCCTCTGGGTGGACTGATTTTGTGTGTGCGTGTGTGTCGGTGTTTTTTTCTTATTTATTTTTTACTCTCCCTTTCTCTTTCAACCCCCTATTCCCCAACCCCAGTGTAGGGTAGCATACCGGATACTAGCATCTGGTTAACCTCCCTGCCTCCCTGCCTTCCTTATTTCTCGTTTCTCTCTCTCTCATTTGCGAAAACGCTGGAAATATACACTCGTAACAGAACATCACCGTGCAATCTCGCAACATATTGCATCACAATATGGCAATCATCATCTCATTATATGGATAGAACTCCACACCTCAGCGCAAATTTTTAATCTATTGTGTCACAGTCAGAAACTCGATTTTTTTTTTTTAGCCAGAGCAAGCGAAGGCATGCTGATACATCGATCACCCAGCATTTCCATTTGATTGGCTTCAATAATCCCTCATGTTAGCTGCTGACGGTGTTTGGCTACAACAGTGCACTACGTCGTAACTACTCGTAGTCTTGCGCTGTGTAAATATGTTGATTCCTAATCATCAACTAGCCCAAGCAACTGTCTTATCAACCCACGACCATGATCATGCGAAGCACAATGTGCGGCATGTGAAACAAACACTGTGGTAAACCCAAACCATACGTGTCTCTAACTTCACTAAGAAGCACGAATATGTAAGCAATCATTGTTAAAGCTTCAGTGCAGCTTCAGCTTCCGCTGGTTAACAATTTGTACGGAGTGGTTGGGCGGCGATATTTGTTCACACTCCTGTAAGAACCTGTTAAATGAACAACAAGGATAAAAGAAAAAGAACAACAAGGATAAAAGAAAGGATAAAAGTACAATTTCACAATCCTGAAAACACCACTCATGCCACGGCACGACGCTTGGTAAGCGTGAAAACGCGCGAGAAGAAAACGCGAGTGGAGACGCCACCTTGAGGTTCCCGTGCCAAACACCGTGACGTCATCAATACTGAAGGCTTCTACTGGGTCCCATGTAGCTTCTAACTAATAAAATTGAAGTTGATTGTCATCTGTGGGTGCCATATATCTAGCACGAAAAATCGCAGAAAATGTGGTTGAACCAATGTCGCAAAAGTTCGAAAAATATATCTTAAAGTTTGTCACGTCACGCGTGGACATTTCGGAGCAAAATTTAAGAATGAACTTCAACCTTGATTTTCTCCGCTAATAATGAACTTATGACAGTCGAACATATAATAGAGTTCTCAAAGTGCATTTACTTATCTAAACCAAGTCGTTGTTTCTCTTTGGTGTCCCCTTAAGGCGTACGGTATTAATAAAATAAGACAAACCCATTTGAAGTTGTAGGCCATCTGAATTATTGTTGGAATCTAGCATTTATGTCGTGCTTAAATCTGTCTAATTTTCTTCTTTTTTTTCGCGAAAAGACAAAATCTCGTGAATTGTGCCAAAGGTGAAGTGTACGCGCGCTCGCAAACAGCGCTTCCATGCGGAATTTCATGATAGCGCGGCTGCACTCGTACATCACCGCACCGCACCGCGATGATAAGCGAATGAAATACAGAGCTCTTGTGTCAGATCCTGCTTACCTCTTCTATGTTGCGTAGTATGCGTATGTATGCGTAGTTCAGAATCGTCTTTAGTTATAATTGTTAATGTAAATGTAAATGGCTGGATGATCGACCCTTTACTCTGGAGAATATCTTGGGAGCGTGACCTTCACTTTGAATTTGAATTTTATTCATCAAGCGTGAACATGGAAAAGTGCATGGGTACAGATTCACTGGGAGGTCCCAAGGTAAGAACCGCAGGCGGGACCTCCCATGATGGAAAAAAAAAGGTAATCATCAAGCAACACTGAAATACATTGTCAGCAAATAAACACAGCATAAAAAAGAGAAAGATGAATAATTACTTACTTCAGCCCTGAAAGCCACACGAGCCCTTCGCAATTCTTGAGGGCAACGTCACTGTGTGACTGCCTGTGAAACCTGAACTGTGTGTGTGGTGTGTGTGTGCAATGCGTATCTCCTCTCTCTATACCTCATTCCCCTCTCCCTCGTGTAGGGTATCAAACTGGACTTAGTCTAGTTAACCTACACGTACATTTCTGATATTTTTTTCTTCTCTCTCTCTCCGTTCTTTCGCAGATAAGCTTCTCATTCATGGTGCCAAGAGGAAGCCCGGCCCAGTACGTCAACATTTACAAGGTTCTCATTTACGAGAAGGCTTGCTACGAGTGATATGATAAACGTGCCGCATGCCTCGAATAAACAGTCTTGCGTTGTTATTCCCGTTGAATGCCAATTTGATTTGTGAAGTTGGTGCAGAAATAACTCAGAGTACACCGTATTCGCATAGTTCATATACTCAGCCCTACGATTAGTCAAGCTGTTAGTTCGCAGATCACTTGTGACGTGGAGGGTTGTACGTACATAACCCAATTAAGCAGCTCTTTTGGGGAATAGTGGACTTCATACATGGCATTCAAACACTAATGTTCAGCGCTCGTTACATCTGATAATGGTGATTGTGGCCTATATGTATGGCTTACACACTATCTGGGGGACTGGCCGTCTATTTGCTGTCTATTTCTTCTTTTCATACTACTGTAGACAACGTACGTGAACGAGGATTGTTAGTATTCAGGAACCGAGTTTAAGAAGAGGAGATTTCATTGAAGTCTATCTATGGCTGCCGTCAAGTGGCGAACGATGCTAGCAATAGGCCGTCTACATTTCCCTTTTTAGTTCCGTGCCACGTGGGGCTTCGCAGCTGGAAACGTCAAATGACATCAGTTACGTCATTTACGTGGGTTATAGCCGACCGATACATCGTATCAGATAGGTATAGTATCTGATGCATGACAATTATGCGCATGTCTGGTGCGACTGCGCAGTGGTTAAATACTATAGGAGCACAAAAGCGGCAGGTCGTTCTTTTGCTCTGCAGCGGCCATGCACGCACCCGCCGCTCTGATTCGTCTTGTTTCTTTGTTTCTTGTAGAAGGCACAACAAGTTCGCCTCATTAATAATAAAGCTTGTCTGCTGCACCCGCGTGTATTGTGGATTCCGATGGCATCTGGTATGAGGAGCTGGGTATGCCCAGTACACCCTCGCTCAGCTGTGAGACCAGTTTCTCACCAAGCAAAGGAGGGTGACCAGAGAAGAAGACGCCGACAGCTATAGGACTTCCCCCTGAAGAGACTGTTAAAAAAAATCTTGCCATTTAATCGACTATCTCTGTCAAAATGGGCGAACACCAGCTGCCGACAGCCGTCATGCTGTATTCATTACACGCACGCACAATTAGGCTTTTAACCACATCGACAGTCGGCGAGACGAAACTGTCATCCGTTTACTATGTTGTTGTTTCGTAGAACTGGAACGAAGATTGCTGCTGTAAATTCAAAATAATCATAATTGGTGGGGTTAAATGTCCGTAAACCACCACATGATTATGAGAGACGCCGCAGCGGAGGGCTCTAGTAATTTCGACCTCCTGGGGTCCTTTAATGCGCACCTAAATCTGAGCACATGGCCCTCGAGTATTATCGCCTTTATCGAAAATGTGGCCACCGCAGCTGTGATTCGATCCCGCGACATGTGGACCAGCAGTCAAGCACCACATTACTATACCGCCATGACGGTGAAACGAAGTAAACTAAGCTACTGAAGTAAGTTGCAGCAACCGAAACGACACTTTTAGAAGCAGATGCGCATTTATCCAAAATTACACATAACATAATTTAATGGCGAAAGCCATCTCGCATAATTTCGGAATTTCTAGATCCCTTCTCGTAAATGAACTCGGATATACAGAAGTCTTACTAGCACTTATAATGTTCACAAAAGAGGCTGGTGCTCGCTCCAACCGCACTCTGCCCTCGTCACCGGATTGAATCTGCGCTCCAGGATTTGGTCGAACTTCTGCAGCGGACACGGATCGGCGCAGCCCTTGACGGGAATGCTTGTTGCATGCTCGCCACTCGCCTTGTACAAAACTCTGACGAACTTTTCGGCGGTGGAAGCGCCACTGTGAGTGAACACTTCGAGTATGACGGCGTCTCCGTAGAGTGGCCTATTGCTCAGCGTGCCATTCAAGCCCAGAATGACTCCAGCGACGTTCATGTCGTGGTACGAGTAGAGCGTCACCTTGGGTCCCCCGTGGGAGTCGTCCTGCCCCTGCGTCAGCATCACGCTGCCGCCAGCACGTCCGCGTTTCATGCTTGCCACGAAGTCCTTGAGCAGAGCACCCGCCATGTTGTCCTTCTGGTACTTTCCTATCAATTCGACCAACTGATCGTTGAGCCAGGAGAGCTGACGGATGTGCCTCACGCCCCATTCGGGCAGTGGGAGGCCGTTCTCTTGATTCACGAACAGGGCATCTACGATGCGGGCCGTGGCCGCGAATCGCGCCGCACCGGCCTCATCGGTGACGTTGGCCACAGTCGCAACGAATTCTAGTATGTTGCCCGCGGTGGCAAAGTACTGCGGTGCCGCTGTCTCGCTAGATGAAGGCTGTTGAAGTGGCCGCTTTTCGACCAAGGAGCAAGGCACTTCGGTAGCGTACAGCGCTTTCAAGCTCTCTAGGAAACGCGGCAGACAGAGCGTCGCGTACTTGTCCGTACCATCTGGCGGGCTCATGATGGCCACCGGCTGCCAATCCTGGCCATGCTTCCACTGTCTCCCCTTTTCGACAGCTGGGTACAGGCCATACAGGAGGAGCGCAACGCTGTCGAAGCATCGGCGCACAGGACTGCTTCGGGCAGTCACCTGGGCAAATCGGAAAAGATTCACGATTGAAATTTAAAGTGCGAACTGGGACAATGATTAGTAAAAAAATGATATCAGCATCAGTCACAACTATATTTCCCGCACAGAAGTGTCTCTCCTCAAGAAAAGGGCTTAATGAAAATATACAGTGTGACTTTGGCCCTAAAAATGGTGCGCACCTGCGATGGTGTCACGTGCCTTGGCAGCATATACATGCTTGTTTTTTCTCAATAAAGCCTTCAGTGAAAAAAAAACAAACAGTGACGGTATCATTATCCCTCACTTGTCCTTATACCAGTCTGCTCTTGAAATTTCAATTATGCTATATGTGGCAGCTATAGTACTCTTTCTTACTTCGGAGATGATTTCTTTTTTTCCTTAGCCAATGAATACTATTACGTGTTGTTGAAACATCTGTACAGTACAAATAAATGTTTTATCTGCAAGAACGCTTGCTTTCCTCTAATACAACTTATTTAAACCAGCCGGCTCTCGAGCCAGGCCCTACTTAAAGAACATGAAGACACCGAAGTTGTCGACGCCCTCACCTCTCGCACGTTGTGGGTGAGAAAGCTCGCGTACCGCCTACGTAGCCATGTTCCGAGAGCGTACATCGTCTGGCGACCCCTGTTGGTGAGCTGCCCGCGTCCCATGGGCCACACGTAGTGTCGGTTGGGGTCTCCAGGGAACGTCGTAAGCGATGCGCGTTCCCCGTGACGGAACAGTGCAGCCACGTGCACCAGACGCAGTTGGTCGCCGCTCCCGCCGACGTCCGAGGCCGTGGCCAGGTCTGGCGACGTTTCAGCCAGCGCGATCGGCAAGACTCGAAGCGCCGACAGCAGCAGCAGAAGCGGTGTCCGGGTGACCATGCTTCAGGCGCTGCCACAAAGTACCAACTGACCGATTTTCCTCGAAAAGACTCGGCGACGGTGGGCAGCTATTCTTGCAGTATCGCAACGCGCGACTTCCTTTGTGTGCTTGTCCGTTTAGAAATGCGCAGCGACGTGGGCTTGAGGAACGAACTCGACCGTATCGAATTTCGTCCGCTTCTTCCTTCTTTTTTTTTTTAACCCGGCGGCCGCTTAAGATAGTATTCTACACATTTCTGCAGCTATAGCATTTCGTTGATAGGTTATCGAGAGTTGAAACCGTAACGCTACATTAGGGGCTTGTCCTTCCTCGGTGAACTGACGCAGCCCGGTATTTGCACGTGTGTGTCAAACAATAATAGTAATATCATGTAAAATAAAGTGAAATAAAGTGATATGCTAATGCGCACGTTGGCTGATAGAGCTTAGAGGATTTAAAGAATCACTTTATCGTGAGAACGAACCGATGCCTCTATAGGCTGTAATAAGGAGTGGGGATTTAGATACTGAGAACGTCGACGCACGGTCGCGAAAGAAAAAGAAAAAAAAAACGCTCTTCGCTGTCAGAATCGTTAGAGTTCTGAAAAAAATGTTTTCGCAAAAGAAAGTTTTGCTTCGTCAAAAAGAATTCACAAGTTTCACAGAGCCGTTACCGCTCTTCGCTAATTAATTGTGCAAAAAATTGAATTTTGCAGAGATCCTTTAAAAGAAGTATTGCAGCTGTAAGTATAATTTTTTTTTCTTCACATACTGAGTTTACAAATTTTATCTCGCAGTTTTGTTGTCCGTATTATAAGAAAAAAGAATTGCGAATACGGCACATTGTAGAATTATGCTATGATTTGATATTTTATGGCAGCGGGTATATAATATTCAGAATTTCCAAGATTTCTCTGACTGTTGCCACTTATCAGGTTAACAATTGTGCAAAATCCGATTGCTGTGAATGTCAAACGCAAACCGAAAACGCATTAGTTAAGGCACGTCTCTAAAAATGCAATATTTTGGCATTCAATTATAAAAAAAAAAGATTTCCCCTGAGATTTTTTTAACTCCCCATAATTAAAGCCAAGTGCATGTTCAATAGCCTAATGTGTAAAAAAAACACGTTGTTGCTGAATTGAGTATATTTGGTCCATATAGCAGGCTGGAGAGACCAAACGCCACCCGGCTAGTCCCACGTACACGGACCGCTAAGGCGATCTTGGTGGTCCGATCCGGGCACGGAACATTTTTGTGATATCGGAGTTACAAAGTCACCAGAGCGAGCATGTAGCTGTATTTGCCGATGTCGTAGTTTTTAACGCGATTGCGCAACAGCTCGTTTCAAAGAAAGGAGCCCTTCTTGTACATATATATGGCTTGTCACCATCGCTTCGTATAACCATTTGTATGGGGCAATCTGTTGCCTTCTTCGTTTTTGAGTGGACCAGTGGTAAGTAGCGGGACTTACCCAATATTCAAGCTGGGGAAGACACCTTGCGGTGTGTGCAATATGGGGAGGGTTAAATGAAAACCGAATTTTCCAGACATTCTTCAAACACATTGGACAGAACGAAAACCATGCGAAGGAACGCGCTTAGTGGGAGCAGAAATGTTTGAGGTGCTCAACTGGTATATAAAACGCTCGCATGCCCCGCATTATAACATGCCGTTCTTTAAAACCGACGTAGTAAAACTAGAAAGCTTACGACAACAACAACAACAAAAAAAGCTGTCAGATTTGTTTACAATATCTGCACTTCAATCGCTAACCTCATATTTCAAACACGCTGTAGTGGAGGGCTCCGAAAATTTCGGCCACCTGGGGTTCTTTAACGGGCACCAAAATCTGAGCACACTGGCCTACAGCATTTTTGCCTCCATCGAAAATGCAGCCGCCGCATTGATCCCGCGAACTGCGGGTCAGCAGCCGAGTACCTTATATAGCCACTAAACCACCGCAGCGTGGCTATATCTAGCATCGGCGTTTTGAAAAATAAGAAGTGCGCTGCCGCGCTGTATGGCCGTAGCTGTAATTATTTGCGCCTGCGGCCGTTAACATGAAGGAAGAGATATGCATGCCACTGTACGTCTTACAGCAAAAAACAAAAAAAGCAAAAAACCCCAAACATGGATAAAAAATGGAATGGCACAGCCAAAGCTCTGAAGAAATGCACCGGTTTTTAAATGAGACGTCAAAAACAAAGCAATAAAAAAGGGGAAGAGGATGTCTATGAATAAGAGAAAAAAAATACTGTTAGCCTATTTGCATGTGGTACAAAAAATAAAGTTCTTTCATTTCAGTTAGTGCAACAGATGGCACCTACGGGCAGGCTAACTATTACAGCAAAGCTCAGTTCACTTAACTCGCAGAAGACTGAGTACTCAACCTGCCGATCTCATGACGTTAGTCAGGAACCACTCCTAACTGATCCGCACTGGGCAAATAGAGGTTTGCGATCTGCAACGTGACACTTGCTAGTCGCGACAGTGCAAAAGAGTGAAGTGCCTGCTATTGATTGATCTGGCAGCTACGTTCATGAATGATCATTTGCGATTTCGAGTATATAACAATAATGCTTACAGGATTGACAGGTGCACTTTTGTACACGTGTTATATTCTGGTATACATTGCGTTGAAGCAATAGCATGGAGGTCGCACATGCCCCATCAAGCGCCTTCCCTTACGCCAACGTTTTGTTGTGTCACGCCAGGTCGGTGACTAAAGAAGTGAGCTTTCCGTGGCGTTTGGCTCGTGAGTTGGGATCGTTTACCTTTCTTATCGCTTAGGTTTCACAAAGTGAGCGCGCAGATAGACCATCTACGCATCAGAGCAACGAAACGTTGCAGTAATACGCTTCCGCTAACTGCAGGAAGCGTGGTGTCAGTCGGCCACTAGATCGTGATAACACATAATAAGCGTGACATATATCCATCGGCGTGATGATGGGGAGAGAGGAGGGGGTGTCAGGGGGGTCCTGACTATTTGGTCGAGCCGGGGGGGGGGGGGGGGGACACCCTTTGAAAGTGTCCCTCCTCGAGATTTAGCTTTTGAGCACCACATTTGCATATATTGACTCTTAAATACAGCACAATTCACTACAACACTACGCTATTCCTAATAGGTATACACGACAATGTATGTAGCTCAAGTTAAACAAAAGCTGTAGTGGATGTGCTATAGCATTTGCACTTCATTGTTTAACCGGAATGACATGGTGACACGATGGTGGTGAAACTTCATTAAACCCGAATGACATACTTAGTAAAACTATGCCAGAGCCTGTTTACGAATTGAACTCATTCAAAACTGTACTTCACCGACGTATATTGACTGCTCATTGCGGTTAGATCAGGCTACCTGGACCGGTGACGAGGCTTATGCTCGATTCATTTTATATGAAGGCATGACTTTAATTTGTGCACTGTTAAAAATAAAACCTATACTTATGAAAACAAAATACCCGTCATGACGAAATGTGTGTCCCCTATGGTGTCCGCAATTATGGATTTACGGTAATCAGTTCAGGAATTCGAGTGATTACACTGAGTGAGAAGAAACTGTCACGTTGTTTTTGTATGTCATTTGGTGAAAACTTATCGCCATCGAATGGACTGGAATGATGGAACACGAATGTTTTTGTTTTCCCGTGTTTTCATAAAGTTTTTCCGCCATTTGACGTTGGCAACACTGCTATTTTTGCGTTGAAGCCAAGACGAGTCAAAGTTCAACCGAAGTCGCACGGGGCAATTCAAAATAGCCGCACTTATTTGAACGGTGCGTTTGATACGGAAAGGTACAGTAATGTACTCTCTACTTAACATCGAATATTGTTATTTAGCGCTACGCGTCGCACTTTTACTCTTCAGGAAGCTCAAGGGAAAACTTAGACTATATCACTCGCTGAAGTTGCTGTTCAGGCACACCTGGTCAGTAAAAGGCGGTCTTGTGGTCCACGTCCGATGGCCAGCGCATAAACCGCTACGGATATACACATTGCTTTGCCAATCTGTACTTTAACTATGTTTTAATGCAGCACGCTATCGATGCAATTATTGTTTGCATTCCTGTATTTCTTCTGCCTAGTGGAATCGTATGGGCTCCCGTAGAGGCGTTACGCCGGCGGTAGAAACCACCGAACCTGTAACGAGCGTTGATTTGTTCGTGTAGGTCGTTTTGGGATGCCGGAGACCGCCATCCAGTACTCCGACAAGTACTACGATAACAAGTATGAGTACAGGTGAGAAAGCTTGTTGGGTACATTAATTGCACGTGCCACGTCAACAGAGCGCATCAGGCTTAATTACGATCATTGCCCTACAAGTGAAGTTGCTGAATGCCATCGATTTCGCGATTATCGCAAGTGTTCACGGCATGAATTTATTGTGTGTAGCTTGCTGGCTAAACGAATGCGTACTCACGTTGCTCTTCTTTAGATTGAGAATTAACGTCACCCCGTTTGCCCGCGAAAATGTTGCGGCGTTGGTCGGGCCCGATTGGGATTGTCTCGTTCGAGCGAATTCACGAAAGGTATCGAATCGTGATTGGAAGAATAATAACAAGAAATGAAAAAAAAAAAATAGTGGTATCGCAGGAGCACGAGCGAGCACTTAGCAGTAGAGAGAGTCCACGTATGATGGACGTGTGGAAGTTGAAAATTCCAACCTTATATTTAGTCAGTCAGAAGCCGTGGTGCCCGACAGAAAACGCGACACAAGCCATCGAAATCCAAACAATCATGAAGCATGGGGGGCAATATATGCCGAAAAGGATGCAAAGCGAATCTCCGATCATTACAAGAATCGGCGAGCACTTTGGTGGGTACGACAGTGCTCGGAGCTGCCATGATTGTTTGTCGCAATCGACGTGTTCGTTTCTTATTGTTCTACGCACTCGCCACAGTGTTCTAGTGGCTATGGTGTCCGAGTGCTGTCCCGTTCAAAGGTCTTAAAATCGAATCCCGCTTGTGGCACCCGCATTTTTTATGGAACCAAAAATGCTTGAGGGGCACGTTAAAAAAAGCTAGGTGGTCGAAATCTACAGAGCCCTTCTCTACGACGTCCTTCATAATAGCATGGTGGTTTTGGTATGTTAGCCCGAATACATATGCTAAAACGTCCATCACCAGGCCTAACATTGTGCGAATGCTATTCAAAACCAATGTCTTGTGCAATTGGTGCTCTACTAGGCATCTTTTGATCTGGTTGTGAATTAAGTGCTGGACCATATGGTTGTGAATTTGCCAGCTTGTTTGTGAACATTTAAGGATTAACCAACACAACACAGATTATGAGCGAAATTGGGTGCCATAGCCCCTTTAAAGAACCATACATGGTCAAAATTTCTAAAGTCCTCCTATTTGGCGTCCCTCGTAATTATATCGAGTCATGGTTTTGGGATGTAAAATCTCAATAAATTATGAATTCATCCCTGCGTATCACAATCCCCCTTTTTTTAACAACCCATAGACATGTGATCCTGCCACCTGAGCTGGCCCAGTCTGTGCCCAAGACCCACCTAATGACCGAGACCGAGTGGCGCAACCTGGGGGTGCAGCAGTCTCTTGGCTGGGAGCACTACATGCTTCACTTACCCGGTGAGTGGTCCTTACTTGTCGGTCCACAATGAACAGCCACTTAGAGGGACTGACAACAGACTTTTCATGAGTTTTTTAATGCCTAACGGTATGCATTCCTTTGGTAGTAGTTATACCTGCAGTGGTTTATTTGAAAACCATATAGATATTTTGTAAGCAAAATTTTTCGATATGCGAAGTCATTGATGAAGTGTGAATGCCTCGCCCAGCATTGTTGAAAAGCTATGGTAATGCAGATAGCCATGCTCGCAAACGGTTGATTACACTCAACGTTCTCCTTTCATAGGAGTGAGTGCAACTGTGGTTAACGACCTTCATTTTGAGATTTTGGACCATTCCTTAATACAGTAGACTCGCAATAATTGAAACTCTGATAATTCATATTTTTGGTTAATTCAAACAAAATTCAATATTTTTGGTTGGCCCTCTATTTTTTAAATGTATTTAAAAGCCTCTTAATTCAAACTCCATCATTCGGTTAATTCATAGTTTTTGCAGGTCCATACCATATAATATCTGCTGCTTTCCCACTACTATTTGAGAATTCGTGTGCTTATGTAACCCTAACAGTGTAAAAATGAAAAGTAAGCACCTGAGGTCTTTCAGGAAATAGGCTTTGCAATAAACAAATATATGAAACGAAGCACAGGCATGACAAACCGCAATACTTCTCAACTGGGATAGAAAGCATTGTGCTGAAAGCACATACCTATAGCAATGAAGCAGTTGGCAATTCACGATTTATTTAAAAGGCCTGATCAGCAGTAAATGGCCAATAGACTTGTGGACTTTACACCTCTGCTTTCTGTTCATTGCGTGCAGTTAGCGATTAAAAACTTACAAATTTTTTAAATGTGATGAAAGCAATGCCTAATAATGTGCCGTGTCACCTCACCCAGAGTCATCTATCTGAGAACTTAGGATAATTCCAACTTCTTAATAATAAAACCAAATTCAGAGGTCCTTTTGAGTTTGAATTAATGAAAGTCGACTGCATAATGTAAAGAGCAGGTAGAATAAGTTTTCTGATCGCTGGTTGTCACGTAGAGTCTGTTTACCGCCTCGCGAGCCAGGCGCTCCAGGTACTTCTCTAACGGCAGGTGCCGCTAGGTGCTCGCTAACAACTTCATGCTGCCACTTCAGTGGTTCGTAACATACGTCGAGCAAAGGCGGCACCACTGTTCTGCTCAGTACAAATCAAGACCCATCTGCACAATACTAAGTTAGAAAAGATTATAGTGATAAATGTGTACTGCATTTCAGCTCCCATAGAGATACAATTAACGGCGTACACGAGTAAAAGATCACGTGATGGCCATCATACGCATCTTTGCTTTTTGACTGTGTGGGGTGCCAAAAGTAATTTATCACGACTTCAGTGAAGAAATAAAATTCTAAGTCCGTGCTTAATAAGAAAGACAAAGTTCATTCTATCCAATATAGTAGACAGTAATTACATTAGTGGGACAATCTCAATTCGCGTTTTCAGCCATTGTCTGTACTTTTAAAGGATACATATGCCAATTTTCGAAGCTGAGTTTACTCCATTGTATAACTCTGTACACATGGACCAAGTTGACAAGATATATATATATTTTTAAATTAAAGTCGATTTTCGCATCGTGTACTCTCTGACATCGACACTAGTGTGATATCAGGCTACCATGTCAATTCTAGTGTCTTCATGCATCATTATGGCTAGTTCTGGTGAAGTCAAGCACAAAAAAATACAAAATTGCTACTTGTGCATTACCAAAAGTGTTCACAATGATCGCTTGTACGTCAGCAGTGGAGCAACGCAGTACAATGGCTGTGGAAACATCGCAATATCTTGCATGAGCGTTTGATAAGAAGCCCAAACAGCGTTGAGGCATTGGAGTACAGGAGGAACTGAAACTAGCTTTCAAAAGCATGTTGCTGAAAATGTTTGTGTTGGTTGCCCTTTAACGGGAAGGTCTGATTAAAGACTGAGGTGATAGCTGGTGGGCCAAAAGGGAGGCATAACTTTTATTAAAGGTAGTACTTTTGGATGTAACAAACTGACTTAACCTATGATGAGATGTGGAACCAACTTTTGAGAACATCTCATGGCCCGATTTTGCTTGAAACACTGATAGTTGGTGTCTGGACAAAAAAAAAAAGAGGGAAGGGGGACATAAGTACGAACTGTACAAATTAGTAAATGGAATTCGATAAATATGAACACTTCATTGGTTTTCCTTTCCAAAAAAGTTGCTCATTCTACCTCTTTACACTATACGGACAATGCTGTTTGCAGTACTGCGACACAATCTTTGTGTAGCCTTTTAAAAACAGACGTCAGTTTCACGTAGTGGAGCATGTCCTCCAAAAATGCTAGTGCGACACGTCATTTGTCCATTGCACTGCTGTGTCGATGGTGTATTACGTTTGCTTTCACTCTCAATTTGAGGGAGCACATCGAAGAGGCATTGCATGCTATTGCAACAATGACGCAAAGCTTGAGGTTAACGAGTGCTTGTAAAGTTGCCAGCTGAAGTACTTGGTAGTGTTGAAGATCGTAACAGAACAGAAAGACCAGCTATGGCAAGCATGTTTTCAAGGGTTTGAAACTAAAAATTCTTGCAAACCTAATTTAAGTGCACTATGAAAGACCAGCTGTAATGGGCTGTGTTAAAAACCTGCTTTCAGTTACTGTAGATGTAGCCTCCATGTAAAAGCTATGTTTCAAATATGAGGTAGATGCATCAGATATGATGCATCAGAGCGGCAGATATTTCTTGGGACTGTAAAGCATTGCTTGGCTTGGAATTTGCAGCACCTTAGAAAATCCTCCCGGATGAGTTGTTGCACCGTATTTTTTATTCTTGAGCGACTTCCACAGAGCCATGCTGGTCGATTACATGGCTTGCTCTTGGTGTTAGGACCATGCCGAAGTTGACTTCATTGCACGATTTTCCTATTGCCAATGGGATCTTGCTACAAAACTGAGACCAAACTTTTTGCGCACTTCTGCCATGGTCATAGCCATCATCAGCAAAGCAGAATAGACTTTTCTCAAGATGCAATACACGTGGAAAGCGGAATGTCATCCTGCTACATCCAATCATATTGCATTAATGGCATGCTTGATCAAGAGCCAACTTTGAAGCCCATTTCAGTGTAAGCCACATTGAACTTGCCAGGAATATAGTATAAAGTGGAAGAAATTAGAAATATTTGGATGCTGGAATTTCATTGTGTGCACACAAACTAGCGAAGAAGTGGCTTGATTTGATCCCTTGTTTTCACTGTATTTGGCCGAACTACTACACGCATGTGGAAAACACATTTATCTGATATTCTCAAATACTACATAACTTCAATTGCTGCACAACATTTGAAAATAATTTTTTTTGTGTCTGCTTCACTGCAGTAATATGACGTAATATATGAACATCTCAGTGGAAGTGCATGGCCTTCTGGAAGAAGTAAATTAATTGTCTGACAAGGCTAGTGATAGCTTTAGGGTCCAGCCCTAATGTGATTCAGTCCACCCATTTATTGAAGAAACCCTTGTTGTAGTCACCTATGTCCCATTACAAGTTGTAATTCCAGATATAAATGATTCTTGAGTTGCGTATCTGCAGCATATCTCATGAATTAGAGAAAAAAAAACAGTGTATAGTATGTTTTTTATATTTCTCTTAGGCACTTTCCTTGCAATCCTAAAGGTAATGGCATTTTGCTGGCAAGAAAAAAGTTTGGTCTCAGATTAGACTTGCAGTTATGGCAAGCATGTTTTCAAAGGTGTGAAACTAAAAATTCTTGTAAACCTAATTTAGGTGCACATGAAAGACCAGCTGTAATGGGCTGTGTTAAAAAGCCTGTTTTCAGTTACTGTAGATGTAACCTCCATGTAAAAGCTATGTTTCATATATGAGGTAGATGCATCACAAAAGGCTCGCAGCGGCAGATATTTCTTGGGACTGTAAAGCATAGCGTGCTGAAAAAAGTCAGTGACGTGCTAGGTCTTGTGCCATAAGGCCCATAAATGTTAAACACCAGGGACACAATCTTGTACGAGTTCTATAATAGACCATTCATGCTTACAGTAGTGATAAATTACAGCACTTAAAAATGCAGCAGTAATAAATTATCATTATCTGAAAATGTGATTGTTAACTTCAGGAATAGTAATGAGTTAATTATTAAAAGAAAAGATATTGTGCCATTGCACCAATGTCAATAGGTCGATGTGTTGTCAAGGGGTTCAAAGTAGTATTTCATATCCTGGCCTCATTAGGGCAACAAAAGTTTTTGAAATGCATCATGTTTAGCCTTCAAACATGAACTTTGCCTTATAGTAAAGATAAACGCCTTCTCAGTGAGTGTGTGTCTATACTCTGTTTCACCACTGTGGTTCAGCATTACCTAAGCGACGGGGTGTAAGAAAGTCGCACGCATGCGCAGCGAAACATACTCCCAGATATATTTGGTGCCTTAAAATTGACAGGGTGGACTGCAGTTGGCATTTGTTTGGTGCGTGTTATGCCACATTAATTCGTGATATGTTTATTTCTCACATTTAATTAATGCAGATTAAATTATTTGTGTTGGTTACCGCTGGTAACTGTGTTTACAAATCAACATGGCAGCACTCGTGCAGACACAACCGCCGGCTTCGATCCAAACTTGCACTAGCTACACGCCCTCTGTACTGACATCAACAAATAAATGGTGAAATCAGTCATCGATTACTTTCATCTTACTCTGAGGATAAAGCATCGGGTACATTTTGTCATTATTACCGAGATACGCTGCTTGGTCAGCTGCACCTGCTAAGCCTGACACTCTGAGGCACTGCTTAGCCTGTGTCTTTAGACTAAGAACGCTGCATCTCCAATAGATCGCAACCAGGCACAGTGTTTCTTGAACATCGGATCCTCCGTCAGTGGAAACAAAAAAGAGAGAAAAAAAGTGTTGCATCGGGAGACACAAAGGAACGCATCGATGGAGAAGCAGTCATACAAAAGCCACGAACAGCATCGGAGAGAAGAGAAACAGCCACTCAAAGTGAAGGCATCCTCTGGTATAAGCGTCTACCGATCTTCGGCAGAGCAACAAATCCACGCTTCAAGTTCCTGGTGTGGTTGCTTGTTTCACAGTTTTATTGTATGTTTAAGTTCATAAGCCAGCCATTATATCTGCATCGAGCGTGTATGGACAGATCGGCAAGCAGACGCCGTGAAGGCTTTGAGCAGACGACATGGCGCAGATGAATAAATGTGGAGGAGCGAATCGCCCTTCCTATTGGCTAAAAGGCCCTGTAGCTTCGACAGTGCTGAAAGGAACTTTTGAAACAGAGTACTATACACATTGGCACCAGTATTTATTCCTTTTTGCGCCTTTTTTGGGTTATGAAATGCTGTCTCATGGTAAAAGGAGTGTTTCCAGATTCTACTGATACAGATGAACTGTTTTTTTAATGGCCCTGAGGTGAACAATCTTGGTTTTTCTTTTTCATAGCCTGGTGCCTACAGCAAAAGTTGGGCGGGTAAGCTTCATCTTTAAGGGTCGAGCGGGGTATTGTTATAAACATGAGCCTTATATTTTATTGCACAATCATGGGTGGGCAGCTTCATCTGGCCGTAACGCATGTACGAGCAGTTAAATACTACTCAAGAAATTCGCCAGGAGCTGCGATGATGTCAGCGCAAGCCTTCAAGTTACGAAGCACTGGCACTTGCCGTCATTCGCCGAGTTGCCCTCCATTCAGCCTCAATTACTGAGCCATTGTAGCTGTTTGATAGCCTGTTTCGTCTCACACCTGGGAGGTCAGAGTGTAATTCCTATCCCGACCCAAACTTTTTTTTCAGCTCAATTTACTTCGTTTGTAGAACCTCCCTCAAGAAACACGGCATATATCCCAGCAAGTTTTGACCTGTTTCTAGTCTTTGCATCCAACAGGAATTTTTGCTCGTGCTAATGACACCGAATTTGATACCGGAAATCAGTAGCATATTGGCAGCACATGGAAGTGTTTCAGACAATACTACCCATGGTTGTTATGTACATGTACATACTTGAAAAAATATAAGTGCACTATAGACGAGACACCAGAAATGAAGTCCACTTCGTTTCTGGTCTGTTGTCTTTAGCACAGTTATATTTTTTCAATTATGTCTTACCAACTAGCCCCCCCCAACATACGCTTCTGGATATACATACACACGAAAATTAAATTCACTGGCTACAATTTACAATGTCTTGTATCAAGTTCGCTTGCTATAACTGGCTGATTTCAGTGTGCATCAACTCTGTATAGTTTATGCTATTGTTTGTTTCAGTGGATAAATTGTTGCTTCTTGTAGCTTTCCTATCTTTATAAGGGACAAGAGGGAGCATTTGAAATGTGCTGACTGGTGGACTTCTTTTATTTTTTTCAGAGCCCCATGTGCTTCTGTTTAGGAGGCCCACCAAAGAAATGTAGACCAAATCAACTGCATTGCTGATGATACAAGGCAGCTGGAGGCATTAGTGACATAAACATGTATTTGACCCACTAGCTTTTTTATTTCTTGCCCCACCGCTGTGGTCTAGTGGCTAAGGTGCTGGGCTGCTGACCCGCAGGTTGCGAGATCGAATCCCGGCTGCACCACCTGCATTTCTGATGGAGGCGGAAATGCTGTAGGCCCGTGTGCTCAGATTTGGGTGCACGTTAAAGAACTTCAGGTGGTCGAAACTTCTGGCGCTCTGCACTATGTCTCTCATTATCATGTGGTGGTTTTGGGACGTTAGACCCCACATATCAATTAATCATTTCTTGTTTCTTGCACAGATGAAAAAAGAGAAATGCATGTTTTATTTTGTCACCTTAGTCTTGGCCACTTTCTTGTTTATGGTAGGTAGTTTTAGGAAACCTAAAACCTCTGCATGAATTTCTGCAGGGCACAGCTACAGAGTTTTAGAAAGAAAAGTTATTATTTTTCGTTGCGATTACTATGTATGGAATTCCAGAAGTTTTATTATTTTTTGTCTCTTGCACGGGGTGCCCGAGGAGGCACATGTTACCTATCAGATTTTGTGCCGAGACTGTTGTCTATAAAATTTTCTTTAGTTGTGGCAAGTCCTCCATTGGACCAGCTAGACGATGCATTAACTGCCGAATGAGGTAGCATGCTAATACTACTGGTAAATGTAATGGTGTATTTCTTCTGACACAGGGTAAGTCTTGCAGATATGTGCTGTGCTTTGTGGAATTTAAAAATAATAGGAAAAATCAGAGACCAAACAGTGGAAAAATCTCGTAAAAGTGTTTTATACAAAAAGGGGTATGGTCTGCTTGTGCAGTGACACATTGAACTTGTGTTATATACACCAAAATTTTGCATTTTTCACGGACAGTTTTTTTCATACCCACAGCCACTGGTTAGTTACGATGCTTGACTTTTAATCCAGAGATCGTGGGATTCAATCTCGACTATAGAGACCACATTTTGATGGAAGCAAAGAGCTAGACGCTCGTGTAATTAGATATAGGTGCACATTAAAGAACCCCGGATCGTTGAAATTTCTGCAGACGTCCACTACAGCATCAATCATAATTACAATGGATGCTTGGTAAACTGAAATCTCCTAAATTAAACTGCTGCTTACGTGCAAGAAGTGCCCTAATATGATTTGTTTCGTACTTGAGTGCTGCATCTAAGTTCACCTTAGTAAACGGAACTTCTGTTAAGCGGAACATATTTTCTTGATCTCTTCAAGTTCAGGGACAAAAAGCCTTAACAACTAGTATTAGCTTTCGTGATGACATGGTTGGAATTACACTTACGACTACTGCGCCTTCTTGGAAATTCACTTCGTTTTCTACCTTTCACCATTTTCAACAGTTTGTAGTTCGGGCTCGTCTGTTTCTTCTCTGCCCTTTTGTATGAGAGTGTGCAAATATTCAAAGTTATGAATAGTTGTAGACTAGCATTTACTATTCGATTCGATTTGATCAAGATTTTTGATATTCAAGCTATTCAAACTTCCCAAAGACAAATACAGTCAACATCAAATTAACAGCGGCCCCCTTCAGATTTTTAATGTGCTTCACCCCAACGCAAAGTCGTATTGCGGCAAAGCTTCCCTTCAAGCTCTGCTGCGAGAATGAGTGCTGTGGTTGTGAACTCGTGAAAATGCTGGTACCAACATGGAGATCATAGATGCAGCAGAGTTGAGAACTCAATTGATGCTGTTTTGCACCTGAAATTTGAGCAGGAAATTCTGATATTTTGGATACTAAAAGTTTTTATGAGCATTTAAAGTCATAAACGTGCTACAGATGCGCAAACCTCACCAGAAGTATATTCCAGCGTCTGTGGTCATAGGGGTAATGACCTGTACAAGACCTCCGGGTCAAAATCTTGTGATGTGCAGCTACGATGCGTTGAGACGTATTGAGAAGAGAGACTGTTTCTTGCTGTGTCTGTTGGAATGAATATCCAGAGGTGTCGGCAAGCAATTTCCTTTTTCAAAGGTAAAAGAAGCATTTCTCTTGTGCACTTGTTCCTGCAAGTTGCGTCCCTCTTTGTTCACTACAAGGGGGAACACTCGTGTCTTATTCCTTCTTTTACCCTACTGTACCTCGCCGCCGACATGAGCAGAAACAACCCATTAGGTTCTTAGTGCTTACACAATCAGCTTTTTTACAAATTTATGCTTGAGCAATTCATTAATAGGCTTCATGCTATGCCTGTATAAATCAAGCTGACAAAAGCGCCATCTAATAAGCATTGGTAGCAGATGAAACAGACATGCTCAATATTTTTTTATTGCAACGAAAGCACAAATGGCAGCTAATTACACAGAAGAGCACTAATTAGCCAAGCATGACAGTCGTCAGCAAGATCGCCTCTCCTGTATCAGCATTATCATCAAGGGCCGTAGCATTAGCAGAGTGGCTGAGGTAGATTTCAGGGTCCACCTGTTGATCATACATTTAGACTCTCGAGCAGCAGTACGAATTTGTTTATTTCATTAGAATTTTTCTGCAGTGCATCTCAGAACTCCTGTAACAGAAGATGGCAGGCATCTGTAATACCTGTAAAGTTGTACCTTAGCAGCTTCTGCTGTATAACACCAAAAAAAGTTGCAAGAAAAGTTTTTTAGATATTTTTGTATTCTTGATGGGGGCGAAAATGCTGTAGGACCATACGCTCAGATTTGGGTGCACCTTAAAGAACCCCAGGTGGTCCAAATTCTTGGAGCCCTCCACTGTGACGTCTCATAATCATATGGTGGTTTTTGGACGTTAAACCTTACATATGGATCGATAACTTTTGGATTCAAAGCTTACTCAGCTGAGTTCAGTTTCTGACATATAGTTGGACACTGCCAATCTTGGGTCTTAACATGTCATTACTCGCTGACCGATAATAGCCTTTTTTCTGGTTAACCTCTTTGCATTGTTCATCTTGCGTGTTCTTCTATCTCACTTGCACTAACTGATAGCCATGACACATACACTATACTGTGAGTTGGCACAATTTGTGCTTCACTCATGCATCTGTGAACTAAGCACTGATATTCGATAGATTACGAAACACAAGTACACTGGAGAAAGTGGGCAATGCTTTCGGGTGCCAGTTAAGGTTCCCTTTGGTACATTCAGCATTGAAAGTATCAATGCCTGACAAAACCAAAGAAGTCTTGGATTCTTTAAAGAAGCCACACTCCTAATAAAGACTATTAGCATAGCAGAGAGGAATACTGCAGTTCAGTGAATAAAAGAAAATAAGATTTTACGTTCATAGTTGTATATCTTTAACAGTCTCTACAAAACAAAGAAGAAAGGTGTGGTGAATCGGAGGAACCAAAACAGTGGTAAATTCTGAAATTGATTTTGCTTAACCCAGTCTACAAAGTTGAATTCGTTGTCAGATGGTATTAGTGAGGAAAAGAAGGGAACAAAATTGGAATGTTGTTACGTTATCATGGTGTCTACACACCTACGAAGCCTTGTATTAACGAATTTGGGGCCACAAAGAAGACAAAGGTGTTTTCCTACGGCTAGTTTGTCTCCGGCTTGTTAGTTTTTTAATTGACTTTTCTGGCACCATTTGCAGTCATCCTTCAAATAAGTTGCTTCGGTTTTCACGTGCCACTTATTTTGTTTCCATGGCTTTCGGTCTACAAGGGCAGACACTTTTCAGGTTGTCCTTAAAGGCAAGTATAAATGAGTAAATGTAATCATGCTACAAGCATACTAATGATACTGCTGGTGTCGGTAATGCAGTACGTCTTGATGAACCACAAGTCGCACATGGAACACAGTTGCACGTGCACTCGGTGCTCATACACCATCTTGAATAGTACAAAGCGATTGCCATGTTAAAAACTTTTGCCATACTATGCACAAAAAGTGCGCTTCTCCAGTTTCCTGCAGAAATATTGTTTACACTTGACTGTCCTGCAGGTCAATATATTATTGCACACAAATGTCAATATGCTGCCACTGAAATGTTAGCATCAGGTCATTTGCTTCTGGTATTCAGTTATGTTAAATCTTTTGTGAAATTCACTTATGTTTGCTTTAGAGTGAACATGATTTGCAGCGATAAATAGTGCACAAGATAAAGATAAAAGGACACAAGAGAGACATTTTTCAAAGTGCTACACAGGATTATTGAAATGTTACATTGCTATAGTAAGCGCATTTTTTTTTGTTATTGTCGTGTGGCAGGTTGTGTTGTAGTAATCTTCAATTCCTCCTCGTTACTTGATCTTTGCAATAAGTGCAACCCACATTGATGGGCCATGGCCAGCTTCTTTACTTTCTCATATACTGGGAGTATGAATATTTCAATAACAATTGTGTATTCTCATATTACTCCAGCACACATTCCTTTTTCATGATGTTCTCCTGTGTCACATACACACCAAGAGAAGTTTGTTTTCCTCATCATGTTTGCTTATTTTTTGACCAAACGGCAACAGCATACATTTAATATTGTGACATTATAATTTATTGCAGAAGATGAATACTAGGGTCTTAGTTCGAAAACATGCATCTCAAGTAGCAATGACTTCAAACAGTGTTAATAAATATTTACTGAAGTTGTTACTCAGCCTGCAGAGTTATGCAATGTGCTCATATTGTGTAAAACTTAACGCAGTCATTTCCAAGATGATCGTAAACGATTTTTAGCATCTAGCAAACAGTGACCGCAATGCTGAGCTGTCTGAAGGAGAGCACAGACGGTGCATAATTAATGGCGGTTTTGATAACTATCTTTCGTAAGGACAACGTTTAATGGAAAACTTAGGTGTAAGCCACTCTTGTAGGGGTGTTTCAACGAGGTGACGAAATTCTCCGCAAGAAAACAATACGGAAAATTAGAAACTCGGTCTGTTTCACTGTTGGCACCTACTGTGTCGCAAGATCGCTTCACTGGCTCCAAAGTGCAGCTAACACAAGGGAAATCAAACGGCATAGTTTCGCGAACAAACATTGAACAATAGTCGTCTCGGTTGCTTCAGGCGGTCTAAGCGCGCGCCGATTCTTCCGGCAAATACGTCCTCAAGTTTCCACCGCTTCTAAGGAAACAAGATTGGGGTGAAATGAAATCCCCCGCTCGGGTGAAACAATGCTGTTTTGCAACGATCGTCTTCTGTCGGCTGGAGCTTTCAACCCAACAACACACGTCTACCAAGATTGTTGCTGTGCGGGCACCGAGGTTTAAATTTAGTCCTTACATATGGACGAGCGGGCACATCGCTGACTGTCGGCGTTTGCAACACGCGGATGCGAGCGTCGCCTACGTCACCACGGCCGTAGCGTCGTAGTAAACGAAGCACTAAAGAGAAAAGGGCAATTGCTTTTACCCTTGGAGGGAAGCTCATGATATCATCAACGCAGACCACTCGGCAGCCAAATATCGCCCATATGGCATTACCTCTCGCTCATTGGCCGTAGTAGATGACGTCAGTGTTTCCTGTGTGCACAAGCTGTAAACGCACAGGCCCTGGGCTAGACGGACCCACGAGCTGCCAAGGTGAGTCGAATACGTGCTTTTAGTTGCTTTCCTGGGAGTTCGATGCACTTGCAACGGAGTACGAGCAGCGGCTACAATTTGTTGCACTCGCTTTAACGCTCGTAGCATTCGCGAGCACTGCACCTATTAAGGTTATTTTTTGGCCACCGAGAATAAACAATGTGAAAGACCCGTGGGTGCACGGCTCGCCAATCGGATGACAGAAATTCTTTCTATGGGTGGCACGTGACCTGCGTGAACCAATGATGAGCCAGCACAGTACTAGGTAACCACTCATTCACCATTTTTACAGGGCTTGGTTATGCTGTGCACAATCGAAGTATTTTTTGTTTCGTCCCGTTTGACTAGCACAGTGACATGCTTGGATACTAGCCTTCATTACTATCCGCGAAGGTAAGTATAGACAATTTTCGCCAGCTCAAACGAGTGTCATCCGGTAGTGGCCTGTGTGTCATTGTGCGTGGTTGCTACTTGTGATGACATTTGTGCTGTGTTTACGGTATTACATCTAATGGTAATTGCATTGGATTTATGCTGTTCAGTGATCGCGTAACGCTTACTAGTTTATTGATCTTGAATGTGCACTAAAAGTATTTGCATCCGCAACGCGCAAGTGTGCAATTGAGACTTGTTCTAGCGTGCCCCCTCGGCGCTGGCGAGTGCACGCAGCTATGGAGAAACCCATATCGTAACGCGACAACTTTCGTGCCGTTTTGGCTACTCTCTTTGATTGCATTTGCATGACACTACCTTAAGCTTCGTAAAGTGCGAATAAACAATGCTCTAATGTCGTAGTACAGCGTGCAAGGCTGTTTTGTCAGCTCAGCTGGCAGTTCCTATCGCTGCTCGAGCCCTTGTTTTATTTGTTTGTTGCCTGCGTGCGGATATGGGCCCGTTGTATAACACCTTGTAGCGTAGACACAATGCCGCTTCTGGGAATGTCGCATCTGCTGTTTTTTTTTTTTTTGCCGTGAATGTTCAATCGGTGGACTAAGCAGTGATTTTCGCGCCCTTGTGCGCGGGGAAATTGGTGGACGGTGCAAATACGAGTGGACGAGTAGGCTTTTTTTTTCTTTCCAATAACTCGCTCACGCGCAACGATATCGTTAACCTGTGGAGCTGGTTTCCACTTTACACGGAGCTCTCTTGAACATTTCGGGCGTCTGAATTGTTTTCCGTGTAAAAACAAGAACTTTAAGCACGCGCTGGATTTTAGGAGAGCCCACGAGCGTAATTATACGCCTGATGATGTGCTCGGAGTTGGTGCGTCGGCGTGTTTGCGGTTGTAATCGTCGTATTCCTGTTGCGCGATGTGTGCGCTTCATGGAGTGCAGCAGCCGCTGACGTTTTACAGAACAGCTCACATTGCGGCTTGCATTGCAGCCGCCATATGAGTTTACTGGTGGAGTTTCGCTTATCGAATTCGTGGCAGCAACTCTAGGCGGGCTTTTGTTGGTGCAGTAATATTGCACCGTGTGTTAAATAAAATACGTGAATTCCGGCGTATGATACGTCTTAGCACTTGCGGAAAGCCTCAGTAAGTTTGCCTTTGTAGCGTTGAAGGGCAGAGTAATGTAAATATAAATGTGGCGGTCTCCGGGCACTTGTGAATTTTAGCGAGCTCACTGCACATTACTTATAATGCGCTAATGTGGGACTTTTTGGGCTGTTGTGTAGTCGTAGCTGTTGCTGTGGTGTCGCGCAGTTGCACATTATAGTGTGCACACTTTAGCTTGGGTTGGTTGAATGATAAGATAATCGCAGGAATGGCTGTTTTCAACTCTCCTGCAGCAGGTGCGAATTTTACTGGTGCCGAGTTTTCACTATTCCTGCGTGAAAGGTGTGTGTAGCATGTTACGTTCTAACGAGGGACGGGTGAGCACAATTTGCACATGTGCTTGGTATTTACAACTTTAAAATGTGCGCATACAAATTGGTTATTTATGATAGTGTTGGTGCGTGTGGGCGCTTTAAAAGTGTTTATTTTTTTGTGTCCTTTCCACGTGTACTCCTTTGCATTGAAAATAGCCTTTGGCTGAAATAATCGTAGTAAACAGTTTTGTCCTGTGTTGATAGAAATTTTCAATTCAAGATAATCATAAAATGTAAATATTTTCTGAATTAGGAAATTCTTGTGCCTTGCTTTGCTGCTTCTCACTCATGAAATACCAACTTTTAATCGTAATGCTGGCACGCACGAACAAGAAGACCATCATATATTCTGATAGTCAATTTTTTAGTGTGCCTCCTTACAAGACGAGATCTCACAGAAAGCTTGAACCTTTAACGGGGTACTGACACCATTTTTCAGAAGTGTGTCTACGCTGCCATGCAGATCTCTTGTATGCAGAGGTGGCTCTGAGAAAGTGTAAGACTCGGGAAATGCTGATGAGATATATTATCGTGATATCAAATTAATTTTCATGTGGTGCATCAACTGCCATGGACGCTAGCTTGACGTCGGGCTGCAGTACTGATTCTAATGACTTCGGGCAGCAGTTTGGCTAGCTGTGACGATGTCAAGCACCGAAACTTCCTTAATGACCACTTACGCATCACGTGAAAACATCAGGCCGCAAAAACATCACGATATTTTGCGTAAGCACTAAAAAGCTCATACCATGTTGTGACACCAGGGTGCAGTTAGAACTTAAACTAGCTTTTAATAACACACTGTAATTACTCTTGAAGGGTGCACACATGCTTAGAATTACATTTTCTAGGCTCATGAGATTTTGCCCTTCAATTTTAACCCCCCTCCCCCCCCCCCCCCCCAAAAAAAATGACTATTTTCGTGTTGGTATCCCTTTAAGCCCTGAACAGTGGTAGAGCATTACGTTACTCTGAGGGAGCCAGTGTTCTAACTAGAGGACTTGTGTCTACCAGGAAAGCAACTGCTATGCTAGTGCTTGTGTAGAAATGATGCTAAGAAAGGCTGTTGCTTTTCTGACAAAGAAAAACCCTCTGTTGAAATGACATTTTAGGGCCAACCACTGCTCATCAGGTAGGCCTTTAAGTACATCATAATTGGAAAATAAAGTTAATATGGCTCCTTCTCCACCTTCTCTTTCATTATTGAACTTATTTTAAATTGTGCCACATCATCTTCATTACTAGTAAATCAGTTTTCCCAACATAACATGTAACCCATCTAAACTAATTTCCCAGTTTTCTCTCTCTGCTGTTGTTCAGGCTGAAATCTGTAGTTTTTTCTTAGTACTTACCTTATTTTCATGCAGGTGAAAGTGGCCATGCCTCAAGAACTTCATGGCATCATCAGGAACTAAGCAGCCACCATGAAAGACCATTGGCTTGAGTGCAAGGTTTGCAGCCCTGGATCCCTTAAGGCTACTCAACTGTGTTCCTTCAAGTCTTTCAGGAGAAAGGTTATACTCCATATGGGAAAGCTTCCAGAGGTAAGCTCAAGTTGTGCAGGCCAATTGTAACAAAGTGTCTAAAACCCTTGCAACCATGGAAAGAGACCTGAGTACTTACCAGGGCTCGCTTGACTTAAAGCGAAAGGCCGAAGAGAAGCTGCTTTTGGAAGGTCCCACAGTAGTGCAAAATATTGACCCTTCATACTACCGCAAGAAGTCGGCAGAGTCTGGCTTTGATGAGGATGAATCGAGGTTGGATGAAGAGTTGAAGAAGGCAGCCAGCAAACTACCCAAGAAAAGGAAGTTTGACTTCGACTTTGGTGATGCAGATGCTGTGTTTGCTGGGAGAAACAGCAGCAGCACAGCAGAACCCGTGCCTGGTGTAGATCTCCGTGATTGGAAAGGTCACAGAGTTTTAGTGCGGCTCAATGACTTGTATGTGCCAGCTGTGATTAAGGATGTTGCCAGTGACCGTGATGTGGTAGTTCAACTAGACAGCAACCAGCATCCATTGTTTCGTGTTTGCGATGTGTTTGACACAGCCCGGCTTGATGTGATAGGTGACCACAGTCCCTCACCAGGCCAGTTGACTATTGGTATCCAGTTGTGTGTACGTGTGGAAGACAATGTGTACGCAGAAGGTGTTGTGGAAGAAATCCGGTCACGCCCCCCTGTTCAGTACTTTGTGCGCTTCATCAAGAGGCCCAGTGGTGGGCCGCATGACGGCGTGTGGGTGACACGTGCGGGCTTGCGACTCAGGCAACCTCCCTGGTGGGAGGACATGGAACTAGCCTCGTCTGTGTCATCATCTCCCATGTTTCAGCGAGAGCCAGTGCCTCTTCTCACGCCACATCTAGTTGAACCCAACATGTCATCTCTTCCACCACAGCAGCCCATAATTCAGCCACACGGCGTGTCAGTCATCACAGATGGCATCCACAGGACCATGCCAATCAATCTGGCAGGTAACCTCGAGATGGACAGAGCACTTGATTCGGTGGGTGCACCAAGAGCTCGTAAACTGACAGTGGGAAGCTCTCCTACCGCTGTTGGAGACGAAGACTCCTCGGATGACGACCTCAAGACGGGGCGCATTGAGTTCGACCCCAATCCCAGCCCGTCACGCCTCGGCTTTTGTCCAGATAACCTTACACCTCGTTCCCGACTGGCCACATCATCTTCGACAGAGATGCGTGTGTTAACTCCACGTTCCCCTGCTGCACAGCAGAAATACAAAAAAGGAGACATTGTGTCCACCCCCAATGGCATACGGAAGAAATTCAATGGCAAGCAGTGGAGACGTCTCTGCTCCAAGGAAGGATGCACCAAGGAGTCACAGCGACGTGGCTACTGCTCACGCCACCTCTCTCTCAAGGGCAAGTCCGGTACAGCCATGCGCAAAGGCAGTGCACCAGCAGCAACGTCATCGAGTCAGCAGCCCCCTTTCCCCGCTAATGCAATGCGCGCAGGCACTGGGAGGGAGTGGGAGGAGTCGTCACGTGAAAGCATCAGCGGCAGCCCTGGTGACAGGGCAAGCAGAGTGCAAGGCCGTTTTGATATAGACGAGACTGAGGCTGCAAACATGCTGGTTTCACTCGGAAACTCGCGGTCAGCCACGCCGTCATCCTCGGCAAGTCCACCAGGCAGACCCGAGCTATTTGCGCCTATCCACCATGCCGCTTGGCCCCCCGATACCCATTCCCCAGAGAGTGTCTTCCGGCCAACCACAGTGGTTGTGCACAGGCCAAGGGTGGTGAAGACCTCGGAGCCCGTCTCGGTGATTCAGCACTCCCTGCCTCCTGAGAAGCTGATTGGCGAGCCTCAGACCACTGCAGCCCAGATGGTTTTGCTCCAGCAGGCACTACAGCAAGGCCGTAACTCCTTAAGTGAAGCGCTGCCTACATACAGTGCGATACAGGTGGCACCACCTAAGGACGTGCATTCTGGTGTGAACGGGCAGGTGGCAGTTGTCTTACAGACACCACAACAACAGCAGCAGCAGCAGCACCCAAGTCCAGCTCACCTCCTGCCTGTCATGCCTGTCGTAACCTCCAATGGAGAAGCACAAAAGGATGAACGTGCCTTAGATTCATCTGGAAGTGGTGAGTTCCAAATATTCTAATTTGCATTTTGCGCCACTGTATGGTGTCATTAATAACCTTTACTGCATTCTCCTTTGCAAGTGTGAGAAGCAGCAGCCAAATTTTTTCATGTTCAAACATCTGCCTGCTGGCCTGAACTTGTAGGTAAAGTTGTTATGAGTAGTAGTAGGACCAAACTTGGCTAAGCCTGTTGTGACATTGAACACTAAATTTCACCATCTCCTCCTTTCAAGACTCGTTAAGGACAAGAGACAGACAAAATGTCCTCCGCTTACAGTAGAAAAACCAAAATAGTAAAATGACTATCTATTCTAGGTGTTGCGGTTCTCATTGTAACATTTCAATTGAATGCTAAAAGCATGTCCTCGTAATGGTTGTTGCTATGAGCAGCTAATTTCAGGCACGGAAATGATAAATCCTGCCAATTAATTGTAGCCTGTCCGGAAAGATTTAGCCCTGCGTAAAAACCATTACGGTCACAGGAAAAAAATTGGTGTTATCTTTGCTGCTGACAAAATGTAAGTTTTGTACACTATTCTAGTTTCTCAAAATGGGCAGCAATGAAAATAAGGTGGCGTATTCATACACTGCCATCATTCACACTCATCTTGCAGGTCTGTGAAATCTAGCCTAAAAGAGTACCGACAAAAAATGTTTGCATGTCATGTGTTTCTCTGCAGTACAAAGGAACTTTGATAAGGCACTTATTGAAAGTGGAAACCATGCTTGCTTGAGCATATGACTTGATTCTTTGGTGATGTTTCTTTAGCCCCCAGTCGCAGCGTCTGTTTGAGGGGGTGCGGAGAGAGGCAGAACCAGGTTGGTCTCTGTAAACACAACTGGCCATACGACCAGACAAATAAATGCTAGAAGGGTTCACAAGGTTTATTTGTGGAAGGTTTACTTGTGAAATAGTGCACTAGATATTGTGTTAAGGTGTTACTGGATTTTTCAACGGGTACATTTAAAGCGAGCACATGACTATTTTTTTCAGCCCTTATGTACTGTGCTCTTAACCGGGTTTCTTTGTGTCTTCAAAAGTGTAAAATGATATTTATCAAGATGATTAATTTCTGTACACTACTACCGTCAGCAGAGCATGTGGGGAAAAAGTTGCGTGGTTTCACTCGGGCATTCACATTTGTGCACTGTTTAGAAACAATATTCATTTAGAATATTGTTTATGTATGTATTCATTTGTTGTATTTATTTGTATTCATTTAGAATATGTTGTATTCATTTATATGTTGTATTTATATGTTGTATTCATTTAGAATATTGTATATGCATTTTAGACACAATATTTTTACTGCAAACCATGCCCATTGCTTTTACAAGGCAATATTTTGAATCCTTAGTTCATGCTTATTCTGATAAAAAACTCTACTTTTATGTGGCCTACATGTTACAAGGACTGTTCTGCAACCTTTGTGGAAGCTTACACACATTGAAGAAGTTTTTTGAGCTACATTATTATTAATTTTTTTCAATCATTGGAGCTGTGCTAAATTGCAAGAGCATTTGTATTTTATTATGGCCATTTTTCGTCATCTACACAGCCATAAATTTATTGCATTCTGCACCAGAGAATTAGTCTCAGGCATGTACGTACATTGTTGCTACATTGTGCTTCTGCAAGGCCACTGCTAAGCTGGTACATATGATATTGAGAGTTTCCTGCGGTGCCTCAGCTTTTTCTGCACTATGATGCCTTTTTTTTTCCCCAGCATCTTGTACAGCGTCTTGTAATTTTCGCTTGTGGAAAGGATTGTTTTGCATAATGTTGCATACCAGGTGATGAATGTTGTGTATCACCAAGAACTTAGATTTCTACTAGGTTTTGTTAACTTGTTAGTTAGCAACAAGGGACGTGCTTTTCTGGCATGTAAATTTCACTGCATTAACTGTGGTTGGCCAAAAGCTCCCAGCACGGTCTGTAAATACTTTCTGTGTTTAGCCAGCTGTAGAACAACTACGCTCGTGAAGTCCAGCTGGCTTCTCTGATGCTGACCAGATTGCACCAGCAGTAGTGTGTAAGGGCATCATCTTCAGGTTTATAGCAAGCACTTTCCGGCCCATGCCTTTAGCTCTGTCTTGAAAGCTCTGCATGACTATTTTTTACTTATGTTATTGTCTCAGGCTCTTTTCTGAACACACTACACGCATGAAGTGTTATGGCAGCTAAGTGAGCATTGGCTGTTTGATAATACACTGCCATCTGGCACAATGCACAGTTTCCTTATTTTTTTCTTTCTTCCCCTTTTTTCTTCACAAAAGGGCTTATGGCATGAAGTGACCGTAAAACCTAGCATGTCGTGAGACGTTCTCTCTTGCTCTTCAATGAGAAATGTCACGGGCTTCCAGAAAGCACTTTTGCGAACGTGGCAATTGATGCACACATTGGTATGCTGTGCTTCATCGCGAGAAGGTGCTACAATCAACGCTTCGCTTCTGTTCACTTCATCGCTCATTGCTGTCTTTTTTGTATGGTATGGAAGCGATGCATTTGCGATGTATCTAACATTTACCGTTTGCCCATGCTTGCTTGAGCTTGGAAGCACGTGTCCCATGCACTACGCTAGCCGGCTTTGTCGCCTTTCTTTTTTATTGTCCAAAGCAGAAAACGCAAGCCGCTTTTGAGTTGTCACTGTTGCATGCACTGTTTCTTTCTGTGTTCAGCTCAAGAAAGCCCTTTTGTCATAGCCACCGTAAGCACTAGCAGTGACGCATGTTGGATTCTGCGTACTAGTTCCATTAATTTTATTTATTTGTCTAGTCTTTGAAAGCACGCCGCCGGGGCTATGACTGTCAAAGGGCAATCCGTTTTCCAGAACACAATGAAAAGTGTGCTTGCGTCGTAGTCTCCGTCGCACTTGGGTTCTGGATGCATCTTCTCTGCCTAGATTGCAGAGGACGCGACTGCTTTCATAGAAGACATAAAAATGGTAACAGCATAGAGAGCTGTATTCACTCTTTCTATGTGTGTTGCTTTAAGGATTTGCTGTGGTAGACTACATGGAGTGTGTAGAATTATTTTAATACAAATCTGCCAGCGTGGTTTTATTAAAACATTTCATTCTTCTCGTCCGCCTTTCTTCCTTTTTGTGTGTGTTGTCTGTTGGTAACGTGTTCAAGAAACAGTTGCAGTTGTAAGCGAAGTCTTTAAAAAGAAACAGGAAGTGGCTTTTTATATGTGCATGTGTTTGCATTACACACGTCTTAGAAGGAAAGCATGACTAAAGCACACTTTGTGTTACAATAAACTGTGATCTGTTATTTTTTTTTAAGGCAGTGTTGGTACAACTGTGGTATGCTGAAAAGCTTTGTGTCTAGATTCAGGTCTGCTTAAGTTAGCTGCTTTGTCTAAGCTTGTTCTGAAAGCTGCCATTTGTCCCTTCTCTTTAAGTTCGGGTTACATCAAAGCAGTGCACAGTTTGCATGTTTTGTAGCCATTGCAATATAAGAAGAAGAAATGCAGCAATGAATAACCCATATTGTATGTTCCAGCGATTTGAGCTAAGCATTTCCGGGAAAATCTTGGGTTGCTTGTTTCTTTTTGTCATTTGCAACGACCGGTAGCATGGTAGCTCAACTGTAAAGGTAAATCATGGGTGAACATTTTTGTTCAATATTGCACATCAAGGGAAACTTAGTGATTTAAGTTTAATGCATTGTGAGCTCTCATGATTGATTACTCCTTACAATTGTAGTTATCAAAGTTCTAACTTGCTTCCTCAAGCCAAAATGAATTGTAGCTGATATCGACAAGTCCATCTGCAAACTACGGATTAATAGCGCTTTTCTATGTTGTGTTAACTCATTGTCTACATATTGGGTATGCATAAACAATAGCAAATGCAGGAAAATCTTTGGTATATCAATTTGTCAGGTGGCATAGTTGAATTTGTAACCGAAGTGTCATGTTTGTTGTATTATGCAAGTAGTGCAGGTGAACAGAAGTGTAATAGGTGTCTGTAAATGCCTATTTTTCTCTTTGTGCCTGAAAATGGTTCCATATTTTTAATTGACCTTTGATAGCTCTTTTGTGGGCTCAGCAAACCTTGCAACTTGTACAAATGCAGCAGTAGCTTGTTGATTGCAGACAAGGCATGCGCAGGCAGCTGTTTTTACTGTAACAGGCTGCATGGCTACTTTACCCGAAATCTTGAGGAACTCTCTCAACAAGGCACAGTTTCTTGACTGAGCCATTCTCTCTTCATAATGTTTCCTTAGCATGCCTCCAAACTGTGCTAAGTTCTAAAGTAGTCTTAAACTACTTGTTGTAATTAACGTGAGGGCTCATATCTTTTAAAAAAAGGTCAGTTTGCCAAGTGATTGAAATTTTGGGAGCCTGATGTTGCCTGTGAATCATAAGTGCAGCACGGCAGACAATCTGTGTTCCTGGTGTATAGGTGAAAACTTTGTCTTTCTCAAGCAATCAGTCTGGCGAAGTAAGTGCATAAAGGCAGGCCTGTGGTAAAGCTGACAGATTATTTCAGACAACAGAACATTCTTCTAGTTACAAAAATACTAGTGACTCTGTAGTTGCAAAAGCAGTCCATGTCGAGTTGAAAGGTACTATCCATCCCAAACATGGTTCGGTATTCTCTGTATTAGCGGTTGAGAGAACACTGAAATTAAAAGGCCAGAAGCATTTATGAGAGTTTACAAACATCTGTATTCTTTAAAACATATTCATCAAAATAAATGCCACAATGTATTTGCCCAGTTCGAAAGTGTTTGATGTTAGCATGAGCAAAGTTCATTGTTATGAGTGTAGACAAATGAAATTATTTGCCAAAGCAATCTTCTGAGGATTGTAGACGTCTAAATGTTTTTCTTTACGTAGGATTAAGTGTATTTTGACGAGACATGGGGAACAATTATGGAACCTTAGGAAATCTCTCTCAAGCTGTAAGAACATTGCATACTAATAGTGACTATCTGAAATATGCATGATGTCATCAGGGCACTGATAATTCATGTCAAAGTAACAATATCTGCTAGATTTTAAGTAGGCCACTTTGAGCCGCTGGAGCAGGGAAATGAAATCCAGTTGTAGTTTCCTTTAATTTTCGAAAAAGCAGCATACTCAAAATGATGCATACACAAAAGCTGTTTTTTTTTATCATTTTATGTGTGTGTGATTATGTTCTTTTGTGTGTTGCTTCTTTGAAAATCATGGCTTACCAAGGAGACCTTCAGTACATATTAAGCTAGTTTTGTTTATTGACTGCACTTATTTCGTGATATTTGACTTAATTTCTAAGCTTTCCATGGGCATGTAATTTTCTGTATATATTAATTCACTGACTGCGTGTATAGACAAATACTATACGCCCTCTGCTATGTTTCCAGTTGGCTGTGGCAATATCTCGATAAATAATAAATTAATTAACAAATAAGTAAATATCAAAACATTAGGAGTGATTCATATTAATGTGAATATCGCATCATAATGAAATGAAACACTTTGTTTATTGTCCAATGAGTATGATGAATGAGATTATTCAAAGCACATATTATTGAGGAATCGGTTAAACAAACGGGGTGATAAAAGGTGGTGCCTATTGTTCAATGAGTGTAATGAATGAGATAATTCTGAGTGCATATTATTGAGGAATTGGTTAAACAACGGGGCGATAAAAGGTGGTGCCCATAGTTTAATCACGTGTTGTTTTTTTACCTCTGTATTTTTGTTTTTCAGTTGTTAGTTTTTATCTGTTTGTGTTCACATGTGGGTATACTGTGTTTACTCACGTAATAAGCGCACTTTTTTTTTTTTTCGAGAAATCTGGCGCCAAGTTCGGGGTGCACCTATTACGCTAGGTAAAATTTTTCAAAATATTACTTCTGACTATAGCAGAGACCGCTTATAACGTAAGTCGCCGAAGTCGCAAATATCCGCACCACAACCGAAACAACCTTCTTCTTATGATACACTAGCGCCAAACGTATTGAGCATGCAGTCTCGCGTTTGCGGGAATCGAGACATGTGATACGGTGTGCTTACACTTGTTCAAGTTTTAAAAAATTAACAGAGAGACTCGCTTTGCCAACAAAGTGAATGCAAAAAAAAAGAAAAAAAAAAGCATCATTGGATACATTTTAGGCCACTTAGATTATGCGTATTATCGTATAAAGGCATTGCCATTTAAACGCGAACCACCGTTCTAGTGTTACTAGCACCACGCATGCCCCCTTTCCTTCAAGTAGAGCCACCACGAAGAGTTACGTTGATTCCATACAAAAAAACGCAAATACTTGCGACTACCACCGAAAAAAAGCCAAGGCTGATTCGACCTAGCATATGGTTTGGATTGTTGTTGCAGAAAGTTGGTACTAGACAAGATTAAGAATGGGCATCAGAAAGATCACACTGAAGCACTGATACAAGAGCAGCGTGCGTGATACAATGTTTAGGTTTGCGGTTGGCAAATCAACAGGGGACATAAGTCTGCCGAGCTTGTGCAAGTCCGCGTAGTGGCATCAGACGAAAGGTCGCGGCGGAATGCATTTAGCTTTTAAATTTGCGAACGAGGGAGAACGCAATAACGCAGGCTTTTTTCTCGACAGTAAGTTCTAAGTGCACTTGATGACGACACGATCACACATTTCATGCATTGCGTGCGTGGGCAGAGCCACGTTGGCGCCGTTGAGAGACGGAGGTTGAGGAAAGAAAAAGTTGCAACTTCTGCTGCCCTAATTGGGAACACGGCTCAGCGCCTGTAGGGGTGGGGTGAGGGTATTAAAAATGTGGAAAAGAGAGAATAACAAAAATGGCGTCCCTGACCGAGGACGTGGCAGGCGGCTTCTGTAGGCGGTTGTCAACGCCGGTGCCTAGGTTAATCTGACGCCCAGTTGTTCCCTAGTAGTAGTAGTATGTAGCCACCTCCAGTTTGAGTTGCTCAATAGGTGGCGTTGTATATATACGTCCTTGGGAATAATATAACCAGGTGGCGTTACTTTCTTTTGCAACATATCTACTGAGTGAACTAGTGATAGCTATCAGCATTACCAAATGAATGTAACTAGTGGGTTACATGATCAGGTGTGTGAAATTTTAATTGTGGTGTCTAGTGGTTGCAATTATGTGAGCGGGTTGCCAATTTCCTTTGGTGTTGACTATAGTTGTTGGCTCAGTGCACTACTTTTGTTCCATGGGTGCATGTGTAATTGCATCTGCAGGCTGGCCTGATGGCAAGCCCATTCCAGTCTTTCCATGGCATTCGCTGGTTCCATTTTTAAACACCACCCACCCGTCGCCACCCAGCAGTGCACCGCCCACAGTGACTACTGCTCCTGTGTTACCGGACGACGCTCAGCAATCTAGCATTGGTAGGTTTCCCTGATGTTCTCTTTATCCAGTTGGTCGGGAATATGCTGTTGCAGATTGATGAAGGATGTAGAACTTGTAGTCAATAATGACGGTAAAGCGGCAATAACTGGATAAAGTCATTTTAGGCATAGTTTTATATCTGCATAACAATTTGAACTTTCTGCAATTTATCTAATTCTCAAATTCTGCTGCTGTAATATTGTTGTACAGAATTTTTTATGGCACTCCATAAAGTCAGTAGTATTCTTCATGACATGCCGTAGACCCCTTTTATACCGACACACCATTCTTCTGGAGTTGGGGCTTGTATTTACAATAAGCTGAAAGAAGAGGTTGATTACAATAAGCTAGGGCATAGATCTATGTTCCAGAGCTCCAGACAGCAAACATTGAAGGGGCCCTGAAACACTTTTTCAAGTAACCATTGAATGAATTCACTGGAAGGGCTTATTGCCTCAGGAATTCAATGCCGCAAAAATATTAAGAATCCGTCCAGTGCGAGTGGAGTTACAAAGGTTTGTCTATTCACTGCAATTGCATTCTCTCTTCTCTCATCTTGACGAAAGCGCTGGAAGCTAAGCAGGAAGGGATGGCAGGGCCACAGAAAAATGTCACGCAAGCCTCGCGGCCTTGAGCACTTTCTTTTCTTTTTTCCTTTTTCATCCAATGCACCGATTCTTCAGTGTGATCGCACGCGTGGACAAGTAGTGGCCTCCCGCGGCGATCTCTTTAATCAGCGAGCGCGCCATGTTCAAATCAGCCGATGGCTGGTAGATGGGTCATTGACGTGTGATTTTTAGGCATATAACGTGATTTGTTGAGAGAGTTGACGTGTGATTTTTAGACATATAACGTGATTTGTTGAGAGAAGAGAAAGGAATATTTAGCTGACTTTGATAATTTATTGTGAATTCCAGGCTGCGTGCTGAGCTATAATATTTGGCTCGCTTGTTGTCGGGAGCTTCTACTACCGATCGGCAGCGTTTTCTGACCATGCTCAAGAAGTGTTGCAGGGCCCCTTTAATATGTGTGTGTTAGAAACAGATAAAGTTTTTGTATGTGATATTTCAAAATAGTACGTTTTTTACTAATGTAGCCCCTGCTGCAGCATCAGTGATTTGGCTCAAGTGACGGTTAATAGAAATGTCTAGTACAAGATGTGGACGCTTGTCAGTAAAATCTCTTGTTTGCTCATAATTGTTATAATGAAATGTACCATTCCTTCCACAGTAAACGACCAGGAGGAAGGCGACGACGATGTGTTCGACAGCACAGATTCACCCACAACGATTGTTGTGCCATCTGCTAAGCGGAGAACACAATCACTGGGTGCACTCCCGAAAGATGAGCCCAAAAGCCCACGCAAGGTATGGCTATGTAACCGTTTGGTGCTGTAAAAGCTTGCTTTCAATGTCATACGTCAGTAACAGGTGCACAATGTAGCAAGGGCTGTTGAAAAGTCTGAAGTATTTGAAAAGCCGTTTACCAAACTTTAGTTAAGTGCATCCTTGTGGGGTTGTGTGATGAAACTTGGCAGGTGCGAAGCTGAATACCCTGCATGTTGCGATCAGGCAACATGCAGGGTATTTATCAATTCCCAACATTTTCTTCTTAACTCCAACCATAAGCAAGTATTTTTCACATTGTAATTACATTGTTGGCTATCAGTGGTGCCACGTTTTAATACTATGGTTTAGCAGTTTGCTGCAAAGTTTCTGTTCTCGCAACCAGATGCCACGAACCCAGCTGTTTTGTGGAGTCTCCTGTTTGTAAGTGTGCACATATTAAAGTTTTCTACTTCAATATAACCAAGCAGTGGCCAATCATTTGCTCTAGTTTGTTGCTTTGTTTTTTTATGTCAGTGTCATATAAGTTGCAACTTTGCTTTGCACAACATTTGACTCATTTTTAGATGGCTCAAGCACCATTGTTCAAAGCAAAAATGTAGGACCTTTAGGAATTCAGGGTAACTTGACTCAGCTGTAACTTCTTTTTTTTTTTTTTTTTTGCCTTGATGTGAGTTGCCTGAAATGAGTATCAGTGTAGATATTGGATGCGTTAATGTTTCTTGCCTAATTGCATTTAATGCAGGTCAAGGAGAAGGAACACATCAGACGGCCAATGAATGCATTCATGATCTTCAGCAAGCGGCATAGAGCACTGGTGCACAAGCGGCACCCTAACCAAGACAACCGCACTGTCAGCAAGATATTGGGCGAGTGGTGGTATGCACTGAACCCATCAGAGAAGCAGCAGTACCATGACCTTGCCTTCAAGGTGAGTGATGTGATCGTGTGGATGTAATGAGTCTGTGGAGGCATAGTGGCTAATTTCCACAAGCATAGAAACTGTTTATGCTAGGTGACATTGGGCTTGCAAAAGGGAAAGGCACAAGTTGACCCTCTCGCAGTTGTGCTAATCAAACATGCGTTGTACTGAATGAAACATTTGACCCCATTTATAAGAGACACTGATATGTAAGAGACAAATGGGTATAAGAGACACCGGTGTGTTGGTACGAGTTGATTAGAAAATGCATACAAGGTACTCTGCTTACTAGAGATATCTCATATACAAGACAAGCATTCCTGCCTGGAGCATGCTTCTTATAAAGGAGCTTAACTGTATACCATCATGGATGAAATGGCGGTTCTTGCATGATGCAGCCGGAGAATGATGCACGATATTGAAGAACAGCGCTTATGTTTACGTCTTTCATATGTGCGTGTTTTTGTATCCTTCTGCACACTGCTTCTTCAAAAATAATGGCTCACCCACAAGCCCATCAGGTCATAATAAATTAAGCAAGTGATGAATGATTTGATCACACCCACAAGCCAGTGGCCTATTGCAAGGGTAGATAGGTACAATCAAGCACAAGTGATTGAGTGATAGAATGATACCAGTCTGACAATACGAGTGCATATTGCACAGAAGTGGAAGCGTGACAACACTTAACAGCATATAGAAGCCAGCAAAGAGGAATAACACAAGGCACTACACGACGCATTAACGCAGTTGACATGGATGAGTTAGTTTATAAAGTTCACAAGCCCTGTGGTGTGGCTTTGCATTTTCTGTCTTTGTCTCATTCGTGTTGCACTTTTAGCCAAGCACTATTCGTGTTTTGTTTCTAGCACACTTATTTTCATAGAGCTGCTGGGAATGAAAGCTGTGATATTGGAGCAAAGGGGAGGGGGGGGGGGGGGTCTTCTGTGTAGACACTATACCTTTATCTGTCAAGACATGGAATTTCACTATAACTGCCCTTGGGTCACGGGACCGAATCCCGGTTGTGGCGGCTGCATTTTCGACGGAAGTGAAAATGCTGTAGGCCCGTGTGCTCAGATTTGGGTGCACATTAAAGAACCCCAGGGGGTCAAAATTTCCAGAGCCCTCCACTACGGCATCGCTCAAAATCATATGGTGGTTTTGGGACGTTAAACCCCACATATCAATCAAATCAATCAATCACGCTCAACTTGTTGAGAGTATTATGCCCGTGTGGTGAGTGTGCGGACCTGCAATTTGGTGACCCCACCGCTAGCGCTCCTCGCAAATGACGTCAACTACAAAGCACCTATATATTTATCTTTGTACAAGAGAAATAATATTACGCCAAATATTTTTAGTATGTTTGGTGAACATCACCAAACATATACTGGAATAATATAAATCACTTTTGTAAGTGTTCATAGTGTGTTGTGATCTTAAGAAGTTATCAAGACTGGATGTGGTTGTTATGGTTGCGATACTGTTATTTAATGCAAGTGTAACACAAATTAGTTGTTCTTGAAAATTTTAGAGTAAAAAAATTTCATATTTGCATGCCGGTTTGAGTCGTTGAAAAACCTGCGACAGGTCCTGGAAAGTCCTTAAGTATCATTGAATTTTTGCTTTCAGAAATCAGAAATGGTTTTATTTTGTCATCGAATCAATTACAAAAATTTGTGTATACAGAAGGAGGTCCCATAGTCAGTTTATGCGAACCCTGCTAGCAGACTGTCCCCTTTTATAGAACTTACTGAGCCTAGTGGTACATTGCTCATATGCTGCAATGAGGAAGGGCACATTCAGCATTGCATTACGTTGTCTTCCTCTTCTTGTGTAGGCTCTTATTTGCGCTAAAAACATGCAGCTGGTTTACACTTCCTTTCTTCACATTGACAGTGTATATTACAATTGTAGTAGTTAAAATTGTAGTAGTGTTACAATTGTAATAGAATTGTTCAATTTGCACGCTCATTGCTCAATTTGCTTACAAATTGTGCTTCAATGTCTGTATCAAGTTTCGCTGAGTTTAGCCTCTCTGGTGGCTCAGGAGCAGCGGGCATGCTCTTACCGAACTGCAAACACTGTCCCGCTACTGTTTGCAGTGTGTGGCTTGGCATCACCCTAATTCTGTGACATTTTTATATGTGCCCAGGTGAAAGAGGCACACTTCAAGGCGCACCCCGACTGGAAGTGGTGCAGCCGGGATCGCAAGAAGTCCAGCTCTGGATCACAGTGCAAGGATGCCACACGCAAGTGCCTCAGCACCTCGGATGACCTGGGTGCCCACTTGGCTTCTGGGGACAGCAATGACCGCCAAGATACTGGTAGGCAGGGGAAGGGAGGGCGCAATAGTCCCAGACAATGGGCATGTGATAGGCAATGCCTAGGGGGTAAGCAACTGTCTCACTTGCATTCATGTTGTTACATTCACCGTGCACCTCAGGCCACCTGCCATAGTAGCACACTGGCCATTACATTACACAGCTGAGCTCAAGGTTGTGCGTTTAGTCCCAAGTGCTGCTGCTACAGTTTTGGGGATGTGAAATTAGAGAATGCTTTTGCACTATAAAGTCTAACAGTGTCTACCATAAAAACCAGAATATAGGTCGGCTCCCAAACTTTGAATCTCCGAAAAAGAAATTTTAAAGAATTGCAAAGTATTGCTGTGTACCATTACCTTGGTAAATACGCGACACAACCAGCTGCACTGTGGTGACATTTCTTTTTATTTAGACACTAATCTTATGTAGTTGAACACCAGAGGGCCACAAAGGGCTGTCACTCGGACTCGTCCGAACTTGAGTCCGACGACGTCTGTTTTTCACTAGTGAACCTGCCAGAGTGCATCGTCCTCCGTTCCATCCAATGCGTTACTTACGCAGCATTTGCGAAAAGACAGAAGTATGCCGTTTCAACCCAAAAACCCTTCGGCTTCATAAATTGGCGCACCCACGATGGCGAGCCCTTGAATTGCACTCTCCTAAGCCCAAAGTCGCGCACGATCTCGATAGCATTCGTGCGGATGCACTCTGCTGTCACGGGGGGTACCGACGTTTCACGCAGCTCCCAGACGAGTTAGGCGAATAGCGTTTCCAGCGTTTCCACACTGCAGTCCATGAACGAAACAAAGTTTTTATTTTGGTTGCTGCAGGACATGATGCGCTGCTTTTGGCATCTCCAGTATTGGATGCTTTTCTCCGATGCACCGAATGCCCTTTGCGCCGCCAGGTTGCTGTGCGTTTCGACGTATTCGATAACTTTGTACTTGGAGCCTATCGTAAACTGCTGTCAACTACCACTCATTTCCGAAGAAAATAAGAAACAGCAGACAGACAGCAGATAATCAAGGCAAAATGGCGTTGCTAGAACTCTGTAGGCCTTGCCCAACAGCCCCGCTGCTGATATTCGCGATGGCAATAGAGGCTTTCGACTTCAGCTGCCTACTGTGCGAGACTTCCAAATTTTTCTCTGCTAATGACCGGTATGGAAGACGAGAGCCGACTTTTCATTGCGTTTTTTTTTTTATTCGACCTATAGTATTCTGGTTTTTATCGTACTCATTTGGTTCAAAATCGAATGCCAATGTGTTTTGGGAACTCATTCGATAGAAAATGTAATTATCATCAAATTGGGCATTAGTTTCTCTGTGTGACAAATGACATTACAATCATGACATTCGTTGTAAATGACATGACATTCGCTGTAAATGACATTAGATTTGCCGTGTGACAGGAATATAATCAGCCTTTGCTGGTCAGAATTACTTTTAGAAAAGACCTATATCAATATACTTACCTCTTGCCTAATTTAGTGTTCCTCTTTCGCCATCTTTTTGTTGTAAGTGTAGTTGTAGTTACTTCTTATTGATTAAAGCTGCATTTGCTTTTACAGATAATGTCAAGGACGAGAGCACTGGCTCTAAAAATGGAGAAAGTGGTGATGTAAGTTTTTTCATTTTTGTCATGCAGCTGTTAGGGGCGAATAACTTGAGGGACGAAGTGTGAATCACTGACGCATGTAGGACATACTAATTAAGTAGTTGTGAAATATTTATGACACCTGTTTGACATACCACAGCGTTGATATACAATTGAAGGGAGCATAGGCACAGAGGTATGCTACCTTGAATAGCACCAGTACAAGTCAACGGGAAGTGGGTGATTGCTAAATCATTATAGTTTCTTTGCAACAAACAGTGCCATAGTGAGGCACAATGTAGTGTATTGTGCTTGTCCTATTTCATTGCAGTAACAATACGGGCTTGTCGGGCTGGTATCTGATACCATAATAATACTTGTCAATTCTATGCAGGCAGGTAGGATAATGCTCAAATTTCTCTGCACAATAGGGCACTGACAATGCCACCAAAATTTTACATTATGTGTGCATACATACACACACACGTAAAAACAGATGCATGCACTTAAGGGGAGTTTCAGATTTATTCGATAATTGCACTTTCCTTAAAAAAAGAATGATGGAAATGTAAGGAATGGATAATTGCTAAGTAAAATCCCCCCCCCCCCCAAAAAAAAGGAAATTGTCATGCGACTTTTACATGAATTGCATACGACCTGTTTCTATTGTTCTGTAACTGACCCCACACTTGTAGTATTTAGTCTCGGCTGTCACTGCCATTGCCACTAGATCTGTTGGTGGGGCTAGCTGTGTTATCGCGGTTAGCATTGTTGATGTCCTGCAGAAAGTTGAAAAAAAAAAAAAAGTGTTGAGCGTTGCCTGGTGCACCTTGGTCACGTCCGATCAGGGCAAAGCCATGTTTGAGCACTTTTGGTGCCATAACTTTAAATTAAGCAGCTCCATTGCAGCCATTGAGTATATTGGCTTCCACTCCTTTTGAGGTCTGCTCGTTATGGGGACAAAAATCTAATGTACCGTGCTTACTGGAATGTAACAAGCTTTTTCTCAGTTTGATACTGAAAGTTGCAAGCAAATACCGAAATTATGTTTTTCAAGAATTTTTTATTTATTTTGCATTTCAATAAAACTGCATTGCATCTTCTGAAATGTTTCCAGAGTCTTGCTGTTGCGCTTCCCTGGACTGAAAACACTTCCGAGTCTTCTATGGGCAATGTTGGCCCTGGAAACAATGACAAAGATGAGGACGCATCCAGTGATGATGAACGGATGATAATCTGTGAAGACGAGGGTAAGCAAAACTCTGCTTGTTGCAACTTGAGCTTGAAAAATATTGGCAAACGTCTGGGGAGATCTTGCGCGTGATTAGCAGATGATGGCTCTAGTGGAAACGGTCAGTGCACTTTCAGTAAGTATATCTGAAAGGGATTTTTAAGTTGTTTTAACATGGAGAAGGGGAGATGAGAATCACATTCAATGTTACATTTAAGGGGAGGCGTGGCAGTTCAAAAAATTTTTCTCGTTATTTCAATTTAAGTGAATAAAATTGAATACACTTATTCACTTTTTTTCTGCAGATTCTAAATCTTCAAGTACGTTTTCATTATTTTTTGTGGCGCATTTTGGCAACCTTGCTTTGTCAAACACAAGAAAACAAGGTATGTGGCACGACTGCCAGAGAGCTAGTGTAGTGGGTGATGCTAATTTGATTGTTTTCATCTAACTTCGATTCTAAAATAAACAGTATAAGTATGAGTAAAATATTTTTGCTTCATACTCTTCATGATTATTGAGAGTTATAATTCGGTACACAACATTATAAGAAAACAAATGCCATCATTGGCTAGACCAGCTTTCTGGAAACCTTGCTGCATGCTTCATTTTTGTGTAGAGAAGAGAACTTGCTAAGAAAATCCCCGTAAAAGTTACGCTTAAGATATTGTAAAGATAGCACATCTTTTGTTCTAATGCAGCTATTAAAAATCTTTTTAGAGATTTGGAATCCACAGAAAGAACTGAATAAGTGTACTAAAGTTTGTCTTGTTGACTCGGCTAATAAAAAAACACCTTTAAGACTTGTGTCTCCCATTACAGCTTAGTATTTTGTCGAACCTTTTGGCATGAGAAGAAATAGGCCACCTATTGTGCCACTGCGCAATACTGATGATGTTGAGACATGATGGTTGACGTCTTTTAGAACGAAACAATGGGGTCGGCCTGGCCTCGTAGCTCATCAGCTCAGATAGCCACAAGAGCCCTTCTGCAATACCTGAAGGCGACTGACTTCAGCGGTTGAGTGTAGATGTGCTACACCGTGCCTTTAAATCACAGAGACTCGTGCCTCCACTCTCTCTTTCTCCTCGTAGTACCCCCCTCCCCCTGTGTAGTGTATTAAATCGGGAGACGTCTAGTCAGTCTTCTGCTTGCATGCCTACTGATGTGCCATTGCCCGCTGTCGAACACCCACCGTTTCTCGCCTCTGCCCCGTCGGTCATTATCGCCGATGTGACGTCATTCTGTCACTTGGCCAGAGAAAAGGGGTGCACGTTAAAGAACCCCAGGTGGTCTAAATTTCCGGAGCCCTCCACTACGGCGTCTCTCATAATGATATAGTGGTTTTGGGACGTTAAACCCCGCATATCAATCAATGGCAAGAGAAAAGATAAAAGTCGTAGTCTAAGAGGCAATGGTTGCAATAGTATCGAAATCTACAACTCCTCCTCAAAGTCTGTTCAGTGTGATTGAAGTGTTCGTTGACGGTGTCTAGACTCTTGGGCACAGGAGTCGTTCTGTGTAAGATTTTTGCGCATACTTTAGAAAGTCGAGACACCTTTTTCGGGGCCTCCTGTCCACACAACCAGGGCTCAATATAGTCACGCCTCAGAGTCTTGTACTGCACGTGCTGATAATGAGGACGTTCTGTATTCAATTGAATTTGTAATCATTACTTTCTGTTCTTGTGATGTTATTTTTGGTTGGGACATTTTTTTGTACCACAATGTCCTGCACACGAACAGAAATTCCTTGATTTGAGCTGTTGCTTCAGCTACTGGTCGATCTTTACGCCAGCGGTCAATAAATGCCTTCACATTCCAAAGGAAACAGGGTAAAAGAAGTGTTAAGTACAAACGCCTTTACATTCCAAATGATACGAGGTCAAAGAAGTGTTTAGTATAACCGATGCAGTTGGCTGGAGGATATGTGACTATACATATACCGTATTTACTCGATTCTACTGTGCCCTCGATTGTAACGCGCACCCGGTTTCCACGACGAGAAAAAAAAAAAAAAAAAAAAAGGTAAGACATCGATTGCAATTCGCACCCATTTTTCTCGTTGGCCCGCACGATCACACCACTCGGGAAAACGACTCCTTTCGGGAGCATCTTCCGTTTAAATATGAGGTATGGGGCCTATCTGACGTGCAACGGAGCATTGCCGTCACTCTAGTTTTACCGTGGCCCGATGTCGGCACGCGAACTTGCTTCGCCCCCTTCTTCTCGACGGTTGTGGTGCCAGGCATGTCGAAGCAAAGAAACGTCTGATCGGCATTCCCGATTTGCCCAAGGAGGGAGTTTGTGCCGCAAGTTTAGGACGAACCTCTGAAAACTGTGCTTTTCTTCGTACTCCTCCGGCAACTTTTGGCATATGCCCGTTCACCTTCGGAGGGAAAAGCCTTTCCTCTTCATAAAGTTAGTTAGCCAGCATATGCTCGCTTTAAACTGGCTCCGCAATAGCCCTTTTTCTAAGGCTAACTGCATACATAGCCTGCACTTGGAGCAGTTCTGTCGTCACAGGTCGCTGTGCCGCTCACTGCTCAATCACATACTCGTCGAGCAGCTCTTCAATTTGCGGAAACCGACCCTGCTGTGGTCCACTGAAGCCTTTGCGCGAATCTTTCCTGTCGACAATGTTCTGCTTTTGTTCTGCTGTTTGTTTCTGCCAGTCCCGCACGCACGTTTCGGGAACTCCGAACGACCGCGATGCGGCCCGATTTTCGTCCGTTTCGGCACACGCAATAACTTTTCTTTTAAAAGCGTCATCGTGGTGCACTCGTCGAGTTTTTGGAGTCGGCCCTTTTATGCCGTCGATGCTAATGCACTACAAGAGGACGAACTCCTCGGTACACGTACGAAGTGCCGCACATGGGAAACACATAGGCAGAAATGGCCGACGCGCCATGCCAACGCACGTAGGGGGTGGCCATTTTGGAAATGCCGATGGCAATAGAATGACCGTATTCATTTTTTTTTCGTTCTGCATTCTAACGCGCATGCGATTTATGAACTCGCTTAACCGGAAAAAAGGTGCGCGTTAGATTCGAGTAATTACGGTATACAATTTTCTTCTCACCATTTCATCTTTTCCTACATACAGCCCTCCCTACTGTTCATCTACTGATTACGTGTTTGATGGCAAATCTTTCTTTTCCTGCGACCCCATTGTGTTCTTCAGTCATGTGAAGAAATTTGAATATGCATGAAGGAGCAGCTGAATAAATCGCCACTTTTCTAGTGTACTGTCAAGGAACATTAAGAAGCTGTGACCTTGCCCTTGGCCATAATTAGGCTCAAATTCAGCAGGAGCGACTGCATTTGAACGAGTGCATGAACTGTACTTTAAGGACGTGAAGACTGGTTTATACAGCTCGGCCGTCCTAAACGTGTTACTTGTGCTACTGGCATTGTTAAAAATCGGAATTTTTTCTTATCTGCTGTTCATTCTAGGTGACGGCGAGCCAGTTATCGACCTCCAGTGTAAAGAACGAGTGGTAGAGAGTGATTCAGAAGGTGGTGCCTCAGATGCTTCACCTCCACGGTCACCTGTTGGGGCTGGGCCACCATTGGCTGAGGGCACCCATAGGCCGACACCCATCATGAGGGAGCCTATGCCGTTGTTGGAGGCTGCGCCGCTGGGCGCACCACGGCCTCTTGGCGCTGCAGCCACAGCCTTTCACCCTACAGGCGCCGTCTTCAAGGGTGTGCAATCTCCAAGTAAACGCAACTCGGCCCCAGAAGAGAGGCAGCGTGAATCTGTAAGCACCTGTTGACTCGTTCACGCTCTGCTTATCGAGTGCTGGGAACAGGGAAACCAGAAGTTATTGTTCCCTCTAGAACGATCCCCAAATAGTATTACATTGAACCTATGCAACCTTTGTTAAATGTAGGTGGGACACTGTACTTGAGATGAAATGTCAGATATTTTCATGCGTTTATAAAGAAAATTCACAGTGTGAGTTTTTGATGCTTACTTCAAAAATCTAATTACTATTCCTTGAAACCAATTAGTTTTCGAGATATCCTAAAATTAAATACTTATTCTTTGCTGGTATAATGAGACAGGAAATTTGTATTGCAGAGCTACTTTTGGCACATGCCTGTATACTAATGAACATAAGCTACACAATGGTAGGAGTGCTTTTTTTTATTTGATAATTTTAGCAAGGTTTGTCGCACCTTGCACTTCAGTGTTGCAGACACGCCCACTTCATGCTCCAATTTCTGGCAAAAATTTAATTTTTTGAAGATCTCAATCGAAAATTCACACCTACCATCGTGTAAACTAAAGATACAGCTACATGTCACAACAAAAATGACAGTCCTAGCTGCTCTGAAGGCAGAGATATCTTTTAGACAGGTTTGCAACTGCAGCAATATTTGAATCCTAAGAAATCATGCAAAAACACAAGTCCATTTTGGGCAGAAAGTAGCATGGAAAAGCTGTTTATTTACAATGATTTGCAAATTCAGCTTTCTCAGTAGGCACCAGGCATGTGGTTCTTCTGTTTCGCGTCACCCAAATGGCGTTTTTTCAATGCCCACTGCATATTTTCCGCAGAGGCACACTTGCGAGCTCATGCGGTCACCTTGGGCTCGTCTGCCGACAAGGCCGCTTACCAGTTCGGTGACGCCTATGTGCGACAAATTTATGCGCGTAATTCGTGATCCGTCCTATAATAAAGTGGTTTTTCGGCTTGTCCAGATTGAGTTGTGATGCCGCAGACCAAACTCGTGCACACGCTCATCAATTTCAAGGCTCCTAGAGCAGCGAGGTGTTGGTTTCCTTTTCACGTAAGATTGCCACATTTTCGAGTGGAGGCCGCGGCGCAATATGTTCACCGTTACAGACGCGTCGTTACAAGCACTCTACCAGTTTCCTTTTCATGTAAGATTGCCACATTTTCGAGTGAAGGCCGCAACGCAATATGTTGATCGTTGCGGACGCGTTGTTACGAGCACTTTACCTATTGCCAGTAGCCTTCATTGCGCGGGCGGCGAGCACGTTCACAGTAAACTGATTGATTTTCTGCTGTTTGCCGATGCGCGGCGAACTCCACTCTGGCGACTCGTCACGCAGTTCACGTCAGACGGGCGGAACCCGCGGCATCGGCGCGTTTAGCGATAAGACTGCGCTTCCTTTCCATTGTTGCAAAGATTGCTATCTCCTTAGCTTCACTTCTGCTTTTTTACTTGCCGTCCTGTAACTGTTCAAGCTCCAAAACACTGCCGCTTTCAGCGACGTTGTCGACAACCAACGGGCTCGTACGTGAGTTAGGCCTACACCGGCGGTCGCGGAGCCACCGGTGTTCAACACCGGTGACTCCGCGACCGCCGTTGAACACCGCAAGTTTGCTATCCTCTCTGTCCTCAGTGATAGCGGGGCTCTTTCTGAAGTTCACAGCGAACGAACGATCACCACACCCGCTTCACAAATTAGTGCGGCGAGGAACTTCTTTACTTCTGCAGGCAGTCTACAGCACCATGACAGAATGGCACATGTCTGTGCGCGTCACGATGAAAAAGCAGACGTCAGAAACGCCTTTGGCCAATCGGATGCCTAGGTTTTGTCATGTGCCCCAAGCAGCCAACGGAATCGCGCGGTGGTACTTCTCGATGATGCGTTTTTGCTGAAGTACCAATGAGCAAGGTGAGCCACTGGTGGCGGTAAATTGAAGATGAAGAACGACCCTTCCAAACGAGACCAAGATGACCACGCTAGCTCAGTGTAACGGCAATGGTTCGGCGTGAAAAAGTGCGACTTTAGCGTCTATTTGTGCTCAGATTCATCTCACAGAGGTGTTATAAATTGATTTTGTGCCAGAAATGACGCGAGAAGCTTGAAACTTCTCAGATAAGTGCAAAAATAGTTGCAGATTTCGAAAATGTGAACTTCAAAAAGTCGATTTTTTTCGCGATTCTCAGCCTTTTTAAGACCTGTGTTCCCCCTTAAATGTATTAATAAATTCCTACCTTTCCTGATGAAACGGGCCCCGGGGCCCCGGCAACACTTCTTGGGCATAATCAGAAAACGCTGTCGATTAGTAGTAGAGACTCCCAAGAACACGCGAGTTAAAAACTATAGCGCAGCACACGGCCTGGAATCCATAATGAATTATCAAAGTTAGCTTAAAGTTGCTTTTTCTTCTCTCGACATATGACGGAAGGTGCTCAAAAATCACTCGTAGAAGGCCACCTATCGCCTATTGGCTAATTTGAACATGGAGCGCTCGGTCGTTACAGGGATTGCTGCAAAGGGCCGCTACTTGTCCGTGCGTGCGATCAACCCGAAAAAGCTGCGTATTCGAACAAAAAAATAGAAAAGAAAAAGTGCTCAAGGTCACTAGGCGCATGTGATCTTCGTTGCTCGTGCCATCCCCTTTGCTTAGCTTCCAAGTGCTTTTGTTGGTGGGAGGGGGGGGGGGGGGAGAAGAGAGAATGCAATTGCAGCGTGACAACGTGCAACAAATATTTGCAACTCCGATCGTACTGGACGGATTCTTAAAACTTTTGTGGCATTGAAATCGCAATGCAATAAGCTCTTTTAGTGAATCTGTTCAATAGTAACTTTAAAAAGTGTTTCTGGGCCCCTTTAAGAAACTGCCCTGAGACTTGCATACCTTTCAGGTAATCTTCGAGCAGCTATAATCATATGATCCTTATAGCGAAAATCAGACTAACGAGTTTTTCGGAGTTACAACTTTTCGAAAATTCCCCTTGAAATGTCTGTTGATTTAGTGTAGAGCTGTGCAAATTGCAAAATTTTGGGTGCAAAGTTAACTCATATATTTAAATGTTAGTGCAAATCGAATCGACCTCTTTTCTCATGTTTGTAGAATATTTCTAGAATGTTTTCATATACCTCCAAGGGAAATTGCAGAAAAATGTTGGAGAGGATTCCTAAGCATGTTCTTATGTAATAGCAACACGAAAGTGTTTCTTTTTTCTAGGTTGATGAAGGGCTGGTCGGGTGGTGTTTCTTAGTTGTCTTAACAAGGACGAGGCAATGTGGAGGCCGAATTGTGTTTATGTACATGACTTGGTGCAACCATAGTGTTGCTGACAACACTTCACACGTCGTAGGCAAACATGCTATTTCTTCAACCTCTGGTGCTGATGCTTCAAAATGTGTAAGGATAGTCCTACATCCTACAGCAGTTGAACTGCACCTATCAGGCCAAGATTGTGCTCTTCCTCAAATAAACGTGGACTCCTTCAGTAATATTTCGTGTTTGTTTTTTGGCGCTTATCAAAGCACAAGGCGATTCAAGCACAGGTAGGGGACCCATATGGTTGCATTGACAGTTTTTGTGGAAATTTTTAATATTTTCATTATGACTTTTCATAACGAATTATTTTTAGTCGTGCCTCGAGATTTGTTGACTGATGGTTTTATTGTATGTATATATATATATATTTTGTATTTCGATATCCCAGTGCCATATTTGCACAATTCTAGCATGCGCCTGATTGTAACACACTGGTAATTTTACATGTGGGAAGATTAAAAAAGAAGATACCGAAAAAAAAAAACTCTAAGCCTGTTTCACTTATGAGCCTGATTTAAAGGCACACACAAATTTGAGAGTTTTCATTCCGAGAACAAAAAGTGCGTATTAGAATGGCACGAATATGGTACTTGGTGATCATCGATCCGAATCTGCCAATGCATTTAGCAAAGGGTAAGGCACTAAATTGGATTTATTCTTCATTTGCTCCTTCTTGTGAAATAGCGCTCTGAAATGGACAGCCTTGTGTGTTCTAAAAACAGCACAAATGTCCATTATTTTACCAATAACACATGGCTGCAAGTAGGGTGCATCTGGGCACGACAATTAATTTTTACTTCTCTGGCTTGAATGATTATGGGGTGGTTTTGTTTTGTGTTGATGGCGTTAGTTTTTACCTGCCTTTGCTTAAATGACTCCATGAGGGGCTTTGTGGTGATGTTTTTTTATGATTGAATAGCTACATTCAAGTACTCTGATACCTCAACATAACGAACTTAAATATAATAAAATGTTGGTTATAACGAAGTAAATAAAAAATAGTCTTGCAATAGATGCAGGGTTAGAAATAAACCCTTATAACGAATTTTCAGATATAACAAACTTATTTTCTCTGATACCTCAACATAACGAACTTAAATATAATAAAATGTTGGTTATAACGAAGTAAATAAAAAATAGTCTTGCAATAGATGCAGGGTTAGAAATAAACCCTTATAACGAATTTTCAGATATAACAAACTTATTTTCTTGTAAGATGCAACTTTGTTATAATAAAGTTTGAGTGTATAAAGGAACAAAAAAAAAATAAAAGTGCCATATTACTCACAAGTGTCAAAGCTGCTTCGAAAGCTTCCTTTCATATTTCGCTTTCTATTCTGCAAGCCTTTCCCATTAATTTGTTGTAGCCAATTGTCTGAAACAACAAGCATCACTATTTTCAACCCAGGTTTCTCCACTGCGTCCAATTGCGTCCAAGCCTCCTGCAGGCATGGAAACCATGCGACATGCATTGCTGGTTCCACCCGCCTCCACAGCGCAGTACGCCATTCTAAGCCCACCATTGAGCCGGGCCGAGGGTGGCGCTGATCTGACGGGGCTTGTTCTGAGGGGCCCGTCCTTCAGCCCAAGCCCACCCAAAGGGCCCAGCAACGTTTTGAGGCCCGTGCAGTTGCCTACTGCTGCCGCCACACAAGTCCAATACCTGCTTCCTTCTTTTACCGTCCAGCCTGGATCCGTAGGGCTCAAAGGTCAGTGAAGGCATCCTGTTTTTTGTTGTAAGTAGTTTTTCTGATCTGCAGGGATCAAAATTTCAGTGAATGCTTCCTGTTTACTTATGTCAGCAGTAGTTCTTGGGTGCTTCCTTGGGATATATATATTTTTAATTAAGGTAAGACCTACTTGGTTCAAACTACGTTATTACAGCAGTGCTGTTCCTTGTGGGAAGTTATCACCAAGCTAGAAATAGCATAATCAGAATTAGCAAGGCGGAGAGGAAGAGTAGTGGCGTGGTGGTACAACATCAGCTTGACTAAAAGAGGCTTCACTGTTCCGCAGCAACGTTGTCACGCGGAGAGGGCCATAGCAAGTGGCTAGGAGGCTCGTATTTCGGGCGCACAGGGAACGTTTGTGCATAAACACCTGTGTGTGTGGTGACTGTGCAATGTTGTGTTGGGGTTCCGGCAGAGTCATTGCGTGGACATGTTAAAGGTACACTAAAGTCAAATGCTGCATCATCATTGACGGATGAAATCACCGTCTTGGTGGTCCGCACTGCGTTAGCGAAGTCACCCGCCTAAGAACAGGCCTCTCTGACGTAGCAGTTGCCTTGCTCAACGTTACCCTGAAGCAATGTAGTAAATTGGGCTAGTTGGAACATACTCATGGTGTCAGGGCTTGTGTCGTGTACTTCCTTGTTTTTCGTACCCCTTTTTTTTTGCACTTATCGTCATGAGCAACATTGCCTTCTCTTACTGAGTGGCGGCTGACATAAGCAAATGGTTGTAGAAACACAAAGTTACCGGACAGTGCTGTCGACATTTTGTGATGCTTTGTGCAACCACAGTCATAGACACGTTTGTATTAGCCTAGCGTTTTTGAGGGGGAAAAAAGTGATTAAAAAGGCAACTTTTTCGCGATTACATTGCTGCAACACATTCACGGCAGAAATAGAATGCACATTGTTTCAGCAAAAAAAAAAAAAAGACTTGTTTGCCCGGTTGAAGTGGGTTCCACTAGATGGCACCACCTATCCAGCATAACCAGGTAAAAATGGGAACTTTTGAAATTATTGTGTCATTCTCCATCGTGACATCAAGCAGTTTTTTTTTCATCAATCAAACATAAATGGTGAAGCACTATTTGATCACGTGTTAAAATGCATGGAAGGTTCTTTTTTTATTGCAACTGGTTTGATTAGTAGTGGTTAATTGTAGTAGGACTCTTAGACGTCACTGGGACCATTTCAAGATGTCCCACTGGTGGTGCGTGGTCATACTTTCACCTTAATTTCCTGATAAGTGGAGCACTGCTGTTGACAATAAGAACATTTTTGGCATTCTCAAACAATAATCTTTCACTCTGACATAAATTCTTATTTGCTTGTACTGTCCCTTTAAAAAGTCTTTCTGGCCTTACGTTCTTCGATTGCTAGCTCGAGTACCGTATTTACTCGATTCTACCGTGCCCTCGACTGTAACGCGCACCCGGTTTCCATGACGAAAAAAAAAAAAAAAGGTAAGACATAGATTGCAACGCGCACCCATTTTTCTCGTCTGCCTGCACGATCACACCACTCAAAAAAATGACTCCTTTCTGGAGCGTCTTCCGTTTAAATATGAGGTACGGGGGAAGCTTGTGCCTATCTGACGTGCAACGGAGCATTGCCGTCACTCTAGTTTTACCGTGGCCTGATGTCAGCACGCGAACTTGCTTTGCCCCCTTCTTCTCGACCGTTGTGGTGCCAGGCATGTCGATGTAAAGAGGCGTCTGATTGGCATTCCCGATTTGCCCAAGCAGGTAGCCGTTGTTGTGGCGCAAGTTTAGAACGAACCTCTGAAAACTGTGAAGCTTTTCTTCGTACTTCTTCGGCAACTTTTGGCATATGCCCGTTCGCTTTCAGAGGGAAAAGCCTTTCCTCTTCATAAAGTTAGTTAACCAGCTCCTGCTCGCTTTAAACTGGCTCCACAGTAGCCCGTTTTTCAAGGCTAACTGCGTAGCCTGCACTTGGAGCAGTTCTGTCGTCACGGGCCGCTCACTGCTCAATCACATACTCGCGGAGCAGCTCTTCAATTTGCGGAAACCGACCCTGCTGTGGTCCACTGAAGCCTTTGCGCGAATCTTTGCTGTCGACAATATTCTGTTTTTGTTTCCGCCAGTCCCGCACACACGTTTCGGGAACTCCGAACGCGATGCGACCCGATTTCCGTCCGTTTCGGCACACGCGATGACTTTTCTTTTAAAAGTGGCATCCTGGTGCACTCGTCGAGTTTTTGGACTCGGCCCTTCTATTCCGTCGATGCTAATGCGCTACAAGATGACGAACTCCTCAACACACGTACGAAGTGCCGCACAGGGGAAACACATACGCAGAAATGGCCGACGCGTCATGCCGACGCACGTAGGGGACGGCCATTTTGGAAATGCCGATGGCAATAGAATAACCGCATTTTTTTTTTTTCGTACTCGATTCTAACGTGCATGCAATTTATGAACTCACTTAACCGGAAAAAAGGTGCGCGTTAGATTAGAGTACTTACGGTAGTCCTCTTCTGTCGTAGTGGAATAGAAGAAGTGACATGGCATTTGTTTAGCAATTTCTCGCAGGGAATAAAGCATGGCTCTGCTATTGCAAATGCCGAAGACCAGTGGGGTTGGGGGAAGCCATACAAAAAGTTACATTATGTAAGAGTGGGTTCGGCCAGATCCACTGACCTTTAGCATTTGCAATACTAGTAAAGTCATGCTTGCTTTCTTTTTGTTTTCAACTTGCTTAATTCGAAAATTCCTGGTTATCTTGGAACAAAACATCTTGCACCACCTTTCTGAAGAAACTTTCATTATGTTGCTTTTGCATCAATGTGCCACGGACACGTTGAGGTAGTATGGCCACCCACACTAGGTGGGCTGGTAGGCAGCTCAAATGTAGCTGCCAGCCCTTCTGACTTCGCCAGCCTCTGTACTTTCAGCAGGTTCAGGTTGCCTGCAAGATGGGAACTGAGAGCCAGCTGTGCTCTTGGCGGCTTCGACTGTAACCGCCAGGCAAATGCGTACACGTGGTTTCTCGTGGGGGAATGGGGAGTCTGCAGCCCCCCTGTCATGCCTCTCGTGTCTTAAAGACAGCATGCCTCTGAATTCGTGAAAAAAATTAAAATGTATTGATGACAAGCTTATTGTAATGACCTGCTTTTGGTCCGGCTTTCCAAGACTGCAGATAGGAAGTTAACCATTCTTCGAACGCAAAATCAGGGCACTTATTTGCTGATAAACGATGAGAGAAGTTCAGCTGAGTAAAAGTATCCCATAGACTTAGCGCCTTCCCCCCCCCCCCCCCCCTGACTGGGGAGTAGGGCGGGCACAGAAGTCACTGAGGGTGGGGCCCCTCTACTGTGCACGCTTATGTCTCCTGGTCTCCTGCAGCACATGTAAACAGCTAGGCTGCCCGATTTTCTCCTGCATATGTAGCTTGTAATGAAGCCGGTGAGGGGGCTCACAATGTTTTTGTTTCTACACGAATACATATATATTTTTCTCTTTGGTGACTTCATGGTGCTCTATCACTTGGAACATTGTTGCACAGTTGTTAACACCTAATAACTTGTGTTGTAGGAGTGCTGCAAATGATACCATCTGGAAGTATCCAACTTGGCACACCCAACACAACAACTGTTGGCAAAGTCCTGGCATCGCCACCAGTAGTGTAAGTGGTTTGTCCGATACTGATACCGTGTCTCATGCCATGCCACGTTGTCATATTTATTCAGCACATACAGTTTGTGGATCACTCTAATTTGTTTTTTGTCAGAGTGTGCTATTACGATTGTCATGTGGGAAACTTGAACCCTGGATTGCTAAAATTTGTGGTCACAACTGTGTGAAGCTTCTTCCATAATGCCGCTTTTCTGAGTAGGGAAGGTCTTCGTGGTGCCGGTGGGAGATGTGCTGCAAAGCATACCAAAGAGAAAAAGGGGGAAGTCTTTGAACAGTCGAACAACATTAGGAAAGTATTTAGCTTTATGCAGTAGTACAGTTAAACCTCGATATAATGAACTTCATTAATATGACATTTTTGATAGAACAAAGCATTTTGCTTTTCACAACTTCATCTCCATAAAAAGCCATGTTATTTTGGACCTGATAAGAGGAAAAGCTCATTAATTTGTATTTAAGAGGGCCAAAGAAAATTGTCATAATCAAACAAATACCAAAATATTGAAAGTATCCTGTGAAAACTGGAATACAGGTCTTTTTTTTTTTAATAAAAAAACAGCTATAAATTGTCGACCCCTGTCTTCTATGTAGAAAAACTTTGGAAGTTTGGCCACCATAGGCCACTTATGTCAGCTTCCTCTATTATCGCAATCATCGGCGTCGCTTCGTTTACTTCCAGTCTTCTGCTATGGGCATTCTCATTTTACATTTTTGTTGTTTTCCTGTGAATCTGTTTGGGCTCGGAGGTGCTTTTCTTCTGATTCTCAACTGGTGGTCGAGGGCAGCTCACTGTAGCGTCCAAGAAAACAGAGATAGAGTTCGCGAAGGCACGAGGGAATCTGGTCTGAAGTGTGTTGAAAAGGTGTTGGTATGCTAGCGCATGTGAACGTGAGTGGGAGCCGTGAGTGTCAAACAATAACTTAAGGTTTATTTTTGCACGGCTGTTCTTGCTGCTCAAATCTTGCCAGGTACTCTTTGCTTGTTGCTTCCTGCGATGCCGGCAGCTCTGACTACAACGCATGTATGGCTAAGACCAGTGGGCAGATCGAGTGGTCAGTGGGCAGATCAGTAGGCAGATTGTGCAGGTTCTGACAAAAATGGCCATTTTCTTTATGATATGTGATACATATACTATTCGAATTTGATTCGAAATTATTCGACCAAAATCACTATACACTTCGCACCTAAAGTTTGCCATTCACACGAGCCTAGATAGAAAGCACGTGCAAGTAAATAACATTTTTCACTGCAAATTATTTGAAATCACATTTTTTCGTTCACTCTTTCTTTTTTTTTTTTCGATTTTCAGTGAGCAGTCGAAGGGGTCGACCCATTTTCTGGTTTTTCATGGTATTACACCAAGTGAATTTTTGTTTTCTTGATTAATGCATAAATATAACATTAATTTTGCATAAGAGCAGTGCAAAAGCCACAATTTCTCTCATTCATTGGGTTATGCGCTTGCAGTTTTATGCAATGTCCATTCATTCTAGCGCCTACCTACTAATTTGAACTCCGCTTAATTCGTACAATTTTGTAGCCCCCTGTCGGTTCGAATTGGTAACCTTTTACTGTATATCAAAAGGTCAAATTTCATTCTAATGATATTTCAGTGTAATGAAGTAAATTGCCGATTTTTTTCAACTTCAATATATCGTGGTTTAGCTGTATTACAGAATTTTTATTACGCCCCCTATTGCATCCTTAGCCTTCTAATGCTTCTTGAATCATTTCATTGAAGCCCTTCGTTCTTCCTTTCTGTGCTAAACGCGTGCAGTGTGTCGTCACCACATAGTCCATCGCTGCAAAGTGTCATCGTGGATGCTGCTAGCACACTGCAGCCCCCACAGATACAGCTGACCCCTGCTGAGCCGTCATCCTCGCCACGTATGCTGGCCTCTCCGAGCTCGGCCCAGTGCCTCCTCCTGCCTGAAAGGTGGTCGCTTTGTTCAACTACTGCAGAATAGTGCCAACTTGGGCCAGCTTGTGCAGTTGCATTCAATATTACTTGAAAAATTATTACTTTTATTGCTCATGACTTCCATTGCTCATGATTTCTATTAGCCCTCATTTTCTGAGCAAAACGGCATTCTCTCACTTGTAGATGACACAAATAACATGTTTAGTTATGGAAATAAGGGCAAGTTGAAGTCATGCACAACCTTTGGGCTGGTGAGGAAATGCACTGTGTGTTGTGATATTGAGTGCAGCTTTACATCTAGCTCAACTTTGTGAACGTACAAGAAAGGGACGAGTGAAGGCAAAGATGGAACTCTGACCGTCTGCCTAGCTTCATAGCGCACAAGGCTAGCTGCCAGAATGGAGAAGTGAGGAATAGATAGCCAGGTAAAATGCTAAGTGGTGTTTGTTTTTGTACCTTCTTGGCCGTTTTTTTGCTCGCTATCCTTCTACCACTTTTTTATGTTGTCTTTAGCACAGTAAAGCTTGTTTGGCAGCTAGCGCATTGGGTAGGCCTTGTAATGTGGGGCTCAGATAACCCACTATCAGCTACAGAAATGGAAAATGTATGGCAGTATAGGAAATGCAGCTCAGGATGGCAGGGGTATTGGTGGGTTCATGAAATTCAAATACAGTCGACTCTTCTTAAATGGAACTCGAAGGGGATCCATAAAACTGTTCCACTTATCAGAAGTTTCACTTAAGCAAAGTACACTTATTTCGTGAATTGAAACTTTTTATTCAAATTGCACAAACCTCACCGTAGTCATGAGGATGAGTATGAGAAAAAAAGGAGTAAAAGATGGCTTGTTTGGCAAGCTTGAGTTGTTTTTTCACAAGCAAGATTGAGTTGTTTTTTCACAAGGTACGCACCCATGCCCGACAAACTAGCCAGAAATTCTGGACAAGCCTTATGCTCAAAATAGCGCTGCAAAAGTTCAATAGCCTCTTTAGCTGATCGGTGTGGTGGCACCACTACACTGGCAATATTGTCCCCAAATTCATCGCTGGAAGGTTAATCCTCATCTTGCGCTTCGGCAATAATTTCCTCAACAGTCTCCTGACGACAAGTACGAACATTTTCATCAATTGATTTGTAGTCCTGCAAAGTGAAAGGGGCAGAAGGCATGATCTTACTGAATACTGCCTCAATGTCGGCATCAGCAGGGCTTTCTTCTTCATCAGGTACTGCTCCTTACTCTTGAAAGCCAGCATGATGAAAGCATCTGTGTATTGTTGTTTTCCTTCACTTGCTCTCAGGCACGGGCCAAAATGCCAATAAATCTATGCTGTTGCATTTCCTGCTGTCTGCACAAAGCAGCAGTCGATGGAGCAATTGCCTGCGGTAATGAACTTTAATGTTCTGAATAACCCCTTGATCCATCGGCTGGATCACTGCCATTGCATTGGCGGACAAGAACTCCAGAGTGATGGCTTGGAGTCAACCTGACTGTGGGCTGGGCAATTATCCACGATGAAGACAACCTTCCTGCCTTGCCTCGTAAATCTTGCATCTTCCTCCCGTAGCCAGTTTTCGAAAATGGCCATGGTCATCCACGCTCTTCTGTTCGCATAGTACACAACCAGAAGGTGTCGAACGCGTTTGAAACAACGTGGGTGCCTTGATTTTTCTAATACCAGCAGCTTCAATTTCTCATCTCCTTCCTTGTTTGCACCCACCAGCACTGTGATGCGATCTTTACTGCATTTTCCTCCACTACAGGCCTCGCCTTTGAAGGTGAGAGTATTTGATGGAAGCACCTTATAAAAAAATACCCATCTCGTCGACGTTTAAGACTTCTCGTAGCTCAAAGCTCATCAAAATTTCCTTAAGTCGCCTCTTTTGCCAGTCGGTGCAAATGTCCTTGTTGACTGCAGCACTCTTATCTGAGATTGCTTTGAAGACTAGGCCATGGCGTGTTTTGAAGCGGCTGAGCCATCCGTCGCTTAGGACAAAGTTCTCAACACCCGTTTGCATGGCGATCTCTCGAGCTTTCTGCTTGAGAATTGGTCTGCTTATGGGCAAATTGGAACTTTGTGCACGCTTGAACCACAGAAAAAAAGAACCTTTTCTAGTTGTTCATAAAGCGTCATCCACATCCCTTTAGATGTAAAGGTCTCGTTCTTTACAGTGCCTTCAATCTTTTCTCTGCCTTTGAAGATCCGTGACAGCGTCGTTTTCGGGATGTTGTATTTTTTCGCCACTTCCATCTTGGGCAGGTCGCTTCGATCGAGCTTCTGAAGAATTTTCAGCTTATTTTCAAACGAGAGTGCATGGTGTAGCCACTTCCTTTCCGTCGGGCTGAAATACCGCCGTGATCCACCGCACTTAGCCGCACAAATAGGCCTAACACACAACTGACTCGCCGACTTGGCTCCTACATCCACCACAAGCAAGAATGGCTACTGGATTGGCTTGTCTCGAAGTGCTGTCATGGTTGTGAGACTACCTTTGGCCCGAGCGAGTCTATGCTGTGTTTTTAGAGTTTGTGCTGTTTAACCGTAGGTGACCAATAAACACTGTTTTGATTAACCGATGAATTTTACTGCACAACACATAGAAATCAAGCCATATGAGCCCGTTTAGTTTCGTTTATGAGGCATTCTCGATTAAGCGAGTTTCGTTTATTGGCAGTCCACTGTACTTGCTAGGGTACAATTGGACCAGCTCACGGATGAAAGGGGGAAGCTAATTTCCTCAAGCAAGGACTTTTCTTGTAGTCAAGATTAAAAAAAAAAAAGCAAAGAATGATGGAAAACATTGTTCCAGCCTTCCGTTTGATCTGCCCCTTTGCTTTTACTAGCTTTAGCTATCTATACTCCAGCTGATCGTAGTCACAGTTCAGTGGAGGTGGAACGCTAGAGGCTGATGTGCTTTACGATGTCAGTGCACGTTGAAGAACACCAGATGGTCAAAATTTCTGGAGCCCTCTACTACGGCATGCCTCATTATTATTTTATGGTTTTGGCTTCTAAAAATCCACATATTAATATTATCTATTTAGCTATACCGTATTTACTGGCGTAATGAACCCACCCTTTTTTCTTTTCAGAAAAGCTGATGCCAATTTGCAAGGAGGGTTCATTACGCGGGAGGAAAAGTCACGGGAGTTATAACAGTGAAAATTTTGTGTGACGGCTTCGCTTCTTTGGGTCCGTGAAATGCGCAACAAATTTTTTTGTAGCCAGAAACTTTTTTTGTTTCCTCCCGTAACGAACGTGCACTGATCGACGCTGAAGTGTCGTCCAGCCGCTCGGTTCCAATGCTACAGTGCAAGCTGTTTATAACCAGCCATGTAGATAGCGTACCGGCCGAACGCACTCTGCGCAGCAGGTATCCCAACTAAGTTCACAACGACAAACCTGGCAACAAAAACACAGCGTTGGATGGCAACGCACAAACGTTGCAATAGACGTTACGAGTGCACAACGTGCCATCGGCGCGGTGGGTGGGGTTGCGCTTTGCATGAGCTTCAAGACGGCGAGCGTGCGGCGCGTTTCCATGTCGTGTGCGCCATTTCCCAGGCCACGCGCTTTGTTTTTGTGCCCCTGTGCTTGCGTGGTGCGATCAGCAAAGAGTTTTCTCTTGCATTCGGCAGATGGTGTTTTGCCGTAAAAAGAGCGATTTTTCAAATTTTGATTAACATCGTCCGCGCTCGCGCTGCTCGCACCTGTTTAGCGGGGTTGCAAAACTATGTTCTGACTGTTATTGCATTGTTATTTTGTGATATAGTGGCTTGATTCAACATTGTTTCGACTGTCAATGGCACTGACTATCATAACGAAATAAAATGAAGATACATTAAAAAATTTTATTTTATTTTTCAAGGACCAAGGTGGGTGGAGGGTTTATTTGCGAGTGGGTTCATTATGCGAGTAAGTAGGGTAACAGGTGCCAACCATTCCAAGTTAACTCTCTTATTGGCAATTCTATGCCCCCATTTCAATTTAATGAGGCTGTGAGATTCTGGTAGCAATACAGATTGGAGAATTTTTCACTTCTCAAGTGCTTGTACCTCTTTACGTGTGGAAGCTTTCAAACCAGTGTGTACTTCAACCCATAGCAGCTATCCATCTGGACATTCGACACGGTAACGGGAAGGCAGGAAGTGGGCTTCGCACTTATGGCGTATTCGGTTAGCCGCTCTGGTCCTCGGGCTCAGAGTCTCCAGATGCAGAGGCAGCTCGTAATCGGAGCGCGAGAAGCATCGTATCACCCGAATACATTGGCAATCTTGGAGCGCTTAGAGCAGCGTGCCTGTGACGCTACCACGCAGCCAGCGCGGGAAACTGCCCGGTAAACATTGCGGCATAACCTCCTTAGCCGCATCAACAAATGGTGCCGATTAGTTCAGTGGACATCTGTGACATGTCTGATCTTTTTTATGTTCTTGCTCTCTCTCTCTCAGACATGTCTAGATGTAGTGAAGGCCTTCTGAGCTCGGCACATAAATCTAAGTATAGTCCTCATCAGAGCTCTTATCTTCAAGGCAAATGACGAGGCTGTTTGCGAGCTGCTGCACCGACAGCGTTGACATTTTCTCCACCTTCGCTAGCCGCCTAGTTATTTACATTGTGCATTTATGGCTTTGTAGATGTGAATTCGTCCCACACACGTGCAAAAATGCCATTAGCAACGCATGTGCACCTTCTTCCAAAATGCATGCTAGCGCTCCTCATTTTGTTCACCTGCCGGCAGCCACGTGATTGGCTCGATTGTGTCACATGATTCATCCTCACGGTCAAATCGCGTTACGCTCTCACTTCGGAGTCGCAGTGGTCGGGAGCGCTCTGAAAAAACCAATCGAAGGTAGTCCGAGCGCTTGAATCCTACCAACCGAAGCCACAGCCCCTTTTCAGAGCACTCGAAAACGTCTAACCGAATACGCCATTAGAAAGAAGAAACTACAGTGTGGTCCATTCTTATCTGTGCTTGCCGAGTACAGTGAAGAGCAGAGGGACTAAGTAAAGTTTGATATGGCAGCACAACGCTTATCACCTGGGATGAAGGGATGACACCCACTCTGGGAAAGGTGTAGAGGGGGCAAGTGGTTTTTGAAAAGCGCTGCAAACTGTCTGATTTTGCATCCAATCCAACATGCGGTGTTGAATTATCCGGCATATGGTGTACGACGATTCAGCACACATGGGACAAGCGAGCAATCAGTGACAGGCTCCGCCCACATAAGACACCTTGGAATGCCCACTCGGAAAACTTATCATCATAATGAAGCTTAAAAGATTAAAAGAAACACTTTTCTAGAACCGTGCTTCATTGTATAAAAAAATAATCAATAAAACTGCACCTTTACAAGCGACAAGCACATCGCACCAGCTCGGCGTCAGTCATGATTTTGACAGGCAGACCTTAGCAAGGCAGATGACGGTTGTCGTTTACATTGTATTCAATAAAACACTAGCTTGTTTTGGTGTTACATCCCATGTTTATATCTGGGATTTATCTCTTCAATACCCTCAATGCGAAAAACAAAGGTGAAAAGGGACTGAGACAGCCGGTGTCACAGCGTTTACCTGTGAAATGGCCTTGCATCGCTGCTTGTGATGTTGCTAGTTGTTTAGAAGTGAATGCCGATTTGCAGAAATGGCACACTTCAAAAATCACTTTAGTCATTCAGGAATTATTTCTCGTCAAAGCAAATTGTACTTTGTGTGTCATGCCATCACGAGCGGCGATGCCAGCAGTGGCTTCGAGGATCAACGTGCCTTGGCGACGGCGATCGAAGTGGCAACAGAGGCATTTCTAGCATCTTGGAAACGTGTGCCTCTTGTACTGTCATTAGCTGCGGCCCTCTGATGTGGAGACGCAGATATCTGCCCGGTTGGATGCACGCCGAACATGTGATGAGGCGGTCCAATACGACAAAACGTTGCCATTCTAACTGCCACATCGCCCTGTCAGGACGTTGGATCGGATGTAAAATCGCTTTGTCTCGTTCTTGATGAAGTTGCGACACTCATCATTGCAACTGTGCCATAAATTAACCCTCTACCATTGCTTTTTTTTTCTCCCATTCTTTCACACCAGGTGCAACAGTTCACCATCTGCTTCTCCTAATCCTCCAAAGATCCGCTGTCTCATTCCATCCAAAGGTATTTGCAAAAGCCGTTTTGTCTCTTTTGTGTGGTGTCTAGTAAGAGGATATTGCTTTGTCCCTGTGCCGTGTATAATACCCCAATGGTCTAGTTGCTTGTCACTGACCCCACTGACATCTTTTTCAAGTAGTCCCATTGTCTCATAGTACTTTTTACTTAGCACAGGAAACTGGAAGCATAAAAATCTTATTGTGGCTGTGCTATTAAGGGGGAACGCGGGGATCAAATCGCGAGAATAAGATGAAAAAATCAATTTTTTGAAAAATCTCATTTTCAGTTTTTGTAGCCCTTTTTCTGTCTACAGTAATACCATGTTATCTCGAACTCGCATATCTCGAAAAATCGGCTAAGTCGAAATTTTCTGTGGCACCGAACATTTCTCTATACGTCCCACGTGTATTTTTTCCTTTATCGAAGCATTTTTGGCTCGGATTGCGGATAACTCGAAATGCTGACTGGGAGCGGAATGAAAATTCCACCATTGGTCCATTTCACAAGATCTATGCAATGCTGTCACGCTTGAAGTCCACCTATTTTTTTTTCTTATTTAGCCGTGCCTGCCACTACGTCAATGCTTTACGCGAAGTGTGTGAAGTCTCAGCGCAGCGACATATCAACTTTGTCAAGCAAACCTGTGGCACGTCATGTGACACAATGGATGGATGGATGGATATGGCTGTACCCTTTAGATCGGGCAGTGGCTAGCGCCACCAAGCCGTAATACCTAATGAACCAAAAACTATATTTATTTTTTTTCCTTAAAAAGTGAGTTTGAGGATTCGTACTTTGCAGTGAAGAGTTTAATTTTCACTCGTGCCTTGACTTTAGCCACCAATCAGATAACCTCCTTCTATTTAAGTCTACCCGCTTAAAGTTTATTTTGCCCTCCTGGTCCCTAAACCCCAGTGCTTTGAAAAACTCTGTGCCATCATCCTGAACTATAGGGTGAAGCCCTTTACAGAACATTATCAAGTGTTCGGCAGTTTCTTCTTCTTCTCCACACGCACTGCATATTGTGTCTACCCCTTCGTATTTGGCCCGATATGTTTTGGTTCGCAGTACTCCCGTCCTGGCCTCAAACAGTAGAGAACTACCCCGAGTATTATCATAGATCCTTTCCTTGGCAATTTCCTGCTTAAAAGTTCGATAGATCTCTAGTGCGGACTTCTTAATCATGCCCATTTTCCACATGTCAGTCTCCGTTTCCTTCACTTTCTTCTTAACCGATAGTTCTTTTTGGTTTGGCCACCTGCTGTTTTCTAAGTATTTACCAGTCAACTTCCTGGTTCCCTTCCTCCATTTTGTATCGACATTCTTTATGTACAAGTAGCTGAAAACCTTCCTAGCCTAACGCTCTTCCCCCATTTCTCTCAATCGCTTCTCAAATCTTATCTTGCTGCTAGCTTCCCTGCCCTCAAATGATGTCCATCCCATATCACCTTGTACTCCCTGATTTGGTGTATTCCCGTGAGCTCCTAAAGCAAGCCTACCTATTCCACGTTGCTTAATTTCTAATCTTGCTAGAACTTCTGATCTCATGCACAAGACCGCATTGCCGAACGTCGGGCCAGGAACCATGACCCCTTTCCATATTCCTCTCTCAACATCATACCTATTGTAATTCCAATAGGTATGATGCGCTGAGCAGGGAGGCCCTCTGCCCATGCTTGGCGTAGTTTGTATTGTTTGCTTTGTGCAGTGCACATGATTCTTCCTGAGGTGTGATTTCTGTTCATCTGCGCAAATCACACGGTGTAGATTTTTCGCTGACTGTGCCTCATCGTTTTCCCTGAGGTGTGATTTCTGTTCATCTGCGCTAACCGAGCGGTACAGATTTTTCGCTGACTATGAGGAGCGGCAACTTAGTGTGAGTGCGGCAAGCATGGCATTTACCGGAAGAATCGAAAGAGTCTTCTACAAAAAGAGCCATCTCCACAGAATTTTGTTGTCTAATGAAAACAGCAGAGGCTATGAAATTGACCTGCTTGGAGCAGTACACCTTCTCAGCAGCGCTTGGAAGCAAGTTCGCACAGCCGCTATCACCAACTGCTTTGCGCACGCTGAGTTTTCACGTGCCACCACTTTGCCAGAGTAAGAAACGGCAGAGACAGATTACTTCAGAGACCGTGAGGAACTTTGTCAAGAGGTCATCAAGCGTACAGGTAACAGTGCCAGCGAAAATGGCGTGACTTTTCTAGAGTGCGCGCTGTGTGAGCATGATATGGCTGGGACCAGAGGAATGATGGCGAACCACCTCGAGAGGTGCTGACAGTTTCCAAGACGAGAAATTTGCTGCGCTTGTTTCGAAATAAGGTTGAGCGCAGCTGCGGGGAAGATCGACTGATGCGATGCTTCAAGCACCTGGAGGACGCCTTCCTAGGTCAGAGTACAACTGCAAAGCAGACGAGCATTGGGCAGTTTTTCTCTGCCTAATGAAATGGCAGTGCAGCAAAACCCAGCCAGTTAAAGTCTCTTGTATGTTACTTCTTTCTCTTTTAAACCTGCACGAGGATAAAGAATAGAAACTGCCACTGGAGAGTGGGTAAGCTGACGATCACTACATTAATGAACTTTTCAGATTAACTAACGTCTAAAAAATCCCGCGCTGACTGCTGATAGTTTCAATGTAAAACTATTTTACTACTACATACCTCAGAATACCAAACTTTTCATAATATAGAGCGCTATATTTAATTTCACATTATATTAACGCCTCAGTACGTCGAACTCATATTCTGAAATCCGTCATGACCATACAAGCAGTAGGCAAGCAGACGATACAGCGAACGGACTCCCTGCTTCTCGGAAGACGTGCGACAGTGCGGAGGGGAAAAAAAAACGAAAATAAAAGGATGACGAAAGAAGGCAAAAAGCAGGCAGCCGTAGCCAAAGATCTTCGAGTCGCGTTCCATCATTGCCACGATCCTTACAGATTAAGTGTGCCTATTATGCGAGTAAGTACGATATTTATGGTTAACTTCTGGGTTTCAGCTGTAATGACCTTTCAAAATAACAAACTAATTGCCATGTTCCTTGACGTTCGTTATACTGAGATTTCACTGTAGTGATTTTTGTGAAAAGAGCACATTTTTGTCCAGCGATTTGTGCAACTTTGGTTATCTTGAAAATCCGTTTATCTTGAAATTTTTCTTGGTTTTTATGGCTTCTAGTTAACGAGGTATTACTTTAATTCGAAAATTCAATATCTTACTGAAAACCACACAGAAGTGTTTTTAAAAATTGTTGCACCTGCAAAGGTAGCGAAAGTTATTGTGGAAATTCTCCGCGATAGCACAACTAGGCACGGCGATCTTGGGCTCGGCAGAAAGAGAATTTCTCTGTGTTCAAATTTCTCACCTCAGTTGGCTCCTTCCATTAAGAACAAGCGCACAAAAAGCAAATGTCTGAAGGTCGTTTCGAGGCCCCCCGTTTGGCCCACATGATGCTTCGGCACGCCACGCCATTGGTCCGATGGTCGCTCAGTGTGTGTCGTCTGCAGCTTCCGCGTTGCGAGATTATAGCTGTTGAAAATGGGACTATTTAGTCACGTTTGGACTCGTTCTGTCTTCGCGTATCGATGATAATTGCTCTTTAGCAAATGCTCCAGGAAACTCTGTCATCAGACTACAGTAGCGTGAACATCGCGAAGTGCACTTGGGACCTGTATTGAGTTCACTCGTCAAACTCACTGTTAGACGTTCTGCCCGCCGGCATCTCTAGGTTCGTTACGAAGATTGCAGTGGGCAATGGGACCAACCTTTGTACTAACGGTCTAACATAGTGTACCCTGAAAGACACACCGCAATTGAGCTAACAGCTCGGAGTCGTGCTTAGGCCTAACTGGCCTAACTCCGCTGACGGTGTCATTGTTCAAATCGAATCCTAACTTTGCGGGCAATAGCATCGTGCTAAAACAAATCACACTGTACGACATACAATGGCGCCTTGGAATCGCAAATCTACATTTTACGTGTCGGCAGCGGACTTTACAGCTGTGAAACAAGTAACCACGGCCATGTTAATCACGCAGCGATAGCTTGAAGCAGTGTGGCAAGTTCATGCGTCGGCACTCTAAAATGCGTGATCTAGCACATAGCAGGCCGATGTTTTGTCGTCCGGTCTAGGCATACTGCACATAGCTGCCGAATGCCGCCACCCAGCATATTGGGTACTGATTTCCTGAACCCTGCGATCGAGCCCTTGGGAGGGAACATAAACACTCAGTGGTGATATAATTTAAGTGCATTTCAAGCCGAGTCTCGTATTCCAGCAAGTGTTTCTAAATGTATAGAAATAATGAAAGCTTCTTCATCTACGTTCTCGCGGTCAGGTAAAGAATGAAGCGTATCAGGGCGAGGGTAAGAAATGAACTTCTTTGGAAGAGGGGACGAATTTTCATCTGCCAAACTTGCGGCAAGTAAACTTCTCAGAAGTTCCTATGTTAACAAAGTATTGGCCATATTTGTCGCAGCACATCTCATCTTGCATGCTTACGGACTTGTACCGTATTTACTCGATTCTACCGCGCCCTTGATTGTAACGCGCACCCGATTTCCACCGCGAAAAAAAAAAACGTAAGACATCGATTGCAACGCGCACCCATTTTTTCTCGCTGGCCCGCATGATCACACCACTCGAAAAAACGACTCCTTTCGGGAGCGTCTTCCATTTAAATATGAGGTACGGGCGAAGCTTGTGCCCATCTGACATGTAACAGAGCATTGCCGTCACTGTAGTTTTACCGTGGACCGATGTCAGCACGCGAACTTGCTTCGCCCCCTTCTTCTCGACGGTTGTGGTGCCAGGCATGTCGAAGTAAAAAGGCGTCTGATCGGCATTCCCGATTTGCCCAAGCAGGTAGTCGTTGTTGCGCCGCAAGTTTAGGACGAACCTCTGAAAACTGTGAAGCTTTTCATCGTACTCCTCCGCAAAACTTTTCGCATATGCATGTTCCCCTTCGGAGAGAAAAGCCTTTCCTCTTCATAAAGTTAGTTAGCCAGCACCTGCTCGCTTTAAACTGGCTCCGCATTAGACCTTTTTCTAAGACTAATTGCATAGCCCGCACTTGGAGCAGTTCTGCCGTTGACTCAAGTTTTTGGCGTTGACTCAAGTTTTTGGAGTCGGCCATTCCACGCCGTCGATGCTAATGCACTACTAGATGACGAACTCCTCAGCACACGTACGAAGTGCCGCACATGAGAAACACATAGGCAGAAATGGACGACGCGCCATGCCGACGCACGTAGGGGGCGGCCATTTTAGATTTGCCGATGGCAATAGATTGGCCGTAATTTTTTTGTTCGTGCTCGATTCTAACGCGCATGCGATTTATGAACTCGCTTAACCGTAAAAAAGGTGCGCGTTAGATTCGAGTAATTACGGTAATATGAAAGTGGTCATCAAACCTGATAGGCTCACCCTTCAAAAAGTTGACAAAGAAAAAAAAATACTCGCGGTGCAGAAAAAATTAGAGAGCAAGGGCACAAGAAGGTCTCTGAAAGCGAAGACACTGAATATTGCAGCCCCAAAGCATTTTTATGTACGTATTGTGGCTGTGCAACTTCAGAGCCAGTTTTCTTGAAAGTGTGTTTTGAGACGACAGAACGACTTGCCCAGAGCATAGCACTACTATGGCTTTATGAATTTTCATGAGGTTTGTTGCGTTGTATTCCCCAGTGAATACTCTATGCCGTCACATTATTTTTAAAGTTACTTATTCACTTTTTTTACTGTTTAAGTAATTTCACAGGACAATAACAAATGCATTATTTCAACGTCGATGTAATGTTCTGCGTAAAAATTTGTGTTGATAAAAATATTTAAGGATTGTTATGGCATGTACCATTTCTATGGCTAAAATCTAAGAGCAGCTGTAGGCTTTTACCATGCTTTTTTGTCACGCCAGGCTTTTGGAAAATTTGGTACAGCTATGATACAAGTAAACATTTATAACGTCAAATTTACTGGAAGTATCCTAATGAAACTTTGCAAATAGTAGTCATTCTGTGGACTTCCAAACAAGTATGCCAAATTTCATTGCTCTACTACCAAGAATTAAAAAAAATGGCTCCGATCCCCACCACCTCCCTTAAGAAAAGTTTCATGCCCCTTTTCATGTGGCAAATGGGTGCATGTTGCAGAAATATTAAACATTGGTTTGAGCTGGTTAGTGATTGATGGCTGTCAGCTTTTTAACACCGATTTCAAACAGAGAGATGCTGAGGCAAAAAGCATTTATACTTTTCGTTTCTTTTTGACTTTATGTAAATTTTGTACTAAAGATATAATATAACTATAATTGGTAATGTAGTCCATGTCAAATATGATTTTCATGAATTCACTGTTCCCGAAACACTGCTAAAGCAGAGTCTGTAACTGTGCGAGTTCACAAGTGGTGTTACCACTTAGGCCAGACATACGCATGCTCACCAACTGTGAGAGCTTGATATGATTGGAGAAGCCATTTCATGTGTCTAATCATCAACTGGGCCAAATTAACCAAAGTACTAAATATGGTAGGCAACAATAGCTTGTACTGTGGCATCAAATGAGGTTGACAAAGAGAAACATACTTTGTGAACAGGAGCTTAATTGAATTTTACTGTTACGAGAAGAATGCATTCAACATTCAGTGTAAAATGTTGGTGTAATTTGTCACTTTACTGTATTACATTTTGGAAAACGTGTAATTCAAGTTGGCAAGCTGCGTTGACTTAAAGAGTGAAGGAAGAATAGCAAAGCCAACATTTGCCTTATTTTGCTCTTGTGACTTCCTCCAATTTGGAAAAAAGTATTGCATACTAGGACGCTGCTAAGTTGTCTAGTTGCACTATCATGAATTAGTTTTCACTGTGTCCTCACTACTGCCTGTTACACCTCAATCCTTTTGGTGCCTGCTTTTTTTGCAATGTGTAACAAATGGGACAGAGAACCATTCATAACAGGAATTGAGATAAATTTATTTAGAAAGATTGCCTGTTGTATTGGCTAAAACAAGCCTTGTTTTTTTCATTAAATGTAGATTGTTATTTTTGTTTCTTCACTAAAATTGAAAAAAAAAAGACTTTTAGCAATGCGGTCGGGAAGGGAAAATGCATATGATTACTGTGATGACATTACCTTTGAATTGCACAGTTAATGGTTTCTATATTAGTTCTGAATTGCAGCACGCTTTTGTTAGTATTATCTTTCCTAACCTAAAATGTGCAGATACGCCTTCGTTTGTACTTAGCAGAACAATGGCTCGCAGGAGTAGCACAGGAGTAGCAGCATAGAAGCTGTGGGCCTAATGGCATTTGCCAACGAGTTTAAGATGTGCCAGGGGTGCCTTGCTCGTGAGGTGGTAAGGAACCTCATATGACAGCGAGTGCTTTGAAAACTTATTCTACCTGCTTTCTATACAAAAGAAGCAGTTGAAGAAGTCAAAATGGAGGTGGTTAACTATAGTTTCACTTACTCCTTCAGAAGCAGAACGCTGAGCGTAATAAACAGCTTGGGAGGAAGGCTATTGGCATTGCTGTTGATTCTCAGTGTTTGCTGGAGGAGGGAGTTTTTTAGCGGCTTCTCAGACTAAAATATCCTGCTTGCACAGTATCCATCACCTCTACCAAGGAGCAGCTATTACTTGCTCTGTAGAAGACTGGGTCGAGAAAAGTTGGTTGTCATTGCCTTTAATTTTTGCCTACATGGCGCATTAGCTGTATTAAAATTTTTAGTGAGCACGGCCCCTAGTGGGTTAAGAGCTGTCAGCCGATAACTCTCTTCAGGACAGCATCACACATCATAGCAGTAGTTTCTCGTGATAGCAGCTATTACGTCTTTGGCAGCTATCTATTAAGCCTTGCCAATGGGTTCCTCCCGCTTGCAGATGGTCGGGGCTCCCCACTGGCCATGCTAACCCCTCCCTCTGCTGCAACCACGCCACTCGGCTTCAACAAAGCACTGGCTTCCTCGGGAGGCACTCCCCCAACCAGCTCACCGCTTGCTTCTTCGCCAGCGCGATCTCGCGTCTCACCATTTTTCACGGGTGAGCATCGCCTTTCAGCAGATTTTTTTTTTTAAGGACATAGCTATAGCCATCAAGGCTCATTAACACTCATTTGCCTGTGTCGTATCTAAATTGGCATCATACATTTTAGATTATATAAGTTACTTCACTTCGCAAAAGAAATGCATAATCTGCCTGTGAAAGACAGTAATGTTTGCAGCCAAGTTGTACAAAGATAAATTCTACCGGAATACTGGTTCATCTTTAAACAATAAAAAATAAGACTCATTCAGTTTGTGTTTGAATTCTGCCATAAACAGCAGATACATGTCACGTTACTCTGTCCTAAACAACTGTGTTTGGTATATTCACACCATGCATTTTGATGCCTTTTTGCTGCATGTAGTGTATGCAGTTATCCTAAACAGCTTCCCTACTTCAAACGATGCCGCAGGTGTTCTGTCCATGAAGTCTGGGAACTTGACGCCCACCGAGCCAAAACTAGACTCGAGTCCCCGATCTCATCGTGGTTCCAAAGCTCTGGTCGCATCACCAGCTACGCCCGGCGCAGAAGCTCGGATGCCCACAACTGAAAACCTGACAGACACAGGTAAAAGGACCCAGTTGCAGAGATGCACTAAGAGCCCCTAAATCACCCAGAGGTCGAAATGTAGTTGTGGTTGGGAAGTTGTGCATGAGTCTACAACGAACATGTAGCCATGAGAATTTTTTGAAACGGTGTCGTAATAGCAGAGTTAGATGCACAATTTTTTGTGTGTGTGTCACTGCCCTTGGTTAAGCCTATAGACCAGGCAATTAAGCATTAAAAAAACAGCCAGCGATTATAGTAGATAGGTATAGGCACCTCACATTTCTATTTTTGTTGCTCACTATGCATTTCATTTTTCTGATTTTTCCCTTTTTTTTCTTTCATACTTTTGTTGTGCAGATGCAAAGGCACTCAGTAGTGGGCTTTCATCAGACAAGTTGCTCAAGACAAGCAAGACCAAGAAGCTTTCGGAGACCAGTGATGGGATGGTGAGGATACTTACTTTCTCGGACTTGCTGCTGTCTTCACTGTGTTTACCAATTTTCCTTACTCTGCTTATTGTTTTGTTCATAGAGATAAAGTGTCAGAAACTCAACATAGGTGCTGTTACTGTGGATGCTAAGCTTTTTGGAGCATTAACATCAAATACTTGTGGCTTAAATGTCAAGTGCAAGAATAGAGGCACTATGTGATTCAACCTATTATTTATCTCACCACTGCCATTCGGCACTACCAAACAGTCTTGTGGGAATATTCAAATGAATATTGCTGTACTTGAAATTGCTTCAATTCAAATTTCAATTGTTGGAAATTTCAAAGTATCCAAAACAAATGAATAGATGTATATTATTATGCATGCAACTCTCTGTAAAGATGGTTTCACTGCAGTGAAGGGGTGCTAAGTTGTCATAAAATCTATTCAAGGAAAGGTCAGACGGCTGCACAAAATCTCACTTCAAGGTTAAATGAACGTTTTGTTGCCACATCAATTCTTTCTTTTTTAACTTCAGAATCATGGCTTATATTAAGTATAGCAAATTTTAGGATGTAAAATACCTCTCAGGTTATCATTTGCATTCTTGCAAAAGTCAAATTCTGCTACTGTTTTTCCAGTTCCTTTAACCAAGAATAATCCCTTTTGCACAGGCCTTGTTTCAATTAAAAAAAAATATTATGCAGGTTGGTTGGATCGTGACAAATATTACAATATGTGGTATATTCTATTCAAATTTGATTTGAAATTATTCAACAAATAATGCTATTCCCTTTGAATTGACTTCAAACCTAAAATTCACTATTCTCACAAGCCTTCTCTAAGGCTTTGGGGTGTAAGCAAGCTATACACGTTCGTGCAGCAAAACATAGCTTCATATATAATCACTTTACAATTGGCAGGGTTGATACATTTGCATTTGTTTGGCAAGTGTTATGTCACATCCATGCATGAAATGTTTATTTGTCATACGTTCGAGTTCACCTATAACAATACTGTTAATAACGATGAACAACGATGGCACTATCCAGTTTTATATGCTTTCTATGGTAAAATAAATGCTTATTATGATGATCCAGTGTGTCAATGTTGGACATACAATCAAACCCAGCTACAACGAAAGTGATGGGCATGGGAAAAAATTTAGTTGTAGTGAAATCCAAAAACTACAGCTGACCTAAGCTAGCAAAACAAATTAACTTTATTTCCTAAATTCAAAAAGTGTCACCTGCTTCATTTTCCCAGCAGCGTCATGATGCGATTTTCACTCATGCATAGCGACACCGTGTTGAAAAGTACTCTGAAACAATGGCCACAACATCTTTCGTGAACAAACTTAACAGTTGCATCGATACACTAACACCAGCGGCTGTCCGCCGTCAAGGTATCCGACAACGTCGAGATGGAAGGGTGGTATCCTGGACTGGTGACTTATGCCTTATTCTATGCTATTCTTATCATCCACTCGCCACGGCTGGCTTATTTTTTTATTGTGGACAAACAGCCACTCTGACCGGTGACAACACTGGCCAAGCGCTAGAAGAAGCAAAAGGATTGGCATGGGAAAAGGCATTGTTCCATAATTGCAACCAGCCGGAGCGTGTGCAAAACTTTATGAACTGAGTGACTAAGCTTCAGTTTCGAATTGTCTGCGGCTCAAAAACAAGCCAGTGGCAAAAGCAGGGCTGTCTCATTGCCATCGCTATTGAGCAATGGCAGCCTCCATGTTTAGTAAACAGTGGCAGTTTTTGGTGATTTTAGACTTCGTAGACATATTTTTATGTTCTGAAGTCGCGTCAAAATGTTCAAGATTGCATTTACTGCATGGCCTTAAATATCTGAGCCTAAAATCTCATCGGTAATAGTAGTTGCTTACTTCAAGTTGGTAATAATTATATAAATGATGTCACCTTTTAAAGGAGATAATTGCACTCTTCACATGTTAAAGAATGTGTGGCAAAAGTTTCATCTTTGTGTGGCCATCAGAAGTACCAGAGAAACTATGTCCAAACTCAAGAGGTTGCCCGAAATTTCATCTCAATAAAAACTGACTTCAAACGTAGAAATAAAAGCTCATGTGTATTGCAATGATGGACCTTTTGTTTGAAATCATTTCTTCCATTATGAGAGGTTGGGAATCATGGTTATTTGAAGCTTGTGACTTTGGTGAACTCCTCATGCGAAATCCAGTGGCATCCAGCTATGGGACAGTTGCCAGGCGACTCTAGACAATGAGCTTTTCTTATTCAGTTTTCTATAGCCGCTTTTAAAGGCAGTGTTAGCCTACTTCAGCTTTAACTACAACCTTAATACTTTTTTGTCATTAAACTAGGGAAACTACTGTATAAACCGGACTATAGGTCGAGTGGGAATATAGATCGACCCCCCATGTTCAGAGTTCCAAAAAAGAAAAAGAAGGAAAACAACCCAAAACTGCCGAACCACATTTATTTGCGAATTGGGCGCACCGCACCCCGATCGTCGGAGCTCCCCTCAACCACCATCGCAATTTGTCCGACCAAGCACCACTGTCTTCTGAAGACAAGAGTTTGTCGCTGGCCGCCTGCCACAGTGCGTCGTCTTCAGTGCCATCCAGCAAGTTGCTGGTGCAACATTTCTTGAAAAAATTTTCCACCATGGAATCCGGCAAGGAATGCCAGGGGGAAAAAGAACGGCTATTTGGGCTAGTTGGTTGGAATTCATGGTAATAAGGGCTGCAGCGCGAGCACGAAGGTGCTAGAAGAAACGTGAAACGAAAGGCGAGGCAAGGAAAGCAAAGAGGACAACACGAGCGCTGACTACCAACTGAATTTTATTTTTCGAAGCGCGCATGATAATGAATCCTGTTGTATATATTATCATGCGCGCTTCGAAAAATAAAATTCAGTTGCTAGTCAGCGCTCGTGTTGTCCTCTTTGCTTTCCTTGCCTCGCCTTTCGTTTCACGTTTCTTCTAGCACCTTCGTGCTCGCGCTGCAGCCCTTATTGCCAGGGGGAAAGCACCCAGCCACAAACAGTCGCAAGCAGAGGCCTCTGTAGGTGGCCCGTCGGTGCCTTGGGGTTGTCGCCGGACATCCACTCTTGGTATTCCAGCCGCACTCGGTCCTTGAACAGCTTGTTTAGCACAACGTCGGGTGGCTAGAGGGTAGACGTCGTACCACCTGGTATCACGGAGAGGTCCGTTTTCCCGTCGCCGAGTGCGCGTTTCACTGCGTCGGTTAACTCTTTCCTTACCACGCCACTAGGCATCGTTCACCGGTGAACGACGATTTCACGCCCCTATTTTTCAACAAACACCAAGCGTATGGACTTGCAGCGTCATCTAGGCAATTGTACACACACTAGAATTTCTGTTTCTGTACGGTTCGCATTTTTACCGTGTGGCGGTGATTTTTAAAGGGCGCGCCTATTCAAAGGTTGAAACGCACGTGATCCGCGTGATGGCGTCAACATCCAAAACCACGCGCGCTCGGAAAAAAGCGATTTCGCTCGATGCCGACGCCTCGACAAGCGATCTTTTGGATTTCTCGAGCAGTGAGGAATCGGACAACGATGTGGTGACATCGGATTTCAGCTCCAATGAAGAAATTTTATCAGATCAGCCGGGAACGTCAGCTGTTAGACGCGAGTAAGTTTGGTTTTCACCTTCTGTTTTGTTTATCGTGTTCTGGAGGTGGCTGACTTGCTCTGTATGTGTCCCACATATTATTATTATTTTTAGCGTGTCTACTTCATTTGGGCGCGATGTGCTGCCTCCAGCACAAAGACACGTGAACTTCCGACCCCAGAGGGATCCGGGCATCGACCTCGGCATGACGCTCCGCAGTAGTGCACAATTTATAGCTCGAGAAGTTCTTGAGCTATAACTTTCATTTTTTCAATCCTACTCCAACACGCTGTTTTAAATAATTTGCATCTCTCATAACTTTTCCATAATTTTTTACTCGGAAGATATAAGTATATCATTACGTTTGTTGTGAACAAACCTAATTATTCGTGTTTGTCAATTTTTGTTACCTATTTAGATCTGCCAGTTCTTTCGTCAAATGTACCTTTCAAACCCTACATTTAGTACTTGCATTTTGGTATGTAATATTTTGCTGAAAATTTTTTTTGAAAAAAAAAATCTCGCGTAGGACCAACTCAGAACTTCACTATTCACTATTTCGCTATGCATCAGGCAATTTTTTTGTAACTCAAAAACAGCTTTGTCAATTTTAACAATTCTTCTAAATAATGTTGCCCTGTGATTACTAAACATTTTGTATATTTCAGAATTCCTCAGAAAAATTTTGTGTCGGAGATATCGCTTCGTTTTTTTTTTTTTAATTCTTGAAAATTTTTTTGTATACGAATTTTTTGTGCCAAATAAATTTCCTTTATTGTTTCAAAATAAAAAGCATTCAAAAGTATGTTCATTCGTCTTTATTTTGATGTATTGCATGGCACTGTAAACCTAGTAGCAATGGCACAGGAAATTCCTAGCTGCAACATACAAAAATAGGCCAATTTTCCCGTGGTAAGGAAAGAGTTAAGTGGCCACGAAACGCTCCCAACACCAGCACGCTGCAAAGACGCAGCATTGCACCTGGCCGACGGTTCCACACCACTCTTATCCATTCGAGCATCATGGCCTCGTCCATGTATCCCTTTTTGTTGACGCGACCGACAACACTGGGCGGGAACACTTCCTTCGGCATTGTCTTGCGTTTGAAAATGATGAAGGGCGGAAGGTTTCTACCATCTGCCGTGCATGCCAGCATGACGGTGAAGCATGAGTGCTCGCTGCCAGTGGACAACAGCTTCACATCCTTGGCGCCACGCTGCGTGATTGTAGTCGACGAAGGCATGTCAAACTACACACGGGTCTTATCGGCGTTGCCAATCTGCTCCATCATGTAGTCGTTCTGCTCCCGAAGCCGGTTCACGAAGCGCTGAAAGTATGAGTTTGTCCTCGACCACTCTGGCAACTTTTGACAGATAGATGTGCGTTGCCGAAGAGAAAATCTTTTGCGTCGCATAAATTGACGCACCCAAGAGTTTGGTGCACAAAACTCTTCTCTTGTGAGCGCAGCTTCTCAAGCGAGTTCCACGGCTTTCTTGTGAATGGTATCCATGGTCACTGGCAGCGAGCGCGCACATACTTCACGCACAAAGTCCGCTAGCTTATCCTCCAGCTGCGGATGAACGGCACTTCGTCCACGAAACGACATTTTTCGAGGATTGCACATCTGCAGTTTCCCTTTCTGCGCCCTCCAATAGCGCACGCTTTATTCCGATACACCAAAGCGGCGCTGAGCAGCCATATTCTCCATTCGCTTCTGCGAACGCAACAACATCTAGTTTAGACGCAGCTGAGTACTGCCTCCTCGCGGCGCTACTCATATTCAGCGAACGAAAAAAAAAAGACCACTAAAAATGCAGCGCAATGTCAAGCGGAGCGAAAACTCAGAACAGATTGGAAGCAAATCACGAACACAAAGAAAACAGACTGAGAAAAAAAAAACAGCCTAGCCTGCGAATGTATTTGGATGTGGATATGGCCGCGTCCGGCTTCTCAAGCACATGCAAGCCACATGTCGCCAGACAGCGGCGCACTTTCGGCCAGACACCGCTATAAAAGACGAGGGGTGACTTTAGCTTATTATTTTATTGGAAATATCTCGACTTATGTTCTAGTTTATACGGTAAACTTGTGAAGGCAATTTTGGAGGGAAAAAATGCGTTCTTCGATTCGCATTTTCTGATAAGTGCCAGCTGCAAAAGGGAGGAAACCGCGGCACAGTGTTCTTTCAGGCAGTTTTCTTCAAAGACAGTGAAGGCAGAAAAAAATAAAAGAGCATCGTGGGCTGTTTCAGCAAGTATTGGGTGACCCCTATAAAGTTCTTGTTCATCTCCATGATTGGCTTTAATTTGTTTTGGTTCATACAAATTCGGAATGACAAGAGTTTTTTGCATGCTCTCAACGAATTCGTATCGTCAGTATTCTACCGTAGTAATTCCTCGTCTTATCGCTAATTAGACACAATTAGTTTTCACAAGTCCCTAAGACATGAAACACAACCAGAGCAACGTAGTTTATGAAATTTGGCGCCGCACGAAAACGGATGTAATCGCGCCCTGGGGAGTAATAAACGAGTGTCACAAGCGGTCACCCTTTGAGAGATTGGAAATTGGACAGCCATCAGCTTTGTGGGTGCAAGAGGCGATAACCACCCAAAAGACAAAACCGAAACCAGCCGCAGCGGGTGTGTGCGTTGGGATGTGCAAGCAAAGTCGCCATAGGCATGTAACAAAAATTCTGCATGCTCCCTAATCGTGACAGCACATGCCATTAGAGAGAAATGAGAAGAGAATAAAGACGTGTGTTTTAAACTAGTTGCTCCGCGAAGCAAATCAATTGTGCAAGCAATAGCCAGCGCGTGGGTTTGGGAAGCAGAAAAAAAGAAAACATTGTGGCATTGACAAAAATCCCGCGTATTACTATAGTGTGACAGCGCATGCCAAGCAAGAGGAATGATCGAAAAAGGTGCGCTTTTTTTTAAACATACAAGCAATACTGTACATATATGGTGAAAACTAGGCTTGTGCGAATATTCTAATGTTCGAGTGAACAGTATAATATTTGAATTCGCTTTGATTCAAATTTAAATTTTCGAATATTTCGAAGTATTCAACATGAACGAATGAGTGTATCCTAAACCGCACGTAATCGCCTGTAAAAGTGTTTTCACTGCAGTATTGTGGTGCTAAACAGTAAAAGCACCTATCCAAGGAAAATCTGCTTTGCAACGAAGCCCCACTGCAAATTTAAATGGGCCCTGCAACACTTCTTCAGCATGGCCAGCGAACGCTGCCGATAGGTAGTCAAGGCTACCGAGAACACGCGAGCTAAATATTATAGCGCAGCACGCGACCTATATTTCACAACAAATTTTCAATGTAGGATAAAGAAATGGCAGTGGCTTAGCTCAGCTATGCCAGGATATACGTAGCGTTAGCAAAGGTTCAGCTGATTAGTCATAGCTTTCCAGATATCATGCTTACAGCTGTTCCAATGACACACACACGGTATACACATGTATATTTATTTTGCCGGGCAACTACTTTGGGATCCGATGAGTTTAGCTTCTCCGCTCTTCTGCACCGTTGGGCAGCATTTGCACTCTCCTTCTCCATGGCTATACCACAGTGGCAAACGCCAGCGAGAGGCGCTATCAAGCGGCTCCAGCGCAGTGTCAGATTGCAACTGCACAGGGAAGGCGCGCGCGTCGGCGTCCATATGTCTACCACGGCTATGACGGCACTTCTCTGGAAAGCGCACACCGGCGGCGGCGAATCGCGCATGGCCGTGGCCGTGTGCGAGGGAGGTGCCGGCTCCGGTGCGTGACACCACTGATCGTCTGCGCAGCGCATCGAATTGCGCGCACACCGGCGGTGAGCCGCGCACGGCGGCGGCGAAGTATCATTGCGCATGCGCAGACCAGTGCCACGCGAAATTGGCTCAGCGAGGCCAGTGTAGCTAACGCTACAAAATTGCACTTTTTTCTCTGCAAATAATGCCACAATGTCAAAAATCGCGCTAGTCAAGGTCATTGTACCAGCCAGTGACTGATTTGAGCATGGGACGCTCGGTCGTTACTGGGGCCACCGCGGGTGGCGGTGACATGTCCATGCGTACATACGCATGGACATGGCTTTGCTTCAAGTTCTTTTGTCAGGACTCGAAGAGAGAATGCAATTGCAGCATGTGGCAAATCTTTGCAACTCCACTCATACGGAACAGATTCTATATATTTTTGCGGCGGTTAATCCATAAGGCAATAAGCTTCTTTAGTGAATTCATTCCATGGCTACTTGAAAAACTGTGAACATTTGAAGATATCATTCTCAAATGAATTTATCATTTTCTAAGAATAAAAGGTTGTTTTGCCGGCTTATACACTAACTGCAATGAATAATGTTGCGTATTTTACAGGTTATCACTTACATCCTACTGAAAGTCAAATTCTGCTACTTCTCAAAGTTGTTTTGACTTCCTTTGAATAGAAAAAAAATAAAGAAAGCTCGTGCATAGAGGCCATGTTTAAAAAAAAAATATTGTGCAGGTTGGTTAGGTCATGATAAATATGCCTGTTTTTTTATATGTGATATATTCTATTCGAATTCGATTCGAAATTATTCGACCAAAATCACCATTCGCTTCGACTTCGCTTCGAACCTAGAATTCACTATTCGCACAAGCATAGTGAAAACCCACAGAGGGTTAATGTTGGCACTGGTAATCTTGAAATGGTGAGCCCATGTTGAGAATTAGAAGGTGCCTTGCTGCTCTTTTTTGCTATGAAATGCGATTGTCTGTGAATTTATTGTATCTGCTTCATGATTCATAATTTCCCACAGCACTTCCTCTGTACCATCACATTGACCAAATTTCAGATGCCTCAGATGCAGAGTTCCACTGTATTGTGTGCAGTAGCTTTAATGAAAGGGGCCCCTGCTAGTTCACACTCTGGGTAATTCAGACAGATTTTCTATCCCCTTGGGGTTCAAATTAACAAGGTTTGTCTTTATTTTCTTTACACTTGCTTTGTACTAAATTCTTTTGGTGATTAGATCGCCACCTCAGGGATAATTTTCAATTTAAACGTGGTTCAAGGAGGCCAAACTGCTACCCTGCGTTTCTCTCGCAGCATACAGCCAGCCCCCGTGAAGGTCCTCCCACTGGCTCCAGCTTGCTCCGACCCAGCTTGGAGGAGCAGCAGTGGCGGCTACCCAAGGTGCCGCTTGAGCCGATTTACTCTGCCCCCACTTCGTCCTTGGCGCTCGAAGCAGCAGCTGCGCAAGAAGGGAGTCCGAAGCAGCAGCCGTTCGTGCTCGCGCCAACACCCGCGCAGCTGGGACGTGCACCGGGTCAGCTGCACCAGCGGAAGAACAGCGGTGCCGCGTCATCCTCTCAGTCCTCCGAGCCGTCCGAGACGCTGCCCTGCCTTACAGATCTCAGTGACAACGCTAGTCAGCCACCACCCCGCACCCCTCAGCCACCGCACCCACCAATGGTGAACACCGTGGCTGAAGAGTGCACTGTCGTCAACAGGGAAGAAAGTGTTGCACCCAGGGAAGACGGTGCCACAGCAGCAAAGGACAGTCAGTCGGAGCAGCAGCAACAGCCCGCAAAGGAACCTCTGCTACCACCTCCTGTGGCCAGTCCAGCTCCGCCTTCCAAGGAGACGAAGAAGTCTGTGCTCAAGCGAACTGTCAACGATGGAATGGACAAGTGCGTACAGCTTTCTTCTTCCTCTGGTGTTGGGTTATGTCCAGTCATTCCTTTCAATCACTTAAATGCAATGGAACTTGCTTGGGCTGATTTCACACAATGTTACTGTGAGGTTCTTGTGAGACTTCTTTGGTGTCAATATGAGTCTTGCAAGAACATACAAGTGTTTCATGGCTGCTGTGAAAAGGGCAGCACCTAAGCTTGTAACATGGAACTTTTTTAGTTTTTTGAACGCTTGTCATGGAGTGGCTCTGACCTATATTTTGTTCTTTATGTACTTTTTTTTTACAACTTCTTCAATGCTAACCCTTTCAGCCCTGGATTGTTTTATTTCGGTCGGACACATTTTTGTGCATGTTTTTCTTGTAGTTGAGACCTCAAAAGACCACAGACGAAAAGTTTAGCTAGTGGTGCAAGCATTCTTGGATTATTTAACGTGTCATCGAATTAGGCCATCAAGGCTCAGTGATTGGAAAATGAAAAACATGGCTTCTTTATTTCTGCTAACCATTAGTGTACACAAAATGGGAACCAACACCTTACTTGTCAGCCTAATATTCAATAAAACAGCATCGGGACGACGTTCCAAAAATCGCGCTTATCCGCCTCACCTTACGCGCCTCGGCTTCACTGAAGACTTCGCGCGTGCTTCATATTTTTTGGGCTACTACTTCCACAAACGTTCCGTAATATTGATCATGAAGAACTACTCCCCTAAAACTGAGCAGTATTGGTTACGTTTCCGAGATGCTAGAAGAAATGTTGTCCGGTGGTGTCAATTGACACCACCAGGGCCGGAAGGGCTAATGTTGCTTCACTAGCCTTTTAAGCACTTGTATCATCACCATATGTGTCGTGCCAACAGAGTGCTGGAAGAAGTGAACTTCAAGGCCCAATTCGCCAAGCTGCCAGAGTACAAGCCAGAGGAATCCCCCTCTGGAGCAGCGTCTCTGCCTTCATCGCCATTTGTGCAAACGTACAGGAAGCGCCCAAAACCTTCAGGTGAGGACTAACAGATGCGTGCATATTTCTTCCTCTACAGACTTAAATTCTGGATGGACGATCCCTGTGACTTGATTGCTAATGTAGTGGAAGTTTAAGTTGCACTGTTTTTTGACTGCTACACTGCAGCACCAATGCAGAAACATGCATATACATAGAAATGGGCCTTTTCCTTTGCAAATTTTATTGCTCTTTTCAGTTTTTTTGCCAGGTAATGTCAGGAATTGTATGTGCTATACATAATTGTTGTCATTTAAACCTGCTACAAACCAAAACAAACCTTTTATTCAAAATAAACTGACAGAGGTGTTGCATTATCTTCATAAACAAGGCACTGAAAAGTTTAAAAGATCCCTAAATGGCTAACATTGATTTAAAGCTATTCGTTACAGAGACTGTCGTGAACGCTATACTGAATTTCGAAATTGTTCATGATTTCTTGAGTGGTTTGTTTGTTTGTGCACTTGCTGCTGTATATGCAGCAGCTCGTTACCAAACAATATTGCTCTTCTGAAGTTGATGCAAACAAAATACACTAGTTTTGCACAGGTAGAACTGCAGTTTTATTATTAAGGCACCTTCTTCATCTGTTGTTAGACTAAACATACTTGTACCTCAGCATCAAATAATTCTATTATTGTGACAAAATTGCTCTTCTGAAGTTGATGCAAACAAAATACACTAGTTTTGCACAGGTAGAACTGCAGTTTTATTATTAAGGCACCTTTTTCATCTGTTGTTAGACTAAACATACTTGTACCTCAACATCAAATAATTCTATTATTGTGACGAAATTGCTCTTCTGAAGTTGATGCAAACAAAATACACTAATTTTGCACAGGCAGAACAGCAGTTTTATTATTAAGGCACTTTTTTCTATCTGTTGTTATACTAAACATACTTGTACCTCAGCATCAAATAATTCTATTATTGTGACGAAGGCCACATTTTGTTGGGCTTTGTTTGCATACTTGCATCAGTAGACGATGTTGCTCCTTCATTCAATTTTAGTAGCTGAGAAGTATAGTGAACTGTTGTTAAACAGAACCTAAAGCTACCTAGAAAACGTGTTCCGTTTGACAGGAGTTCCATTTACTGAGAGAGTAACAAGGCCCCGCCGCGGTGGTCTAGTACCCGGCTGCTGACCCGCAGGTCGCGGGATCGAATCCCGGCTGCATTTCCGATGGAGGCAGAAATGTTGTAGGCCCGTGTGCTCAGATTTGGGTGCACGTTAAAGAACCCCAGGTGGTCGAAATTTCCGGACCCCTCCACTACGGTGTCTCTCATAATTATATGGTGGTTTTGGGACGTTAAACTCCTCAAATCAATCAATGAGAGAGTAACAGGGCTTCAATAATCGGGTATGAAAGCAATCATGGTAGAGGCAGTTGTTCTATTTAATTAAGCAACAATTTTGTTTTACTACTTTTATTTACTGCGAGTTTTCTGTATTTTCCAAGCCAGTCATGGTGCAGTGACTACACTACTGACCTCAATATGCAGATGCGGCTGAAGACAGCGGTGATCCAAATGCATCCAAGTGCGCCAGCGGGTCATCTCCAGTGAGCACACCCCGCACACCCCAAACTGCTGGCCCAAAGCTGGAAGGCACAAAGTTCTTCGGACCCAGCTTCAACCTCGATGCACTGGCCGACACTCGGAATGGTTAGTATAGAAAGCCGTTGTGTTGGATCCTGTGATTGCATTTGCATTTGTTAGCAACTGCAAGAAAGGAATAGGCGTTGGTCGATGCATTTGCCCATGCTTCAACCAAAGACTTGTATGTGATCTATGGGGATTGAATGTTAATCTTAATCAAAAGAAAACAAGTGTCAGTGAACTTGAACTTTTGCTGTAAGGTTGCAGGATTGAATCTCGGCTATGGTAGCCACATTTTGATGAAAAAGAAATGCAGGGTGCTTGTGTGCTTAGGTGCTTATTAAAGAACACCAGATATTTGAAGTTTTCAGAACCCTCTATTATCGCATATCTCAGTCATATTGTGGTATTGGAATGTGAAACCCCAACAGTTATGAACTGTTGACTATAAGATGGCCTTTATAATCAGACACATTAGAGTTCTAAATGAATGTAATACTGCTATACTTTTGATACTAGCCCTCCAAGTTATTGTTTTTGCAGTGGCAATGCTAGACCTCTCGTATGTTTATTATGCCATTTTGTGCAGCGATAAACGTGCTCTTCTCTTTTTATAGCTACAATGACACTTCACTTACATAATGGAGCAGTGTTTGATGTCATTAGTGTGAATTAATGTTCATGTTTTTTATTTTTAAATGTTGCTAATTGTGGTGTGCAGCTACTTGAGTAATCTATTGTGCATTATTCTGAAATGCAGAAAATAATCTTCAGTTTTCGTTCTTCAGTTGATTAATGATTTTCAGTGTCTCTGTTATCTCAACAGCTTAAAACGCAAGTATCCTTTTTTTAGCATATGTGTTTTGAACTGCTCAACCTAAACTGCATGTACCAATAAAGAATAACCTCCCCTAACAAGAGCTATTCAATATATGCCGTGTGTAGCATTATATGACAGTTTGCATGGCATTTGTGTTGTGGTACGATTAAACGTGATGGCTACATGCATACATTTACACATATTGTCTTATTAACATTCCTTACAAGAATCCTTGTCTTCCTGTTCCTTCTTGCGCATATCTTGCGTGGCGTCTTCACTGCATCTTTTCCTTGTGGATGTCTGGTCTGAGTATGGTCTAAAGAGATTTTCGGCCCTTGCAAGGAAGTTTTCAACCGACTCGCCATGTGCTATAAAATAAGGCCTCTGTAAAAGTAACTACAATGGTGAAGCTTACTTGCGAGACAAACTAACTTAAGTAACTTTTCCAATCTTGTTCATTGTGCTTTGGTAATTGAACAGAGAATGCCAAGCTGATTGATATGCGACTTGCATGTTTCGGCAGCCACTCATTCACTCACAATGGCTTTCGTGCAGACGCATCGGATGGTGATGTAGGCTCTCCACGAACACCCAAGACTCCAGCAGAAGGTGAGAAGAGCCAGTCTTCATTACGGCGTACACTGGAGCAACGGCGACAACTCGTCATGCAACTTTTCACCGAGGAAGGCTGGTTCCCGTCGGGTAAATACAGCTGACAATGTTTTTCATATGCTAGTGATCTACCGTATTTACTCGAATCAAGGGCGCCCTCCATTGCAGGCCGAATGAAAGAAACGCCGTATTTTTTTGGCAGAAGAACTCTGCATTAGTAATAATGCATAAGTGCACACTACGCAGGCACGTGGTGCGTTTATACGATATTGTCGTCGTCATCTACAGCATTGCTGTCCTCTTTGTTGCTTAGTTCATCCCAGAGGGTATTCTTTTCTCCATCACGTTTTAAATACAACACTTTTTGAAGGCTCTCATGATTGTGCAGTCTGTAATTTCTCATGCCAAGCCGTGGGCATCCAATTCGCCAGTTGGCCAAGCGAAGTGTGCTTGATGCGCCCGATAAGGGTTGCCTGATGTTCCTTTGTCGTAAGCCAGTCGGTGTAGTGCTCACGAAGCCTGTCCTTTAAGAGCTTATTAATGGAGACTTGTAGTAGTTGTGGTCGGCTAGTCATGCCACCGGGTATTACGGCGATGTCAGACCCAGCGCAAGAAAGCGCGGTTTTCAAGCCATCAGTCAAATGGCTGCAGTACGAGTCGACTAGCAGCGAGTGCTTGCGTAACGTGGCCCCTGGACAGCGTTCCTAGACTGCTTTTACCCAGTCCTCCATCAAGCCGCTGGACTTCCAACCTTTTTTGTGAACGTGTTTGACATCATATTGGGGTGAGTTTTCACCTGCTCGTGCAGTCTTGTGCTTAAATATAATGTACAAAGAAAGTTTTCATCCATCGGCGGTGCAGCACAACATTACTGTTGTTCGCTGCTTTTCATAACCTGTCATTTTAAGTTTCACTTCCTTCGCACCCTTTGACAGGGTCTGGTCGACATTTGCAATTCGCCCCAGCTGGTAACTCTTTTCCCGCCGTTTGTCCATCACGTATCGCTGAAAAGTCAGCGGGCAGCTTCTGAAACGTGGAGGGCCGTCGTCTCAGGCTAAACCCAAACCATTTCATAAGGCGTGTTGCCCAGCTCCAGCTTGCCTTGAAATGCATGAACTTTTCTTTTTCTTGGACAGCATCTCTGTCCTTAGAAATTGAATAAAAGTGGATGTTGACTGTATGTTTACCTTCCAGAAGTTCCTAGTCTTTCAAGCAGTAAAATTTCGGCACAAATCCAATCAAGGTAACAAACATGATTTGAAAAATGTTCTAAAGTTCAAATATTTGCACACCCCTAGAGATGGCGTGCTAAAAAAGAATGCTGGTGGCGACGCCGCCTTAAAATTTTTGCTCTAGTTATCGAAGACTTTTATGGCATATACTAGGTTCTATGTAGTGCCTAATCAATAAAGATGAAACACATTGCCCTCTGATGGCACCAGAGGGACCATAGTAAGCGTAAGGAAATTCTGTGGAGCCAATTGACCAAAATTCAAAAGCTTAGCATGTGACATTATGCTTGAAGATTTTGGCATGAACTTGAAAAACGAATTCTTGTCCTTGATTTTTTAATTTAATTATAGGAGTTCTCAGAGTATTTATTAGATTTCCCAAGGCACAATTTATCAATCTAAATCAATTCATTTGTTTAATTTTCGTGTTCTTTGATGCCATTTTGTTGTCATTGCAGCGCAAGCTACAGCTGCCTTTCAGCAGCGGCATCGGGACGTGTTCAGCAACAAAAACACACTTCAGCTCAAGATACGTGAGGTACGTCAGAAGCTCATGGCTCAGAACAACCAGGCCAACATTGCCACCACACCGAGTGCTCACGACACTACCACCATTGCTGAGGCAGCTCCGGCCAAGTCGGAAACGCCAAATGCCCCGGAACCCCAGACACCGCGGACGGGGACATGAAGGATGCACACAAACCGAAGGCTGTCGAGCAACGGTGTGGGGCTGGGGATGTTGTTGGGCAAATTGTGTGGGATGTCTGGTTCCTTGGGGCTCAATTTTATTTTGTTTTTATTGACCAAGCAGCATGGGCTCTGAAACCGGAAGCAGCCTTGGGTCATGTGTTCATGGAGCAAGGTTTTTATTTTTGCTGGTTTTTAAAAGTTCCAAGAAGCATTGTCTCCCCGAGGGAATTGTGTGGACGGCCCCAGCGCCACTTCTATTACGGTGTCTGATGTTTAAAGGCCTGTTTTGCATCCTATTGTCAGATACGCAGCGAACTGGTACCTAGATCGTCATGCACTTTGTGCAGGCCGTTACTGTGGTCTCCGTGTTGTGGAAGGGGCTTGCGGACTTGGGATATCGACGCTCTCTGCTTGTGGACATTGTTGACCAACAGCATACACAAATCATTGTAGGGTATCGACCTTCCATGGATGCCCGTTTCAACACTTGTCTTGTGTTCGGCTGCGCACATACAGTTGTGTTGCACCTGTGATGTGTACGAGACTGTGTTCTTCGATGGTTCTCGAGGTCTGTGTCACACAAATCTAAGGATCTGAAAGGCCCTGTAGCATGGTTTGTTTGGATTGTTGAAAGGATAGGCAGGTAGGACTGCTCTGTGTCCATGTAATATGCGCACATGGTGTCTTTCGTAGTTTTTTTCTTTCTCCATTTGCTTTGTTTCATCACAACGTTACTGGTGTTGTTGATGGAAACAAGTGGTGTGACTTGTTGACTTGCACCATGTGTTGTTGCTAGTATTTGGACAATGCAGGGCAGTACAGTTTCATGCTGTTGACCTTCAGAACTTTTAAGCAGCGCTGCTTTTTATTATCATTTTCTTTTAGCAGATGAGCCAGGCGATTGGATGCCGTTGTAAACTATGTTCCCAAATCTGCTATGAAGTTTGCATTATTGGCCAGGCTTTGTGCCTCCTGTGCATATGAGGACTAGATACAGATATGTGGGCTTAATATAAATTTTTATTATGTGGTGATTTCAACTAGAAGTATGAAAATAATACAAACTTGCAGTCAGTACAGTGAAGCCGCATTTCACATAGGGTATCTTTGTTTTAAAGAACAGAGGACACCAACCATACTTAGTGAAAAGCAACAAAGGGGCATTTATGTGCACCTTTCATTGCGATTGCAATTATATGGACAGTCTCGGGGCTGGGTTCTGACGTCGCGGCCGCCACCATTCACGTATATATATATATATATATATATATATATATATATATTATATATATATATATATATATATATATATATATGTATATATATATATATATATATATATCCACATCATCAGCCTGACTACGTCCATTGCAGGACAAAGGCCTCTCCCATGTTCCGCCAGTTAACCCGGTCCTGTGCTTGCTGCTGCCAATTTATACCCGCAAACTTCTTAATCTCGTCTGCCCACCTAACCTTCTGTCTCCCCCTAACCCGCTTGCCTTCTCTGGGAATCCATTTAGTTACCCTTAATGACCAGCGGTTATCCTGTCTACACGCTACATGCCCGGCCCATGTCCATTTCCTCTTCTTTATTTCAACTATGATATCCTTAACCCCCGTTTGTCCCCTAATCCACTCTGCTGTCTTCTTGTCTCTCAAGGTTACACCTACCATTTTTCTTTCCATTGCTCGCTGCTTCGTCCTCAATTTAAGCTGAACCCTCTTTGTAAGTCTCCAGGTTGCTGCTCCGTAGCTAAGTACCGGCAAGACACAGCTGTTATATACCTTCCTCTTGAGGGATAGTGGCAATCTACATGTCATAATTTGAGAGTGCTTGCCGAATATGCTCCACCCCGTTCTTATTCTTCTAGTTACTTCAATCTCGTGGTTAGGCTCTGCGGTTATTACCTGCCCTAAGTAGACATAGTCTTTTACAACTTCAAGTGCACTATTACCTATCTCGAAGTGCTGCTCCTTTCCGAGGTGGTTGTACATTACTTTCATTTTCTGCAGATTAATTTTAAGACCCACCTTTTTGCTCTCATTGTCTAACTCCGTAATCATGAGTTGCAATTCGTCCCCTGAGTTACTCAGCAATGCAATGTCATCGGCGAAGCGCAGGTTACTAAGATATTCTCCATTAACTCTTATCCCTAACTGTTCCCATTCTAGGCTTCTGAAAACCTCCTGTAAACACTCGGTAAATAGCATTGGGGAGATTGTGTCCCCCTGCCTTACACCCTTCTTGATTGGTATTCTGTTGCTTTCTTTATGAAGCACTATAGTAGCAGTTGATCCCCTGTAGATTTCTTCCAGAATGTTTATATATACTTCATCTACGCCCTGATTCCTGTAGCTGCGCCGCAGGAAACTTGGTTACTTAGCAAGCACATGTTAATTACAATTGATATTGCTCCTAAAAATGCTAGCCTTGCTTCGTAAAACATACGAATATGTTGCTATCGCATTCATTGTATCTCCCTTTTTGGCGAAACTGGGACTTTTTTACTACACCTTCCAGTCAAATTATACAATGGAATTGCATGACAATGCTGGAGAATCGACAATGTTCAACTAGCCACACTAGGATACCGATTGAGTAAAGTTTGTTCCCTGTCAGAACCACAGCCTGCGCCATTCACAGGTCGCATTGCTTGAATGGGGGCGTATTCCGGGGAGCGAGAGGGAGTCCACAGGGTAGTCCCGGTGAAGCTCCCAACAAGGTGTCACTGAATCAGCCGCGTGCAACTTCTTTTAATGTCTGAGAGCAAAAGGCCTACTCTTCATGAGCATGTGTGTCCTCACCATCAAATAGCACCTGTGGGAACACTAGCACTGTTTCTCTTCCTACGATGAAACTTTGCCAAGCTTGGCTCAGGTCTGTGACCCATGAGAAAACCCTGCTATTGCCCATGGAAGGGCTATGCGATGGAAACAACTTCTCAGGTGGTGTGAGCATCCTCTCAAGCATAAGCCTGCCGATAGTTCCGTTTTGTTTGCTGCTTCATGAAAATTATACTTAAGGTGACAGCATTTGGTGCAAGCACTAAGCATAGTTGGCAAAAGCACGATACAGTACTGCCTTGACAAAATTGGCCCTTCCTGAAGAGCTGAACTTGCATTAAAACCGTTGTAGGTTGTGTGTTTGGCCGTGTGTTCTTCGAGATGGTATGTGAGAGAATTGGCTCGGTTATGCTAAGCTAGAAATTTACGTCTTGGTTAAAGCAGGACGATTGATGCTTGATGAGCCACCTTAAAGTGAGTGTGGCATGTTGTGGGAGGTCTGTTGTGTTCACATTATTTGACTGTGTGTTTTCAGTGCTCCGAATTTCGAGCCTTGTATAAAAGCTGCCTTTTGTGGGGATTTGTTGTGAAACCAAGATGTCCCTATGTAATGGTTTGTGCCCCCACCCTCTTTTTCTCTCCCCTTTATTGATAAACGATATGTCAAGCTGTCATTGTATGTTCAGTGTGCCTTCTCATAAGGACATCTATGCGGGAAGTCCGTTCGTTGGACGACGATACATGAATGTAGCACATATTTGTTGTGTTCACTACGTAACGGCACATGCATGTCTTGTTTTTGTGTACTGTATTACCATTGCTTGTTTTAATCGTTTTGTTATACTTTTGTGCATAGCACCGTCATTATGTTTTAAATTTGAAATATGTACTTCACAGCTCCTGTTGCAGGTGTATCGTGCATTGTTCCCACCTTCTTTTTCTAGCTCCATTCTAGCAGCTATCTCACACATTTTCCTCTGTTATTGCGCTTGTTTCTGTTGCTTTGCATGATTGTTTACTCTCTGTCTCAGATTTTTTGCTCAAAACAGACATGTTATAACCCATATTTAAATGTTTTTCTTTACTCTATCTTCAGCTGTTTGAACTGTCACTAAGTACTGGTTTAGGACAGTAGGAAGGCAGCAACAGTAATGTTCTGCTAACTTCAAATAGTTTACCCAGTGCATCGGCTGTGTTGGAAAGTTCTGGTGCCGAGTTGTCACTCATAGATGCCATATAGTTTTTTCCCTCCTTTATTTTGAGAAGTTATTCTATGCGGATTCTCAAAAGGTGCACCCGGTGACTTGCAAAAATGGCCATCACAAGGGTGTTTTATTATATTGAGCTAACTTAAACGCTTAGTCTTTTACTGTGTGGCAAACACACACAAATCGCTACAGTATCAGCGGTTGAGAAAATATATGTTTGTTTTCTTTGATTTGATTGTGCAACTGTCATAAGCATGGCAAGAAAAGAAAGAAAAACTAGTGAAAGTTCACCTTTAAGAGTATTCCTCTCACCTGGTGAAATACGATGCCAACTTTTTGGTCCCTCTTGACAGGTTGTTTAGTGAAGTATTTAGTCTATATTCACCACAAAGTAAAAGTCGGTATTTATGTGGCAGGGGATTATTATTCTATTAGGGGTGAACCATACTCCTGCATACCATAAGCATATAAAACAGGGTACTTGACAGGTGCAGCCAGTGTTACTGCCATAGGAGCTTTGTGCACTGTGAGGCTAATGCACAAGGGTGATTAAATCAAATATGCATGCCATGTGGCATGATGTCGCACGCCGGTAACTGGAATCTGCAGCTACATTACGACTAAAGCTTGCAATTTGCACTCCATGTCTAATGCATAAAAATTTTCCTGAAAGCATCTCTGAATTTTTTTTCTTTTTTGTATAAGTGGTTAGGCTACAAATATAGTTGATTGTTGTTAGAATAGCGTGAATGAAGTGCATGAAAGTGATAAGCCATGCGGCACGCTACCATCTTGATGAAGAAAACCAGCAAATGCTTCTGTTCTCTTTTTTTAACCTGTCTTTTAAACTCTTGAATTTGTTCCAACGTAGTAAATGTATAAATAATTTTACAAGTTAATGATTTGTCACGCAAGTGCAGTGTGTTGCACCTGTGCATATGATTTCTCTTGCAGTGTTGCTTGCAGCAGTGATTCATTAGTAGCGCTGGCATCTTGCTGCCCAGCTTAACATTGCAGGTTCCATTTTCGGCCCTGTAAGCATGTTCTAAAGGAAACTCATCCACTTTTAATATTATGACGAATACTTCATGTCTGGTGTTACTGCAGTGTTCACTGTGGCATTACTCATATCCCAGTGTTCAGAAAGCTGACTTTTAGGTGAAGTGGGGAAAACATTTACTTGTTGGATGCTATAACATTGAAATTTGTATTGCTTTTTAAAATAATGGTCATTTAAAATGATGCATGCATTATAAGCCCTTATAAATATTTTATCAAGTTGCTTGTTCTAGCTCGTTCATTGTTTTATTTTAATAAAAGTGCATAAGTTATCGTTTCTACTTAGCTATATCAATTTAGGCTACTTCTTTAATGCTAGTACGTTTAAATAATATTTTTTAACCCTTGTGGGTGCCAACAAGTTTTATCCGGATATGGCAAAATTGTTTCACAGTGATGAACTTGACTGCTTTGAAAAGGTGTAGATTGCATTGTGAAGCCTGCCAGGTTTATCTGCTGACTCACTCACTACACGAGGTGGCTTTTACTGTAATGTCACTTTTTAGAGGGAATGGGCTGAATTAGCCAATATTGTATTTTCTTTTCTATAAAATGATGCAATGCTTATAAAAACAAAAAGGGTGGTGTTTTCCTGCAGCATGGCTTCTGTTGATTTTGCATGGCTTAAAGACCTTCGCAAGCCTGAGAATATGTTGCATGAACAGTCTACTGGCACGGTTTCTTCCCAAAACACTTGTTACGCTTAGCCTCGAGCTAGCACGAAAATGACACATGGCTGGTTTAAAAAAGCATTGTGCAATATCTGTATTACCTTAAATGAACACAAAACTTGCTTGCTCGCACTTGAAAATTGCACCAGCCTTGTACCTGAACCATGTGGGAAGCGTAGCTCCGAAACCCCCTCGTTCTTATTTGCCATCTTGCTATGCGAACCAGTACTCCATGACATCTGTTCTGTTACAGATTGTCATCACAAGAGTTTTCTAAGGAATGGGGTGAGCGTGTTTATGCACTACTGGCCTTTGCAGTGTGCAGTAGTCGAGGATATGGAGAAAAAAATCATTTGACCTGTCACATTGACGAGAAGGATTCTTTCACACACACATAGGTAGATGTGACCGACCGTGATGACCACAAAAGCTGAG